AATTGTGGACGGACGGACGGACGGACAGGGGCGACGACAATATACGTCCACATGAAAATGTGGGCGTATAAACATTAACTATCCGTGACAATGGTCAATTCATTTATTCAATGGAATTGTTGTTTGAAACCAAATTTTAATGAAATTCAACTTTTAATTCAAACATACAAACCTTACAATCCTATTGCTATTTCTGTACAGGAAACTTTCTTTGGGAATTCTGACATTTTGTCTTTTCGAGATTTTGGTAGTTACCATCAATACTCAACTCAACTATACAGGCAGTTGCAGTTAGAGTGACTCTACATATTCCTATAACACTCAGCTCTGTATGTCTCCCGCCAGAGATCTTGATGTCCTTGTTACACAACTTCCGCTTCCGTTTATAATTACGGTGGGGAGTTGTCCGGCAGAATGGTTAGCGCGTGCTCGTTTTATCAAAAGGTCTGTCATTGAGTCAACTGGCGTGGTTTCGATTCCCCGGTTGTATGTGACCAGGAGTAGGTTCGCCTGTCCAACCTCGTGGGTTTTCTCCAGGTCCTCCGGTTTCGTTCCAAGCGAATTATTGAAATAAAATTAATCCATATCTTAGTCCCGAAATGACCCTCTCTCTCTCTCTCTCTCTCTCTCTCTCTCTTATAATAATGGTCACCATTCATTCTGGGATAGTTCAGATGATAATAACAGAGGAAAACAAATAGCGGACTCCATTAGCAGCTTCTTTCTCTTCACCGAATCTCACCATTTGCTCTCCAGTCCTGTTTGAGGATTTTACATGGAGAGTAAATGAAGATCTATGTGGAAGTAGCCACTTTCCTATCTTGATTGATAATAATAGTCCCTCTCCGAGGTAGAAGTTGCATAAGGCTGATTGGACTCTGTTTGAATCTTTGTGTCTCTTCTCTTTTGATGCAAAAGAGTTGGAAGATACTGATGAGCCCATGGTCTTAAGCAGGAGATTCCAAAACCCAGGACTGAACCAAAACCTTTCCATAAACCATGGTATAATGACGATTGCAAATCCACTCTAAAAGAGCGCTGTCATATTTTGAGACGTCTTAAGAACCACCCTTTCACTGGGAATATTGCGGCATAACAAAAGGTCCGGGTGAAGGTCCGTAGAACCACACGTCAAGCAAAGAAGTCTTCATGGCAAGGTTACGTCTCAAGGATCAAATTATGGAATGAAAATTAATAACCCGCAGAAAATGTGGTTTTTTTTTATTCATTGATTTGTTAATTATGGGATGAGAAGACCTTTTAAAATAGCCTACAGAAAATGTATTTATATCTATTTATAGTCCCGATGCTATAGGAATCACTATGCAAACTACACTGTTGCGAAAGATGAATCTAATAGGAATATTCTTTCAAATATTTGGGTGAGAAAATATATAAAAAATTATTATATCATATGTGTTTGTAAAGTAAAGAGTTGAATTAACACATCATTTAAAAGACAATCTTGGTGTCAGCTATTTTCACATATGTGACAGAACTGGTTAAACAGATTCCAAATACAATTTTAATAAGAGATCATTGCTATGGTAGATTTAAAGAAACGGGAAGTAACGCAAAAAATGGAAAAAACGAGTTATCCTTATATTATCTTTGAATGGAAATTAGCGATTGAACATAATATAACACAACACAGTTCTATGGATGACAATCACCATATTATATACACACGACGTTTCAACAAGATTTCACTGGTCGTTACCAAGCTTGTTATCCATAGAACTGTGTTGTGTTATATCCTTATATTGTCACAACTTGCTGATCTAAACGGCATTCTATGTCAATTTATAATCGGTTAACAATCGCTGTAAAAAACAATCAGTTGCCGCCTAATAAAAGATGATTAAAACAAGATTAACTTGCCAGAGGCATAATATTTTCATAATTAAAAACAAAACTGAATGACAACCGCGACTAAATATACGACACCGGTTTTATTTAGTATGGATTTCACTAAGGACTTTAATATCACTTCAATATCATTTCGCGTTGTGTATTTTTATACCACAACTAGGGGGCACATTGGGCTAAATCTATTTGTTAAGGCCAGCTCAATTTTTGTCAAGGTCGCTGAGATGTAAATAAGGTGAGGACACGTGATTGTTGGTGGGGTTGTAGGTTTGGGTTACGGTAAGCATTGGGGGCTAGGTCCAGGGTTAGGGTTAGTATTAGCGCTAGCCCTGTTTACATCTCGTGGCCTATGACGAAAAACTGAGCTGGCCTTATCATTTAGCACTACCCGGGCACATACTCCTCGCAGTGTTTCGTTTGATTAGAGCTAATCCAACTTAACATTGCTGTAATGGAAGCAAATTTCTGTTCCAAATTATGATTAGTCCGATTAACAATCAATAGCTAAATGGACCAAATTGGACCAAATATGTTTACATAACGTTACGGCATGACTCGCGATTTTATTATGCCCAATTAACCAGTGCATAGAATATTGCAGTAAAACTAATTGCGTGACAAAGGTGGCTACCAATACGGATACAATGTAAACAATACTGTTTGGAGACCAACAATACTTTCACCGTTTTTGATACCTTAAATCACTGTTCAAAGTGACGCAAAACTTTAGTATAAAATAACCTTGTCAACTTATCATGTTTGAAAAAATGATGTGTTTAACTCTTATTCTGTTGTGAGTATGTAGGTCTAAGAACAAAATTTCCCCCAGGTAGAAAAATAGTCGGTCTCAAAATAAGTGCAGTCACTGCAGTCGGTCTCAAAATTATGCATCGCCGTCTTAATGAATTAAACAAATAATGCCAGAATAGATCCCAAATACTAGTCGGTCGCAAAATCAGTGCAGTCGGTCGTAAGATATATGAGCAGTCGGAATCAAAATAAGTGCTCACTGCATACGTCACTCTACTCACGCAAAACTTTAGTATAAAATAACCTTGTCAACTTATCATGTTTGAAAAAAATGTTTTTCACCCCATGGCAAAGAAATAGTCGGTCTAAAAAAAAGTGCTCACCGCACTCGGTCTCAGACTAAATGAATTAATGGGGTGTTTTCTGACCATCAGAATTCTGCAAAATCTTTCCCCAAAGTCCAGGGCATTTCAGAGACCAAGTAAGCGCCCCATTAAGGTAAAGTGCCCTCAGGCCCAGTCCTCAAAAATTAAAAGCTCAGTTACATATCGGCGCTCAATTCCATTATGCCATCATTCTTCAACTCCTTCTCTGTCTTATACTATCTCATCACTATCATATTCACAGTTACAGTGAATCGCCCAGTTAGTAGTACCACTAGTGAGTGAGTCATGGGTCAAAAGACTGTAGAATTGTTAGTTCTACTCTCACAAAACAGGCGACATTGACAGATAGGCCTCAAGATTCTGTCCCATTTCTTATCCTCTCGTTAACGAGAATTTGGATCCATTAAAATTGTCAGGCCCAATCCCAAAAATTAAAAGCTCGGTTACACATTTGAAATTTTTTCGCGCCTGCGGCGCTCGATTCCATTATAACGTCATTCTTCTACTCCTCTGTTGTCTTATACTGTCTCAGCACTATCATATTCACGTTATACTGAACTGACTAGTTATGTTAGTAGTACCACTGGCACTGGTGTGTGGGTCGTGGGGCGTCAGACTATACAAAAGTTCTGTCAACTCTTGCAAAACAGGCGGAATTGACAGGGGCAGATCTCGAGATTTTGTCTAATTGACTCACATTTCTGGTCCTCTCGTCCACAAGAATTTCTCCAAGCAATGACCTCAAACGCCAAGATATTGACTCAATTTTTCAAAATTTTCTCAGGTTGCTCAGTGTTATAGGCACAATCATATATGACATAAACTTTATGTCAACTTAAATAAAACTGCTTTCCAGCGAGACAATGATCGGCAAACAACTATATAATTATACAATTCCACCTATGTTCTACCGGGACGCTTAATGTTATAGCCAGTATTTTGTTGACATTCATTGTGGGGTGGAATTGTGGCTGGGGTGGCGCCCTAGATTTGGACCCCCTCACCCCTATCTAGATCCGCTACTGCACATGACCCCTCAAAACTCGCACCTGTGGTGCTCGGCTCCTGACTGCGTCACTCGTAGGGGTATGGGCATCAGTCGGTCGCATTTTGGCTAAACACCCCCCCCCCCCAAACAAAATCGTTATGTACGCCCCTGGTACGTCTTATCTACATGCTGTAAAACCCACGGTCGTTGCTTCGGGAACATTGTGGCCAACAAGGTATTGATTAAATATGGATTATGACGATTATGTCAACAAGAGTTGACAACTGCGTCTAATATATTTGACAGGTCGACAACTGGATTTGAATCTAGATGATATTTTTTACGCTGTCTGTTGGTGACAGATGCGTCTGCAAAACATACAGTTGAGTCAATTAATATTTATATATTGTTGATCTATATTCTATTACTGCTATAACAAAATGTCACTTTATAATGTTAAACATCTTCTTGAAATGGTTCAAAGATATATAATGTTTAGAAACCACAAAATGTGGGGATGAAATGGTCTTTATAGGAGACCGGGGTAATCTGTTCATGTGGATCGCGATGAAATTTATATTTCTGATGTTCCAAGATATAATTTTTGGAAATGTTTAATTATGTTCTCCTGATTTTGATTGTTTCTGTGTGTTTGAAGTATATGTTTGTGATATGCGCTTAGAAACACTTCACGTGTAATGAAGCGCTATATAAATCGAACAATAATAATTTAGAATTTTTAATCTAATATATATACCGCCATATAGCTGGTCCCAAAAAATAGAAAAACTAGTAGGCTTATAGTTTCAAAACCTTCGACGTGATTTTATTCTTTTGTCATGCGTGGTTAAATTATAATATAGGGAATGTAGTATTTTATAAAGAATTCCTTGGAATAATAATCAATTTTGATTTATCGAGCAGACTACCTTTCTCGACCCGCAAATATATCTGTGGTCTACATCTACAGATAGAATAGAGTTATACCCCTTTAATGTAATGGCGGCATCAACAAACAAGAATTAATAAACAAGAAGTCTACATTTATTTCTTCTTATAATAAAGATTAAAATGAAGTCATCTGCAAAGAAAAGAAGAATAGAGTCGTCAGATGAGTCGAGTGATGGCAATGGTGTATCAGCCCCAAAAGCTTCCGGTGATGAGGTGACCTATTGTATTTTAATCGCTAGACGGAAGCATTTTTTGATTGAATAAATAAATGACAATAGGCCTAATATAAATATTATATATTGAATAATCATGATAATAATAATGTGTCAGTTGAGTTTGCACTGTGCAGTGCATGCATTGTTAAAATATATTTTATTATGGAAACAATCAGAAGTTATCATCTGTCATTGTCAACTCAATGTCAATATCAGACATTCATTCTTCCTTCTTAATGACACTGAATTGATATTCATTCTTCCTTGACATGACACTGACAGTAATTTCTTCAGTGTCAGTGGTGATCAAATTCTTCAACTTGTGCGCTTAGATAATAGGGTAATGTCATTGAGTGCCATGGTTTAGATTCCTCCCCTGCTTACATTACAAGGAGAACGTAGGGTCATCTGTCAGGTTCTCTGGTTTCCTCCCATCGCTAAAGACCACTACGCAAATAACTGAATGAAAACTGGATCATATTTTAGTCCTGAAATGGCTTAGTTTGTCCTGAGTGGAGTTGAAGCATCTCTCTCTTTCTCATCTGCATATCATAGATTATTATTATGTTTGTTTTATTTGAAGGTTACACACATTAAATCTGAGGTGATGAGTGGCAGAAGTTCAAGTCGAATTCAGGAACGTAAAAGTAAAACATATGTAAAACCAACAAGAGACAGTATATGGAATAAAATTCCTTCATCTTCAGAAAAACGTTTAGCAAATATCTCACCTAACAAAAGGGTCAATGACATGCTGCGTGTGTAAGTGTTTTGTGGTTATAATAAAATAGGGTTTTAACATCAATATTCCTGTTAATGAAGTTAGGTATATGGTCTATGCCATGCAGTGTGCTATAATAAGGGAAATTTTGCCCAGACAGCAGTAGTTCTGTCTATTATTCAATAGAGAATCCCTATGTCAAGTGTTATTTTAGTTATATGTATACATCAATGGGTACACAGGTGGACCTCAGTCATTTTCGCATCCAAACGACTAGCCACTTGTCCTTTCTAACTAGGCCCTCCACCCTGCACCATTTGGTAGCTAGACCTTCCATTCTGCACCACTTGCTAGCTATAGGCCCTTCATCCTGCACCACTTTTATCGGGAAACCAGACTGGGAGATCCGAAGAAAATGTTTTGACCAACACTGGGGACTCCTGGTTAGTAATCCACCACTAAATCCACCAATCCACTGTGGTCCCTCTTGTGTATAACACTACAATTTATTGTTAATATTATATTGTATCTTTCACTTGTCATGTGTGATACTGGATGACAAAATAAGGGAAAGAATTAGTGTTTAAAGTCTGTCAACACAATACTTCAGGGATCTGGAGACTAACATAATATGATATTTGTGCAATGTAAGGGGAAGAATTTTGTTCAAGCAACTGCATCTATGTCTACTCTTCAAACTCTAACTGCAAATGGATCTTTTAGTGTTTAAATGCACTACAATTTGTACACATGACCGCTTTCTTGCACCATCTGACTTATTAGACACATTTTCCTTGTCAGCCCTACATGCTCCATCTCTGAAAAATAGGAACAAGTCTTGAAGAAAACCAAAGATTATTCTCTACCAATGCCTGGTTTCTACAATTTGCGAGTCTAACCACTGCCACTCCCTGGTCGACTTACATGGAATATGAAGATGTGATAATTTCTACCTGGTATGATTTCTTATTTTACAGACACAATCGATACAATGCTGAATCAATTGATATATTTAACGATGATTTTATTGATGATGAATTGGATACCACAACATCATCGGATTCTGGCCTTGAGGAAGAGCAGGTGAGTTTTGCTAGGATGCCTTCTTTTCAGGCTTGGTGCATACAGCTCCATAACCTAGTCCAGTTTTCCAAATAGTTCTACCCACATGATTATCTGTTTTAAAGGACATAGTCATTATGGTGGAAGTTCAGAGACCGTGCAAATAAGCAATTTGATAATGTTAGTTCTCGAGATGCGTATTGTCAGTTAATCTAGAAGAGTTTAGAAAAAAATGAAACCAATCATAGCTTTATGAGAGAAATCTGGGAAGAGTATTACCAATATGGCGGACGCATGTTTTGGCTAGTGGACGTTTCGCCACTACAGTGTATATAGATTTCAAATTTAAACAAATTATGCTTTGATTTCTGTAGCTTTTACAGAACCAACTACAAGTATCACATAGTTTATAAGGGATTCATGTAGCTTTTAGAGAACCAACTACATGTATCACATAGTTTACAAGGGATTCATGTAGCTTTTAGAGAACCAACTACACGTATCACATAGTTTATAAGGGATTCATGTAACTTTTAGAGATCCAACTACACATATCACATAGTTTACAAGAGATTCATGTAGCTTTTAGAGAACCAACTACACGTATCACATAGTTTACAAGGGATTCATGTAGCTTTTAGAGAACCAACTACACATATCACATAGTTTACAAGGGAATCATGTAGCTTTTAGAAAACCAACTACACATATCACATAGTTTATAAGGGATTCATGTAGCTTTTAGAGATCCAACTACACATATCACATAGTTTATAAGAGATTCATAAAACTTCAAATAATGATCAGTAGCTTTAAATTTAAAAAATTTTAATTATCATTTCAATTTTTTTCAGAGATCTGCCAAAAAGAAACGGAAAAACAAAGGAAGTAAAATTCAGAATAGACGAAGGCGATTGAAATACGAATCATCATCTTCGGAAGATGAATCAAAAATAAATCGGGAAGCCAGTGAACCAACAGATGGTAACGAAGATAGCTCTTTATCATCTTCCCGAACGAAACATACCGAAAATTCAAAGGGAGATAATGAGACGATATCAAATACAGGTAAGCCATTGGCTATTGATGAATGCGAGATAGATGATGTAATACCATGTGATCAAGATTCAAATAGTGATGAAGAGGATTCACAGATTTACAAACGTTTAAATTCATCCAAAAATAAAAATGTTTTAAAAAGTGACGAGGAAAGTGACGTTAATGATGAGAGCAATGAAAACAAAAGTCGTAATAAGAAAAATGACAGCGACGCAAACAAGAAAGCTGCATGTGACAATAAAAATGACAGCAGTGATGAAAGCAGCGATAGTGATTCAGAAGAGGACTCAAATCACCTCTCTCGATACGAAAGACAATTATCGAAAAAAGAAAACTTGTTCAGAAGTTTCAAGGAAGCTCAAGCAAAATCAAAGAAAAAAAATGCGTCACCTAAAAAGAAATAGACTCGCACTTTAAAAAACTTTCTGTTCTGAAATTTAAAAAGCACATTCAGAAAGTAAAAATATGTAGTGTAAAAAAGAAATAGGCCCCGAACTAAAACAAACGTAGTTCTGAAATTAAATGGGGTTAAATGCCTATTTTTCGGCACTAATCAGGAAAATAAAGTTGGATTATGAGGGGAAAGTTAGCTCAGACATCAATGGTGTTAATGGAAAAAACAATGATGGGCTTTCCCTACATGGGGTTTTAAAGTAGTTGTCTCCCCTGAAATGTGTTCATCCGTTTCCACCTGGCAAACTTCAGCAGATTCCGGTACCCTACATCTAGCCTCGGCTGTATGACAAGTCTGCCATTGGAACTACTTTCAAGTTCCCGGATTACCATCGGCGTTGCCCTTGACGACGCCCCTGAAGAATGTTTTATCATACAAATATTTCAAAGTCTGAAGCTGTTTCTTTCAAGTTAATCCGATTTTCTTCAAACAAGGACAACTTTGCACTAAAAATTCTACACACACTTCGAACGACACAATTTTGATAACTTCTTTTTAAAAGCGGCAAGTTTTCCTAATAGTAAACCGGTGCCGCATCGCAATTGTATAGGCGTAGGTACATATCACTTATCATCATACAGCCGAGGCTAGATGTAGAGTAACGGAATCTGCCAAGGTTTGCCGATTGCATCTGTTTCTGGACCAAATTTTTCTAAAGAGCCTAAAGATGCATTATGTAAGAACTAAATATGCCTACTGCAGATCTTTATTTTGGCCTCAAATGTTATATAAATTTTTTAGATATTTATTGACATGATAAACCCATAATCAACTCTCTAGGTTATCGGATGGCATTGCTTTAAGTAGAAAGAACACTGCTGCCATTTATGAGTTTTGACGATAAAATGGATTATCAAGACTTATGTTAATGAACAATCTACACTGCATTTTGTCAAAAGTTCAAACACTTATAACTTAGCACAAAAAGTAATTTGACTGCAATTTTCAATATATTTATTTCTCATTATCTTTTTTTGAATTATTATCACAAGACGACCAGCTCTTTATCAACATCTTACATAATGTACTGTTAATTTTAAGATTTTCTCTTTATGGTACTTGTTTATTATTTATAAACCAAATTACCAAAGACTGTGAGAATGAACTCTTTAGTCTAAAGTGAATATATACCTGGTAAAGGGGTGAGGGTCAACATTGATCTCGATGATGCCATTGGGGCAAGAAGGAAAATGGGGTTTAACGTCCTACTGTTCTGCTTCGAGTGGCCTAATGAAGATGGGCTTACGCCATAAAGTGTGTTATGCAGGAAATTTTGCCCAGGCAGTGGCACTATGACCTACTCTTATATCGAATTCCAACAGCCAAGGGATCTTTTACTTGCATTTCAGTGTGTACACAGGACCTTGGTTTTTCATGCCATCCTAACGCTTGACAGCTGTCTTTGTCAGGCCCTCCATCCTGCAACACTGACAAGGAGAAACCATGTAGGAAAATACCGATGAACTTTCTCGGCCAATGCAGGGATTGAACACACGACCTCAAGGCTAGCTAACCAGCATCTTACCGACTTAGCCACTGTGATTCCTGGGCGAGAAGGAAGAGTTCTCCAAGCATAGAACACTCAAATAATCCCCAAGCAATACACTATACAAGACCATGTGGAAAATTACATGTTTTAAATCCATGCAGCCTTTTCTCAACTGGAAAGGTGTCCTGGATTAAAAAAGTAATTATTTCACACAGTTTTGTATAGTGTGCTACCTGAGGATTAGGTGATTGTATGTAACAAATTGAATGGTATTTGTTGTCCAGTACGATGTGTCTCTGTTAAATGTCTATAACCCTGTTTACATTACAAATTTTAAGCGTGTCAGGCACGATGCCAGGTACAGCGCAGTTCGTTTTTTTTAAGTGGACGCGTGCCATGCCTGGTACCGTGCCAATCAGGCCCACCAAAGTGAGGTGCTCTCGGCACAGTACCAGGCACTCCACGCTTAAATTTTCATAGTACAAACGCTAACTGGTCTGAGAACGGTTTCAGTACGGATAACTGTGCATGCGCCAAATGAACCTTGACCTTTTTCCGGCAAACTTTGACGTAGCTTTGTCACGGTTCTGTCTAAATCAACTGCCATAATTGTTTTCATCCGTGTAACTTGCTGACTGAAATTAACTTTTCTGTAAAGAGTTTCACATTTGGCGTGCATGGCACGGTTCTGAGACTGGTGATGTAAACGAGTCAATTTCTTGAAATTTATCACGGCACGCTGATCGTGGCCAAGTGTAAACGGGGCTTATGTTTGTCTCTATTTGCACTTTTTTTTTATAGCACTCGTTATGTAATTGTTATCATGCCGTCATTAATTGTTTTATTCGTTCTGTACATATATTTTTATATTTCAATTCTTTTGGTTAATTACCTTGTAAATAAATAACTCATTTTGTACATATAAGATGTAATTAACTAGATGCAACCCCTGTTTATTCTAACCATGGAGTTGGTCTAATCTACACTGATTACAGGGGTTGCATCTCGTTATATATCGTCTTCTTACTGAACCCCTTAAGTATCGCTGAGATCCCAGTATAGATTTCCTCTGATCACTAGTCTCCAGCTATCCTAGACCTCACCTTACGAGAGTTGTCGTCATCTTCTACTGCTTTATAACATTTATGCTATATCACTTCGGTGGAAGCCGGGTCGGGGGTTGGATGGCCGAATGGTTAGCACATGCGTGCTGTATCATAAAGCCTGTCATTGAGTCAACTGGCGTGGTTTCGAATCCCTGGTTGTACATGACAAGGAGTAGGGTCGTCTGTCCAACCTCGTGGGTTTTCTCCGGTTTCTTTCCACTGCTAAAGACCCCTACTCGCAAGTGAATTATTGAAATAAAATTAAACCATATGTTAGTCCCGAAATGACCTAGTTTGTGTCGAGTGGACGTTAAACCCCATTTCTCTCTCACACATGTGTCGAGTGGACGTTAAACCCCATTTCTCTCTCTCTCTCGGTGGAAGCGGACATTAAATAAAACTATTTCATACACATTTGTTTATTCTGTTATTATCTCTTGTGAAGTAGAATGTTATAAAACAAAATAATGCTTGTCTATAAAAAAAACACAATTTATAATATGTATATAAACTAGTGATTGTTTTGTATATAAATTCGGTTGTAGTCTTTATTATGTTTTCCGGCGTGGTTTCCCCTTGTTAGTGGTGCAGTATTCCTACTGAACTGTATTGTATACAAATGGCTATTGTTAAATATTGTAAAAAATAACAGGTAATAATACATTATATATATTATCGATCTGTTTAACATGATGGTAATTAATCTAGTTTAATAAATTATATCGATCTGTTTAACATGATGGTAATTAATCTAGTTTTATATATTATATCGATCTGTTTAACATGATGGTAATTAATCTAGTTTAATAAATTATATCGATCTGTTTAACATGATGGTAATTAATCTAGTTTTATATATTATATCGATCTGTTTAACATGATGGTAATTAATCTAGTTTAATAAATTATATCGATCTGTTTAACATGATGGTAATTAATCTAGTTTTATATCGATCTGTTTGACATGATGGTAATTAATGTAGTTTTATATATTATATCGATCTGTTTAACATGACGGTAATTAATCTAGTTTTATATCGATCTGTTTAACATGGTGGTAATTAATGTAGTTTTATATATTATATCGATCTGTTTAACATGACAGTAATTAATCTAGTTTTATATATTATATCGATCTGTTTCATGTAATTAATGTAGTTTTATATATTTGTTATAGTTACCTGTATGTATTTATCTTTGTAATTAATGTCCAATGAATTTGTATATATTGACACATGACGGGCCTATTGTTTTATAAATAAGAGTGAACCTCAGTACATGTATCACTGTGTGTACTTGTCTGCGTAAAACCCTACCAACGAACGAATCTCAGTGTATAGTGAATTTAGCTGGTGAAATACGGTATTTGGAGCAGGTCCCTGGTGAAATATGTTATTGGGAGCAGGTCCCTGGTGAAATATGTTATTTGGAGCAGGTTCTGGAACACAACAGAAATAAGTATATGTTGGCATTGATGGATAGCTTGTTTTTGATGGATAGCTTGTTTTTGATGGATAGCTTTTTTTTTGTGGATATACCTTGAATATGGGGTGTAAGTACTCATCCTTCCTCTCCCCCACCCTTTCCCCAAAACACTCTCCACCACTGAGTATACATATTATGTTTATATATTTCATTTACTGGCACCATTAGAAATAACAATCCTTGAAAAACATAACAAAAGTTTTGTAAAATAAACACTGATGTTGATCTGTATTTTAAAAAAAACCAGTGAACAATCAGAATTTTAAAAATATTTTACTTTAAGTTTTCGTGAATAATAACCCTGCTTCAGATCTTGATCTGTTTTATAATGAAAGAAGGAAAAACCAAAAGCTGTTAACAACTCTATTCCACCATATTAATCAAGGCTGACACCAAGATAAGTGTTCAGTCCCGAGAAGTTTTTTTTTAGCCTATCTATCTCCCTTATCTCCATTTACCCAATATTACATCCTCAATCAAAAGTGCCCGATTTACCTATATGCTTGGCCGGCTGAAGCCAAAGACCCCTCAAGATTGACCTATAGACTGGGCTTTAAGATCTAGGGGAGTGGTTCTCAACCTTTTTTTGCCAACGGTACACCTTGGAACACATGAAAAAATAGTGGCACTCCTGGCTAAATATTTGAATTTTGCAAAATAAAAACATGGTACATGTAAGTCAGACGGAATAGAATATAGACAGAGACTAGTCATAGACACACAGAATAACTAAAACTAAACAAGCCAACAGTGAGGCTGATGTCCCCCGCCGAAATCCCAAAATAAATAGATGACACATATTAATTAATTGCACATTTATTTTTTTCAAAAGTTTCCAGCAATCAAACTACAAATGTCATTACTAAAAGCCCAGGTTCATTAGTCAACGGTATCAGCTTACCAGTGTTAGTCAAGGTAATGATATAATAAAGTTATAGTGTCCCAAAGCATCAACCAATCAAATTGTTTATCTCTGCTTACCCTAAGCGGAACGGACAGACAAACAGACAGACGGACGAACCCATTTTAATAGTTCCCTGCTTTCTTCGAAAGGCGGGGGACAATAAGCATGAACATTTACTCAATTCGAAGATCAACCAATCAAATTGTTTATCTCTGCTTACCATAAGCGGAACGGACAGACAGACAAACAGACAGACGGACGAACCCATTTTAATAGTTCCCTGCTTTCTTCGAAAGGCGGGGGACAATCAAAGTAGGAGAGTTATTGTTTTCCAAAGTCTCGACCAATCAAATTGCGTATCGCTCTGCTTACCCTGAGCAGAAAATGCTCATTATCAAACTTAGTCAAGGTATTACTGTAATGAAACTATACACCAAGTTTCATCAATCTCACTTAATTAGAACTAAAGTTATCGTGTCCCAAAGCATCAACCAATCAAATTGCTTATCTCTGCTTACCCTAAGCGGAAAATGCTCATCTTCGAACTCCATCAAGGCATTGACCTAATCAACACATACACCAAGTTTGAACATTCTAGCTCAATTAGGAAGAGAGTTATCGTGCCCCAAAGTATCAACCAATCAAATTGCTTATCTCTGCTTACCCTAAGCGGAAAATGCTCATCTTCGAACTCCATCAAGGCATTGACCTAATAAACACATACACCAAGTTTGAACATTCTAGCTCAATTAAAAGTTATCGTGTCCCAAAGCATCAACCAATCAAATTGCTTATCTCTGCTTACCCTAAGCGGAAAATGCTCATCTTCGAACTCCATCAAGGCATTGACCTAATCAACACATACACCAAGTTTGAACATTCTAGCTCAATTAGGAAGAGAGTTATCGTGCCCCAAAGTATCAACCAATCAAATTGCTTATCTCTGCTTACCCTAAGCGGAAAATGCTCATCTTCGAACTCCATCAAGGCATTGACCTAATAAACACATACACCAAGTTTGAACATTCTAGCTCAATTAGGAAGAGAGTTATTGTGTCCCAAAAAGTGTGACGGACAGACAGACGGACGGACAGACAGACGGACGAACCCATTTTAATAGTCCCCTGCTATCTTCGAAAGGCGGGGGACAATAAAGAAAAACACAGCTATGAACTTATCAGTAGACACAAGTAAATACTCAATTGGTATCACATGGTTTTTCACATTTTCTTAGTGTACCATAGGAAGATCTCGGCACACTGGTTGAGAATCTAGGGGATCTCCAACCCAGGTGTATAATATATTTGTTACTACCATAAGCCTTTATTACACAAACTGTAGTCTTAAACGTCCATCATCATTCTCAGCATTACTCAATTGTGTTTAAAACACACTTTCATCGTCTTCCTCTAGTCATGAGGGTAGGGGATTTAGAAACGCCTCATAATTTAAAGAACACCTCAGTCCTCTCGTTATCTACATGTAAATCTTGCACTGTTAATCAATATAAACCACCACATGAATCGACACGATACAAAACAACCAAACTCAGTAAATTGAATACCAAAACAGCCGTTCAGCAAGGCTACAGAAGGTAATCTTTAATTCTAACCATCCATTGTTCAGTAATTCAAGTGGGTGGTAGTGTTCCTGTCCAAGTCGTTACGACGCACCCCTGATGGATTGATGTTTTGTTTTTATATCTAACCTCTGGTATACCTTCATTACTAAAGTTACATGTACATGTGTAACTTCAACCATCAACGTTAACGTTACACAGGGGTATGATTCATCACATTGTTAACGTTACACAGGGGTATGATTCATCACATTGTCAACATTAGACAGTTCTATCACAGTCTTAGTTTTTGCTATCTTTAATAAAGGTGCCTGGTTTTACTTCTAAATCATCGTATGTAGGAAACTGCGCTGTAAAGAGAAATACAAAAAACTACCTCAGAAAACATTGAAGGCTCAATACCACTCTTGTTGTAACAGAATAATATGTCCCAATCTTTATTCTGGTCAACAAATTGTACTATTTTACAGTATTCCAATTAATTGATGATACAAATTTCATCGTAACACATCTAATTTAAAAAATTGGAAAAATTCAACTAAATGATTTGAAAAGCCTTACGTAAACCTTTTCAAATGTGACTTAGATTTAAAAATATTTTCGAACCCTCTGGACAAGTAAAACAGGATGTAATGGATAATTTACACAACAGGTAGGACACTTAAACATCTAATACTTAGAATAAGGCTAATATTTATTTACTGGAGCTGTCAAGCCAGCAAGAGTGTTATTGTCCCTTTTAGGATAGGTTGCCAATCAACCAAACATTTAGGATAGGTTGCCAGGCAACCAAACATCCCGCCATAGCAGCTAAGTTCTCCTGACAGTCTTTAGTAGTATATTTATTTCTGTTGTCCCATGAACTCTGTGTACCAATTTAAAGACAATCAAATGATGATAATTGTAGCCATAAATCTCTCAGTAATTATCAGAAATCGTTGAAAACCAGTATGCATCTATCTCACATTAATAAAAACATTGGATATTAACGTTTGCCTTGGTAGCGGATGACAGATGGGCAGGACGTATAAAAATGAGTTTTATGATAAAAGTTAAAGTAGCTAAGTTTCTAACTCAATATCATCCAAAGTCTCCGAATTTGAAAACATGAATTATCTATCAATTTAAAGATGAGTTCCCGCGTACAAACTGGGTGATTTAATGGTATATATGGACTAAAAACATATTCAAACTAATTAATTTGTCATAATTATGCTTCAAATCCTTCTCAAACATTGTAATTGCGAAGGAATGCCCTTCCATTTTTTTATTCGATCAAACCAGGTCATGTTTACATCACGTCTTGGAAATCAGAGGAGAATTCATTGTATACATAAGACGATGTTGTCTTTAATCGCTTACTATTTATTACAAATATCAAATCCTAATTAAATTCTCGGATTATCCACTACCCGCGTCTTTTTCCGTCATTTTTATCTGAGAAAATGTTGTACGTCTAACTCTTCATAAAGTTTATCAACTTGTACATCAAGCGCTCAATGTTCACGTGTGGCCTTTGACATCAAGTGTGCAGAAATTCTTAATCGTTGGGCTGTTGATTAGGGGAACCCTTAAATTTTTGTCCTGTATACGCTCCATGAGTGTTTTTCGGGGAATCCAGTATTTTTCTAGTAAGATTGGATATCTCTACTTTCCATATGTACCAAAATTACCATACTTTTATTGGAAATAACCACCCGATAAATACTTTTGTGGGAACCCATCTTTAAATCAACATTGATGTTGTGATTTTACAGGGAAAAGATGGGCTTCTGATATTTAAGACAAAATAAACATTTTACCATGTGGTTCAATTTTATTTGACAGACGGCGCTACTCCTTATCACGTACAACCAAGGAATCGAAACTACGCCAGTTGATTCAATGACAAATCTAATGATACAGCGCACACGCGCTGACCATTCAGCCATCCCCCCCCCCCCCCCCCCTAATAGAAGAAAAAATTTTGTACATATAATGATAATACTTACTGCGATCTTGTTCAGGTTCAACATTAGTTGTAATATGTTTTTGTTCACTATCATTAGCCGCAGGTAAACGACTTTCCTGAATCATAAAAACATACAGATGTCGTTATACACATGATTTATTGATTCTTTATTATTTTTAATGGGGACGGGGGACCAGTCTAATGTAAGATGTTAAACGCATTTTCATTGGATCCTAGGTTTCCCTTTCCAAACCATTAACAAATGAAATTGTTTATCTCTGCTTAGCAGAAAATATCCATCATGGAACTCTGTCAAGACATTTTATCTAATGAAAATCTATACCAAATATGAACAGGATTTTATCTGCCCCAACCTAAGATAGAAGCATACATGTATCGTTTTCCAAAAACTGTTACAGGTGGACAATCCCATATGGGTGGGCACGGGGCAAATATTGAATTCAAAATGGATACAGTCTTCTGTAATGGATACAGTTTTCTGACAGATCTCACAAAATATTTTAATAATTTCCTTACCAAGTCCTTAGTTGTTTCTTTTAATGTTCCAAAAGCGTTATTACAGGTGGACAATCCCATGTCAATAGGTGTTTGGATGTGTGTGTGGGGGGGGGGGGGGGCAAATATTGAATTCAGAATGGATACAGTTTTCTGACAGATCTCAGAGATATTTTAATTATTTTCTTACCAAGTCCTTAGTTTTTAAATCTTCTGCTCTCTTTTGTGTTTTCAGCATTAACATATAATTTCTATCCACCTCCTTGAATATACAATATATTTTTACAAAATTGTTAATAAACAAGTACAATTGTACTATGAACCAGGAACTGACCATGTTGTTGGATGAAATTTAAAAATCTAATTAACCAATTGTTCAAAGTAGAGGCATGCCAATTGTCATGTCGATTGTACTTGGACTTAAATTGACGGAGCTTAGACTTTTTCGTAGAGTGTCACCCGGGGGCAAATTGTGGCCGGGAACCGGGCTCCCGTGATTTGGTGGCATATCTGAATCTGATTATAATCTCTGTCAAATAATATATCTCATAAATCGATTAATTTAGGCCAAAATCCCGACCTGCAAGTAATTTACAACCATTCGCTGGGTCAAGGCCGTATAACAGGTGGCCTTGACGGAGTGGGAACGGACATGCATAGGCGTACGGAACACCATTCATTTTTGGAAATGGGAGGCCATTTCCCGCAATTTGAGATCATTCCTGACATCCCAATTCTGTAATTTCATCTCTGAAAATAATGAGTTAATAAAAATGTCAAGGAATGTTTAACACCAGCCTCAGGAAATCGTCTCATATTCAGCCAGCAGACCAGCTATCATCAAATTTTGCTGAGGCCTTAAAATTGAATTTGTTTTGGAGTTACGAACCATCGGCAGACGTTTCTGGCGTATCCCCACAAACAGGGTGCAGGTGACTTAATAATTAGTAAATTTGCAGGCGACAGTGTCGGGTGAATCAGATGAAATTTTCGGATGAAATTCGGAATCCCCATTGCAGGATTCCGAATTCCGGCCCACACCCAGCACACACGACCCAGAAAGTCTATTATACCAGCCCATTCCAGACTTTTAGACGAATTGGACAAAATTATTTTTTTTCATTTTTTGTCCGACCGGCCCTTCGGGCGATCACCCAATGGTCCAATCCGCCCCTGGTGTCACCCCAACAAGAAGAAGACGAAGAAGATGAATAGCCATTAGCGACTAGTTCCCGGGCCAAAAATATTGAATATGTATATTAATTTAGAAGAGAGGAAACCAAACAAGTAAAGTATACCATTTACATATGGGGTATCGCCGATATATATGTATATGGAAAACAATTAACAAAAACCACCATTGTCAAAACTTTGCTAATATTCAAAACATTAATTGTTATCGTTGGCATATTAATGTGTTGTGTTACTACCATGACTACATGCAGTTTACTATAAATAGTCTTACCTCTTGTGTGGGGGGGTCCTGTCTTTTTAATCTTAACCAAGCTAATAATAATATCAAATATAATATGTTATTAACATTTCTATTGATTCAGGGAGTCCCATAAACACGGATTCATTTAAACATGTATTATGCAAGAGGTAAATCAGCCTATGGTAAGTGGTTTTTTTTGGCTTCAAAAGTTATATATCAATTATTATTTAGACATTTATGCACATGACAAGTCCATAATCAACTCTCTTGAGCATCGGAAGACTGAGATTTAAATGGATTTAAACATCCATAAGATGTAAATGATGTAATTAATATTTACCGTCCCATTCTGTTGGTACATCTGGTACCCTGGATTGATCCTCGTCTTCTGCTTCTATCCATCGAGATGGTCGACGTTTTTTATCTGTCATAAAACAAAAATGGATTAATTCAACTCTTTCCATGATAAATTAACTCAGTGACAGATCCAGGTTGGGCGATAATTTGCATTGGACAAGCCTGTGACTAGTACCTTACTATCCTCGCTATTCCCAGTGGTCTCATTCCGTTCTACTCCACTATATACCGTGGGTTCATCCATGGTGTATTCCCGTATTCGAATTATCTGCCCTTGATCGTAGCTTGGTTCTTTGAACCAATCAAAAAACTGTTTACAAACCAGTCTTAGCACTATTTTTTTTACGTTTACAACACTAAGGCCGCTCGTTCGCTCCATAATGAGACAGTTTGCAAGAAATTCAATGCAAAAGAAGTGACGTGTACATCACAAAGATGTTATTCAAAATATTAAACTGAGAAATATTTAATACTCGCGGATGACCCAGCGCTTCATGGGTTTATATTAGTATAACTCCAAAACCAGAAACTGTACGTAGTCTGCCAATGCCACCTAGCCTATGTTACTCCCCAAATTTCAGTCTCGGGACAGCCCTTAGTGTAGCTGTCAACCCTGAACCGAAAAACAAACAAACAACAGTCACAATATAGATTGTCCCAAACTTCTTTCTATACGTGTACAGCCTACATATGGGACCTGATATTCTAGTTAAACCATCCGAATGACTAGTTCCTTGTCAGGCCCACCGCTGACAATCATTAATAAACCTTCTCTCAGCTAAAAATCGGGCACTTCCTGCCAGTCAACGTGCCAGCTTCTTATTGAATGTATCTGGCCTGGCTCAGCCGTGTGGAAATGTAGCCTAATAATCTAATTGTGTAGGCCACAGCTTCCTTTTTGTGTTTAAATTTATTTTGATATAGATATAGTATCTCTGAATAAATGAAATGAAGTGGGGTTTAATGTCCTACTGTTCTGCTCCTAAACTGGGCTAATGAAGACGGGCATACGCCATACAGTGTGCTATGAGGGAAATTTTGCCCGGGCAGCGGCGCTACAGCCTACTCTTATATCGAATTCCAACTGCCAAGGGATCTTTTACGTGCACGCCAATATGTACACGGGACCTCGGTTTTTCGTCCCATCCGAACGACTAGACAACTGTCCTTGTCAGGCCTTCCGTCCTGCATCACTGACAAGGGGAAACCACGCCGGAAATTCTGGATGAACTTTTTCGGCCAATGCAGGGATCGAACACCCGACCCCCAGGCTAGCGAGCTAGCGTCTTAACCACTTAGCCACGTGATCCCCCATCTCTGAATAAGGGGGGATAGAGGACCGAATGGTCTAACATGTGTGCTTTAGATCCTAAGGTCTGTAAAGTGGCATGGTTTGATTCCACACTTGTACCTGAAAATATAAGGAGTTAAAATTTGGTCGCCTGTCCAACATTGTGCTTGTGGGTTTTCTCTGGGTCCTCCTGTTTCCTCCCACTGCTAACGACTACTATTGCAAAAAGCGAATTATTGAGAAAAAAAAATTGAATAATAATATTTATTATGCTAATACAGAATTGATGTAGTTTGTGTCGAGTTGACGTTAAACTCCATTTCTCGCTCTCCCTCCGTGAATAATTTTGGTGGTACCGATTATGGAATCATAAATTGACCTCACCCACCATTATACTCTTTCTCAAAATATTTATTTCCAAAATGATCATTTCCTTTCAGTATTCCGTTTGTTCTGGCTCCTTTTAATACAGCTTTATAGTTCATAAACAGTTTCTTCAAGATTCCTCCTCCCTTAGACATTCTGATTGCAAAACGATAACGATGATGGTGACCTTTTCTGACCTACTTCTACTTTATGCTATCTAATACGCATGCGCATACTGTTCTTGTAAAATAATCATTGATTGGAGCAAAACTCCGCTGAGCCAATCAAAATGTTTATAACAAAGTAGTAATAAATATACAAAATGGCGATGGAGGAATACTTTTTTGATTAATGTTCATGAAATAGATTTAAAAAAAAACGACCTAAAAATTAACATTAACCAAACGTCTACCTCAAAAATGACAACCCCGAACAAATTTGCCAATGATGGCAGTTTTATGGAAATGTTTAGGCGAAAAATGGCCGAGAAAGAGGATAAAACAAATAACGCTAGCAGTGATTCCAAAACGAAAACTGAGACCACGGCAAAAACAGCGGGCGAAGACAGCAGTGAGACTAGTGTGAGAGGCGGTAAAAGAACTGCTGAAAATGAGCCGGATACGTCAACAGGAACGACTGGTTCTACTTCATACTTTCCAATAGTAAGAATCGTGAAGACACGTCAAAAAGAAATATGCTTAAACTGCCATGCTTTGGCCTTGGCAGTGGCAATAAAGTCAATAATTATAGGCCTAAGCCAGCTTCAAAAGAATTAATTTTACTATTCCTCCACAGAGTAGGCTGTAGTGGCATTTCCAGACAACCCCCATAGCACACTGTATGGCGTATGCCTGTCGTCATTAACCCAGTCAGCAGAAAAGTAGGATGGATGTTAAGGTCCTCATTTGATTTCATTTCTCTTTGTCAGTTCGTGTACCGGTATTATATACAAGGGTGGTGTAAGCTTACACGCTACAGGGTCCATAGATTTATGCAAAACAACCCAAAATAAAGAAAGAAAAAACAATAAGAATGTGTTGTTTTATTTGAAATATAGGTTGTTTGGGGTAGGTTTGGGTTATTTTGGGTAAATCTGTGGACGACATGATACATGTAGTTGGTATGGAGAGATTTGATAAAATCAAAAAATACAGACCTTGAGAAATTTGACATTTGCGATTTTCAGATCTCAAGGCCTGATATTTGAGTAAACGATTTTAATATCTGATTTATAGGATAAACTGCTTGTTTGGAAGGAAATTAAATTTTGCACCAGTAGTACCCAAGACTCCAACTTATGTTGTTAGTGCTTCTCTCCGTAGGTCGGCAAAAGACGAGGTCCCAAAATCCTGAAAACTGGTATGGTTGCCAAGAAAGTTAAAGAAGAAGAACCAGAAGTATGTGTACTGATTATTTTGGAATCATTGTTTTTATGGGAAGGGAGGGTCCCAGAGGGTGATGTTCATGGACTGATGATGACGATCAGTGATGTACATAATCTACAGTATGGCAGGTACATATGTAGGGCACTTGCCTTTGGTGCAACTTGAAGGGGGCACCATTGAGAAGTAAGACCATTGCATCATTTAAAGCAGTGGATCCCAACCTTTTTGTGATAGAGTACCACTTGGAGGCCCTGTACAGTCGCCGTTTACCACCTGGTTCCAGAGAAACTCAATTCGATCAATCAAGAAATAAATAAAGAAGTATAGAAATAAAATATAAATAAGTATACAAAGTGCTCGCGTACCACCTGGAAGGACCTCGCGTACCACTAGTGGTACGCATACCACAGGTTGGGAATCATTGATTTAAAGCAAGTGATCCGAAGGAGCAATTGTAATTGTAGTTCCATAATTGTATTTTTGACCAGATTTTATGGTAAAGTTATCTTTGAAAAATGTTTGTTAGATGTTTGGATAGGGGAGTGCAATTCCAGTGCTTACGATAGGTGCTAGTGATGATATTGATACCGTATTCTTCAGTGGATTAGAGTCTAGACACATGCGTACATGTAGATAAGGCACAGGGTGAGTTTGGCATAGGTGTTGAAGGAAAAGATAAAAGATGCATGGTTTAGGCACTCCCTTCTACAGTGCCTTGTGAAACATGTGCCATACATGTACATGTACCATATGTGTCTCAATTCCACCCACAATCTCCAGTAACTGGGCCAAACTCTAAACATTTGCTGTTATGATAATTACCGATATTAAGCTACATCTATGCCTTCAGCTGGCGCAGATGTAAACAGATTATAATACGATCACCATTTAATGTTTTTCTTAAAAAATGGAGAAGCTAGGCTGAGTCGCGATTAACTAATACATGTAGCCTTGCTACAATAATAAATAATCTATGTCAGAACTTCAAATAGTGATAATATCATTCAGAATCAAATAATTTTAATGAAATTTTCAATATATTAATTTTGAATTATCTATTTTGGAACTATTATAGCAAGAACGGCCAGCTCTTTTATCTAAATCTTACATAATGTATCCTTAATAAACGCAGATGACTGTCTACATGTAATTTCTCACGACTGAATCCACTTTAAAATGTACTCAATTGATTATTTAAAATCAAATATCAACGGTAGATTATCTCCGAGCTCGGATTCATTAAATGAGATCATGTCTGTAGGTACTGGCTTGTACCTGTATATATTCTTAGCAGAGGATAGGAAGGTTGCAAATTTCAATTTTTCATCATACATCTTTACGAATACTCAACAGAATTGAAATATTTTTGGACTGATATTCCTTTTAGAGATTTAAAGATACATTATGGGAGATTCGATGACGAGTTGGCAGTTCTCACTATAATAGTTAAAAATTAGATAATGTAAAGGCAATTTGCTGAAAATTTCATTCAAATTGATCCACTATGAACCGGGAACTAAGCGATTGAAATTTCTGCCTAGCCTCGATCATCATTACTAAAGTCAGTACGATAAACAGCATAGTCTCGATTATCCGTTAAATCGTGAAGGAAAGTTATGCAGTAAATCGGCTCATAATCCACTAAAGATCGCAGGCTAGTGATGCCATCTAGAGTTGATTATGGTCTGGATAAGTTAATTAATGTCTAATGTCTAAAGAAAGACCTACCAATAGGCAGATTTAGCTCTTGCATAATGCATGTTTAACTTTCACAATACTGTATTTTTTGGGACTGCTATTTTCCTCGTCGAGATTCAATTTCCACAATATTGTAGTAGGCAAGGATTTCAAAAAAGTTCAAATGCGACTGTAATGTACATCTATAAATTTGTCTTGTGGGTTATTGTTTGTGTGTAGCCTAACAAGGTCAGCTGTCTAGTCATTCGGATGGGACCAAAAAAACGGGGACACGTGTACACATTTCCGTGCATGTAAAAGATCCCTTGACAGTTGGAATTCATCATAAGACTTTTTTGGCAAAATTTCCCTTATGGCATACTGTATGGCGTATCCCCGTCTTCATTAGCCCAGTTCGAAGCAGAACAGTATTACGTTAAACCCCATTTCATTTCTGTTTATGTGTAGTGTGATCCTTCTGTACTAACTTGTACTCCCATATAGTGTATAAGATACAATGTATATCTAGACATATACGTTACGTAAGGTTGTGTCTTGAAGTGAAGGTACTTGTACTTCCCTAGCCTCAACACCATGGCAACCATTAAAAATAAATCTGCTATTGAAAAGGGTACATGTTGTATTTTTTTAAACATTTTTATTCAAGATGTCTGAATGAGATTGGGGCCTAGGCTTAACCTATGTAAAACCCCTCTCCCTAGGTATATATACATAATATTAATACAAAGGAACAAATGGGTATGTATACACAGTTAAAATGGCAAACATATATAATAAAATGGATGAAAATGTACAGTATGTATATTATAGGTTACAAGGGTAGCCTACAGTACATGTTGTTTTAAGGATGTTGGCATTCGGCAAACCTCGACAGATTCTACGCATCTAATCTCAGCTGTATGACGAATTCCGCCATATTGGAACTATTTTAAAGGTCCCGGATGAAAAATGGCTGCGCCCATGTAGATTTCTGTGGAGAGTGTATTATATCAACAAACGTCAAGTTTGGTATTGGATTTGGGGAATTACCAGGGACAATATCTCTGCTCGTTTAGTTATATACACTCGACAAAAGACGCATTTTGGGACTTTTTTGTAAAAGCGACATGTTTTCCTGTTAAAGTAAACCGGTAGCCGCATCGCAAATGTACGGGCGTAGGTACATGTACATGTACATATCAATTACTATCATGCAGCCGAGGTTAGATGTAGGGTACCGGAATCTGCCGAGGTTTGCCGAGTGAGGATGTTGGGTGGCAGAGTGCTCTTTTAATGCATGTGCTACAGATCAGAAGATCTGTTATAGTATAGGGTGTAATGATTCCAATCTCTCAAGCTTGAAGATTATATGTGACAAGGAATTGAAGCCTGACTAACCTCCAGTTTCTTTTAGGTCGTATCTGTAGGCCTAGAAATAACGGTTTTAGATGACAAAATGATAGGCAATTAAATGAAATAGTACCTGAAATTTTCAGCTTAGTGCCGGACATGTATTAAATAATATCAATAAAAAAGACAAATCAGTGCCGGACAAAATGACAGGCACCCGAGGTTTAGTACCTGACAAACCCTGAATCTGTGCCTGACATTGGCTGTGACAGGTGCCTTATTTCCAGGCTTGCAGCTTATTCGGAATATTGAGAAAAAAAATATCTAGTGTCCTGAACTGACCACTCAGTGACCAGAGCCTCCTCCTCAAATAGATATTATACATGTACATCAATATATGATACAAAGTTAAGACATTTATTATTTTATTCATTTATTTTAGGATGATAGCAAAAAAGATGCTTGGTCGAAATATTTAGATGAAGTTAGAAAATACAAGTCCCAAAAGTGTATTGAAGATGAAGGAGGAACACCATTAGTGAAATGATGTTTATTTTGTGTACTAGTATTAACAATTGTTTGTCTGGTTACGCATTGATGTTGATGTCTTGTAGATGTATTATGTAAGAGCTAAGTCTGCATATTGCAGGTCTTTATTTTGACTTCAAATGTTATATAAATCATTATTTAGACATTTATTCACATGATAAGCCTAAAATCACTCTCTAGAACATCGAATGGCTGAGATTTAAATGGATTTAAACAACGTGATATTTGAAAATTTAACGATAAAATGGACAATCAAGGCTAAGTCTCGGTTGTCAAGTAATGTTGCTATGATAATGAACATTCTACGCAGTCATAACTTCACTTGGAATAAAGTACATGTAATTTGAATTAAATTTTCAATTCATCATCTATTTTTGAACTGCATGTATTATAGCAAGAATGGCCAGCTCTTTATCTAAATCTTACATAATGCATCTTTTGCAGGGCCCTTATTTGGTTATATTTGTTTGTTCTTGTTGCTAGGCAATGGAACATGACCTGTCTGTCAAATGACATATCATAAAGTTAAGATATTTTAAGAATTTTGTGTTTGATTTGTATTAAAATAGTTACACATGCTTACTTTTGGTCAGTATGTCGTAAAATTTATAAAGCTTTTGAATGTTTCTATGTGTTGCTGTTGGAAATGATGTGGTGGGCAGTACAGAGACATTATTATAACTAAGAAATTAATTTTGAAGATTATTGTGTAGAGAATAATTCAAAAGTTCTATTAGGTACTTGGTATGATCGCTCTGTTAACAATCTAATTAAAATATAGATCGATATTTCGTTTCGCTTTTTATACTTTCGATGTCCTGCACTACATGTAGATCTAACAAGTTATAGTGGGAGTTCACGTTCTATGACGTCAGGTACCAAACAAGCAACATTTGACCCGATTACGTCGGTCATTCGATTAACCAATTAGCGACTGCCATGTATTTTTTATCTACTTTTGCTTTGTTTTGATTTCTATTGCCGCTAATGCCTACCCACAGTTCCGTGCAAAAAAGGTCAAACGCTCGATTCGACAGACCATTTGATTGGCTGACCCCTCATTTCAAGCAGAACACGAGTTAAATAACAACGCTTCCAGATCCAAGTGTAGTAAAGACAAGTAAAATCGAAATTTTGACCTATAAAAACGAAACGAAATAGGATCTGTGTTGTAACCAGATTGGTCTGTTAACCAATAAAAACTGCTTCCAAATTATCAATTAACAATTAACATGTGTGTGTCTTCACAATGTATTAGTAAATTTGTCTTATATTTTGTATTTGATTAAACATTGAATATTCTTGATATGTACATGTAGATAAACGTGTATTCAGAACATCCTTAAAGTTTTTACCAGTTTACACTGTTTCTGAGAACAAATATTTCCAAGGTCTGTCAGTGGTCAAGTTTTGTTATAAGTTTCAAGAGAGATCTTCAATAAATAACTACCTTATTAGCTTCCCGGCGTGTCACTGGGGAAAATATCTGCATTTTTGTATCAACCATTCTGAGAAAACACAGATCCTATTTTGTTTCGTTTTTTATAGTTTAAAATTTCATTTTATTTGACTGTATTACACTAGGATCTGGAAGAGTTGTTATATAACATGCGTTCTGAGGTATTAGCCAATGAAGCCATCTGTTTCGGCGACTTCTTAGCATGCCATGCACGGAACTTTTAGTAAACCACTAGAAACTTCAACTCTGATTGATTGATTAATCAATGTCTGATGTCATAGGGTCAAAAGCCACTTGTACGACCCCTGATGCGACCTTTTAGTAAAACTGGTCAGATCTTCATCTAGTGTAAGCTATCGAAAGTATAAAAAAATGAAATGAAATATAGATCTGTATTTTAATCAGATTGCGTATCATCCATAATAACACTGTAATCATAAACTGCATCAAATATAAAATAAATAACATCGTTAGGTTTCCTGTAACAACTAGTTATTATAGAGTTATTATGAATTTATTTTGAAATTGACAAGTTCATCCATTTGATTTCTTCTAGCAAACAAACTATATATACATGTAGATGTACGATTTGATATAATCGTAGGCCAGTATCAAATGATGACATCACATTTGTATACATGAAGTATACACTAGTAGCTATGGTGATGACATTTGTATATAAAATACTAGGGTTAGGGTTGAAAAAGAACAGTTTTATACATGTAGTATACAGTAGCTATCACTGTAACCCAGGTATCATTTAATCTTGTGTATTTAGCACTAATTTCTTTTACATTTGTTCAATATCAAATCTTTGTTTAAAATTTGTAAAAATCATTTAAAATCACCCCAAATCATCTAATGTGTCTAGTTTAAAGCTGACTGATTAATTTTGCTAGTGAGTGTCTAATTTACAAGTATTTAATTTCTTGACCACTGTTCAAAAATTAATCATTATATACATTAATAATCAATTGGGATGTTTATGTTATTTTTTAACAGTGATCGATAAATTAAACACTTGTAAATTGAACACTCATTATCAAAATTGAATGGTCAGCATTAAACCGGACACAAGTACAAATTAGATGATTTTTGGTGATTTTAAATGATTTTTACAACATTTTTAAACAAGGATTTGATGATAAACGAATGTGAAAGAAATTAGTGCTAAATCCACAAGATTAAATGATACCTGGATTACAGTGTATGGTGATGACATTTGTATATAAAATGCTTTAGATAGTTTGTTGAAAAAGAAAAGTTTTATACATGTAGTTTACAGTAGCTGTGTGTATAAATGCTTTAGATAGTTTGTTGAAACAGAACAGTTAAAGATGTATTATGTAGGATTTAAATCTACCTATTACAGGTCTCATCTTTATTAGCCCAGTCAGAGTAGTAGGATGTTAAACCCCATTTCATTTTCTATTGTAGGAGTTTTAACTGGCTTCAAATGTTATATAAACTATTATTTAGACATTTATTCATTTGACAAGCCTATAATCAACTCTCTAGTCCACCGAATGCTACCCCTATGGAAATGAAATGGGGTTTAACATCCTACTGTTCTGCTCCTATACTGGGCTAAGGAAGACGGGCATATGCCATACAGTGTGCTATGAGGGAAATTTTGCCCGGGAAGCGGCACTATGGCCTTCTCTTATATCGAATTCCAACTGCCAAGAGATCTTTTACGTGCACGCCAGTGTATACACGGGACTCGAATTGTCAAGATATTAAACAGATTATGTAATGTCTGATATCAAGGATATTTACACTGTTGTCAAAACTTCAAACATTCATAATAAAATAATTTGACTGAAATGATGTACTTTTAAACTTTTATAGCAAGAAGGACCAACTCTATATCTAAATCTTACATAATGCATCTTTGATTTATTTCAGCTGTGTTAGTAATTACCTCATATCTGTATATGATAGCTATGTGTTCATTATCAATGCGGGGATAGCAGGGTTGGGCAGAAACTTCCCATCTCCATATTGAAGTATTGTAATGATAATTTGTGAAGGGCAAAATGGAATGCAATTTCCGACTAAATTTATCCTGAGCGGGGGGGGGGGGGGAGGCAGAACCCCAGAACTGCTCCCCCCCTCATCTGAATCTGCATCTGCAATGTAAATAAGGCATTCCTCATTATATATGTGTTTAATGGAATGCCATTTCCGACTAAATTTATCCTGAGCAGGTGTTGTGGGGGGGGGGGGGCATGAGTGATGGGGGGTCCAGTACACTTGGACCGCTCCCCCCTCATCTGCATCTGCAATGTAAACAAGGCATTCCTCATTATATATGTGTTTAATGGAATGCCATTTATGACTAAATTTATCCTAAGCGGGGGGGTCGATAAACCTTGGACCGCTCGCTCCCCCATTATCTGAATCCACATCTGCAATGTAAACATGGCTTTCCTCATTATATGTGGTTTTTTTTATATGTAAAAGTTCTGTTCTGTGGACAATATCACAACTTAATCCAATATTGAATGTACTCAAATTGTTATATTGATTAAGAAAACAAAACTAAACAAAAGTATGTGTTAATGTTTATTGCTCTGTCCACTGTATCCATTTACTAAATACCTCTAAAGGATTAAAAATATCAATCTCCCAGGTTGGATTCAATCAGATGAATAAGAAAGTCCATCAAAACTTGTTTACATTGTCTGTAGAGGGTGTTGAATGTTGCAAAATTTCCACTTCATCGTATGTCGAGGGAATTTGACCATTTTATGGACTGATATTCCTGAGAATCAACTTAAGTGAGTAATTGAAGATGCTAGTGCAATAAGGTGGACAAGTGCCATTAACAAAATGTGCCAAAAATAGTATTTTTACTTATTTTAGATCAGAACACTAAAATTGACATATACTGTGATAACAGGAAACAGAATGATAAAAAGAAACAAGTGGTTAAGAAAATCTGCTAAAAAAGGATTTATTTGAAAAAATCAAATGATCTTTTTTAAAAAAAAACACTAGCATCTTCAATTATAAATGTGATGACTCATTTAAAAGGGGGGGCCCCTGACATTAGACGAGAAAGTTCCTCAGGTATTGATAAACCCTAACATTCCTATTAAAAATTTGGTATGTACGTAAATAACTCAGATATAAGCTACTGAAATTCATTGACCTAATACCAATAACTTTTGGACTCCATTTTCCTTAGGGACCCCAACAAAGTTATCAAGTAACTCCTTAGCTTAGTGAGACTCCATTTTGGGAAACACAGCCCAAGATGGTGTTAAAATTCTCCTAAGAGATATGGCTTCAGCTTTAATACTGATTGGCACTTTTTTGATTTATTTTCTTCATTTTGATTTGCATTTTTTAAATTTATTTTCTTCATTTTGATATTCATTTATGTACTCAAATGGAAAACTTAACAATGGATTCAATCAGATTTAAAACAGGCCCATCAATTTTATTCATGGCAAATAAAGATGGCTGCAGACATTATTACATAGGTAGCAGCATAGATCGATGGAATTTGTAATGTGGCATATCTTTGTAAATACTGGACAGAATTGAACCATATTTGGACGGGTATTCCTATTACAGATTCAACTTTTACAGTGATTCCCATGGTGCTAAAATGACACAACATCTAGTCTTTAAAGTTACAATTTCATATTTTTAAGTTATATTTTTTAAAATGTATTAAAATAAAGCCCTAAAATAGATGGTATCTATAAACAGTCCTACCTTGTTAAAGCATAATCCTATTAATCCTATAATTCACTATTGCCAGTTGAGAAATTGGCAAAAATATCATTTTCAACTTCAAATTCAAACGTTTGAAGATAGCTATTCCATGGTGGGGAATAGAAAAACAAGGGAGGTAATTGTGTTATTTCTGGTGTGAAGATTTTTAAGTGTGAGAAAGATAATCTATGATCGTATAATAGTGAGTTGACAACCTATTGAGCAAAAGACATAGAAATAATTATGTTTTGACTTTCTTAGAAAATATGAAATTGTAACTGTAAGCAAATTAAAGACAAGGGGACCCCAGTTTGGGAAACACTGATCTACATTGTGTTATACATCTCTTAGGAGATTTAGCTTCAGTTGATTACTGATTGGTCAGTTTTCCCTTTATTTTCTTTATTTTGTTAATGGTTGAATGCTGTGTATTGTAGGATGATCAATAAAGTTGTAAAACTTATTTTTATGTGTTGGACGTCAAAAATGCTATGCTAGTATAGGAACCAATCGGGATATTAAATTGTTTGTCGATATTGCTTTGAATTGTCAATGTTGTAATCAAGTTCTGAGAGAGGGAGAGAAATGGGGTTTAACATCCCCTCGACACAACTAGATCATTTCGGGACTAACATAATATGATTAAATTTTATTTCAATAATACGCTTGCGCGTAGGGGTCTTTGGCAGTGGGAGAAAACCGGAGGACCCTGAGAAAACCCACCTCGCGTAAGCGAATTATGGAAATAAAATTGAACCATGTGTTAGTCCCGAAATGACCTAGTTTATGCCGTGGACATTAACCCCTATTTTTCTCTCGCTCTCTTCAGCTGCTGTGGTTGGGGTATTTCGCATGCGTTGTAGCCTGAAATTCCCTTTTTCACTCGATGGTCACCATTCTTGAGATTGAGATAAATCATGTCCAGAACATTCAATAAAGTATCCCTGTTGAAATGTGAAAATGTCTTCTAAGCTGAGAAACTTTCATTGTAAATTGTTTAACAATGGAATATATGATATATCAAATTGATATTTTGTTGTGGAAAATAAATTTGTTGGGGGGGGGGGGTGTTTAACGGCATGGATATGGTAATGGTACAGCACTGCGGCTGATTTAGCATAAGCAAAAAAGAAAAAATATCCTGAGCACTAGTGATAATTTAGTCAAGCGCTTGAGAAGGCATCTTAATAACTTGGAAGGGGTTAGATATAATGGGAAATATTTAGTGGTGGTGATGTATCCGCTCAGTCACTGTAGCTTTGGATGGGCTGTAAAAACGAACAAATGAATATCTTTATTCTGCAAGTTTATCATTAAATAATGCATAAAATTATAACGCTTAAAACATTGGTTGGGACGTGTTCAATTGTATTATCTTGAGCGCTTCTCTTAATTGTCTTGAGATCTCAACTTGGTATCTTGAGTGCTCAAGATATTATGCACCGTATAATGGTGCATATTCAATCTTGTCAACATCCCTTTATCCGACCACTAATCCCCACAGTCTATTTAATAGTCCTGTTCTTATCAGCACTACTACCAAATACATAGGAGCTGCTGAGGCTCAGCGAGTAAGCCATTGAGTCAAGTGGCATGATTTCCATTCCTCGCTTGTAAATAACAAATAATAGGGTAGCCTGTCCAACCTAGTGGGTTTTCTCTGGGTCCTCCCACTCCTAAAAGACCCCTACTTGCTTGCGAATTATTGAAATAAAATTGAACCATGTTAGTACTGAAATGAAATGACCTAGTTTGTGTTGAATCGATGTTAAACCCCATCTCTCCCTCTCATAGCTCACTGCATGGTGTTTGCAGGTCTTGATTAACCCAATAACCATGCATACAGTGCACTATGTGGAGAATTTTGCCTGGACAGCTACTGAATTCCAACTAACAAGGGTTCTTTTATTTCATTTCTACTAACCAATGAAAGAGGGGTGGGGGGATGGTCGAATGGTTAGCATGTGCAGGCTGTATCATAAGGTCTGTCATTGAGTCAACTGGCGTGGTTTCGATTCCCTGGTTGTATGTGACAAGGAGTAGAGTTGCCTGTTCAACCTTGTGGGTTTTCCCCGGATCCTCTGGTTTCCTCCAACTGCTAAAGACCCCAATGCGCAAGTGAATTATTGAAATAAAATTGAGCTATATGTTAGTCCCAAAGGAACCTAGTTTGTGTCGAGTTAACCCCATCTCTCTCTATCCAATGAACAACCATGAATATTATATATATTTTATTAGATGATGATCATATTTTATATATACAATAAATAAATCTTCACATATATCAATTTATCATTAACAATTATCAATACCATGATTTAAATAATTAAGTTGAAACTCATTGAAATCCGTTGATGATTAAGTGTGATTGATAAATCTATTTATATTTACATACAAGGAAAACAAAATACAATCAAATAAATACTATCAGCGAGAAAAAAAAACTCAACAAAATTTATCTAATTCTTTAAGTTTCTTGTAATATATGTAAGAATCTAAATCGTATTCATGTAAGGATTATTCTCGAAAATTTATTATCCCTTTAGGGTGACTCCAGTTTGTGTACGTAAAATATAGCATCATTTCTGGTTGTGAGTTAATAAAGTCAGCATAATGGCATCACTATACATTTTGGGTTGTGAATTAATAAAGTCAGTATAGCATCACTATACATTTTGGGTTGTGATTAATAAAGTTAAAGCATAATGCCACCAATCATACATTTCAATAGAATTGAAGTAAATTGAAGGATTTAATTAACTTTAATTGTTTGACTCCCCAACCAATTAACTTTAATTGTTCGACTCGCCCCAACCAATTAACTTTAATTGTTTGACTCGCCCCAACCAATTAACTTTAATTGTTGGACTCACCCCAACCAATTAACTTTAATTATTCGACTCAACCCAACCAATTAAATGTTTGACTCACCCTAACCATTTGCTTTAAGTTCAAGTCAAAGAGAGTCATGTTTTTGGGAATGTTAGGACAAGCATTTTATAATTATAAACTACCCAACACTTTTGACAAGATAAGTGGAATAGATAACAAGATTTGATATAATAATATTAGTCAGGTCTCATAAAACACCCCAAAACATCCGATATAATGGTCGGTGAAACAAAATAAATAAGTTTTGCGTTAAGTTATAATAATCTCTTTTAACAATAATTAAAATACAGATGTGACTTCATCCTTCCTTTGATGTTGGCGCACCATTATGTCAAATAGTGTACGTGCAACGTGCCAATCAATCGTACATTATTTATACTAGAAATGCAATGCACATGCTGGATAGTCTCTGTATTTTAAGTTATTTAATGGTCCTAAGCTTAAGACATTGCGTAATATATTAAAACAAGACTCGGGCTATCACCCTCCTGCATTATCAATATATTATGCAATGTCCTACGCAAGACCATTAAACCACACTGCATCACCAATATCTACATTTATCAAGTACTGTAAAATTAAGGGGTAGAGAAAGTTTAGATAACCCCTTTACACCAATTACATGCTAAATTAACCCCTTTACACCAATTACATGCTATATTTATCTAACAAAATTGTAGACTCGAACAACAGGTGACGATTTAAAAAAAAAACAAAACAAACAATCATGACCTAGGAACCGAACTTGACATCATTGCAGTCATTTCGGAATTGTGACATATCAAAATTTAGTCTCTTTCTCATTCAGACAAATATTTTAGGAGATTCTGGGTGTCCCAGAAAAATCAAGATTCAAGGTTTGTCAATCAATGCACAATTGTCCAAAGAACAATTATTATCAAGTCTCATGTTGATTGATTGTACTCTAACTGGTATTGCCTAATATTTGTCTTTTGTTTTGAATGTCACCCAAATGCATTGTACCAGTTCTGGGCCCTGTTTCCCAAAATCTTAACTAAAGATTTTATTAGATACTTCAATTTTGATTGGCTAAGCACTAAAATCAATCTAATATTAGCCAATCAAATTACTAAAATTTGGATTTTATCTTAGTTAAAATGTCGTGAAACAGGCCCCTGGGGTTTAGTTACAGAGTCACAGTAACAGACATTTACTTAGAAAATTTTAAATGGCCGAACCATTCTAATCTAGTTAAAATCTCAAGCATCCCGATACCATCGAGAGTTGATTAAGGTCTTGTCATGTTAATAATTGTCTAACTAATAGTTTATATAACATTTAAGGCCTAAAGAAAGACCTTCAATAGGCAGGTTTAGCTCTTGAATAATGTATTTTTAACCTTGTAATTAATGAACGCCACTCAAAGTAATATCAGTAGAATATAGTTAGTACCGGTAGTTGCATGTAATACATGCTTTGTGGATTTCAATGAAATAACATCTCTCTATTCTTTGGAATATAATTTATTATTTTGCATAGAAACCCTGAATATATATAAACCTTATTTATAGTAAATCTGGAATTTTAACCGTGTTTATACACGACAGAATCTGAATTAAATTAAAATCTTTAAGGGTCTTCGAATTTTAATGGTTTTCAAATATAATTCAATTTTATCATTTTGTGTATAAATCCAGAATATAAATCCCATTTATAGTAAATAATAGGATTTAATTCTGTTTATATTTTTGTACATAATCTCAGAATCTTTTAGAGAGAGAGAGAGAAATGGGGTTTAACGTCCACTCGACACAAACTAGGTCATTTCGGGACTAACATATGGTTTAATTTTATTTCCATAATTCGCTTGCGCGTAGGGGTCTTTAGCAGTGGGAGGAAACCGGAGGACCCGGAGAAAACCCACGGGGTTGGTCAGAATCTTTTAACTGTTTTGGGATACAGCAAATAGTTAGACCTCACCAATTTTAGTTCTTTTGAAAACGTGTTAAAATTTTACTTCCTACTTCCTGAAGAGAAATAAAAATTAAAAAATCAAAAACAAATGACTGTTCTACTAAAAAATTTGAATGAGTACTTTCAAATTTTCAAATGTTAAACAAAACATCGCTCACAAAGACCCTGAAGCACATAACATTTTTTTCGTAGTACCTTAATCATTGCTCACTAAATGCTGAAAAACTATATATATTATTGTCTTGGCATTAATACCGATATTTAAGAAATTCAGATGAAATTACCTGAAATTGCACAAAAAGACAATAAGCTGGATGATTTAAAGCTAGAAATGTCACAAGGTACATGTATTATTATAATTTGACAATTCATTTCATTTATTACTCAAATACTATATATATACTTAAACTTGCATACTTAATATTTCATTCAATAATTATTATATTAACAAATTATTCACAAACATTTATATAGAAAAATACTTTCAATAACATGTACGAAGTAAAGAAAACTTAGCTTTTTATGAAATATATGAATTCATGTACCATTAATAGACAACCAAACAACTTTTGATCTCTGAGCAAAGAAAATAATGGTGTAAATATTTGTGACTGGTAATAAGCAAATATATCCGATGTGATGACTTTTACATATTATGTTATATTATCTTAAATATTAACCCTTTTGGTTTCATAATTTGGTCACTCCAACCAGTTTCTGTATAACATGCTTTCTAACGCGTGCAATAGTCCCACAGCCAACTATTGGGCAGTGGAGAGGGGGTGGGGCAGAGACTCACGTATGGGGATCGAATCGTTAGACAGGAAGACATTTCAGGTGTAAAAACAGATAAAATAAACTTTTTTTATTCTAATTTTATTGAATGCCCTCTTGTCACTCCTTCCGCCCCCTCCCTCTCTGCACACAACTGTTATGGGATGTAACACCCTAATACCACTTCTCAAGTTAGAGAATTGTACACAGCTAACAATCTTTGCATGTTTTTTTTTTTTTACAAAGGTATATTATTGGATGATTCTACATAATTTTCTACATTGCTTTAATCAATTATCAATCAATAAATAAAATAATTATATGGTTGAAATTTAAAATTTGTAATTAGACAATATTCAATTACACATTAGTTATAAGTATTTCCCCTACTGTACATGGTGATGATACAGAAGGCCAAACAACACAAAACATTTCTGGTTCTCAGATATCCTTCAAAATACACATCTCGCAATTCTATCAGAGAGAGAAAGGGTTAACAACCACACAACACAAACGAGGTCATTTCAGGACTAACATATGGTTTACCGGTAATTTTATTTCAATAATTCACTTGCAGGTAGGGTCTTTATCAGTGGGAGGAAACCGAAGGACCCGGGAAAAACCCACAGCCCTACTCCTGGTCACTTGGCTCAATGAATGACAGAGCTTGTGAACAAAAATCCTGGCATTAACAATTCGGCAACCCCCGCTCCCCCTTTTAACAATTCTATGGAATACAATTACTGCTTATTACTGTTTATTATATTCCATAGAACCATAGAAAAGTGACATATTTCAAATTCAATTACTAAATTCCACTGAAGCAATTTAATTCTTCACAAGGGAGGGAGGGAATCGATGAGGATGGTTTTATTTTTAGGAAAATGTAAAAACAGGACATACAGCCCTTTATTTAACCTTCTCAAGACAATCTTTTAAAACAATCTCACAAGGGAGTGAAATGGGGAGTAACGTCCACTCGAAACAAACTAGGTCATTTTGGAACTAACACGGTTCAATTTTATTTCCATAATTTGCTTGCGCGTAGGGGTCTTTAGCAGTTGGAGGAAACCGGAGGACCTGGAGAAAACTCGCGAGGTTGGACAGGTGATCCTACTCCTTGTCACGTACAACTGGGGAATCGAAACCACGCCAGTTGACTCAATGACAGACTTTATGATACAGCGCGCACCTGCTAACCATTCAACCCCCCTTTTAAAACAATCCCACAAGGGAGTGAGCTACTGGTAAAAGATGATGAGATATAAAAAATGATCATACAGCCCTTTTTAAGCAACATGACAGTATCGGAGAACCGGAATATTTCATTTTATTTGGCCTAAATATGAAACAAACTATGAACATAAATATACATTTACCACATTTTGCTTACTTCCCTTGGATGATGATTTCGAATATAATATATTTATATATTAATGGATTGGTATAATTATTAATTTGAAAGTGATATCACATAATTTCTATATACAGTGTTTTAGTATGATGTATGGAAATAGCCAGGGTTAAGATGGCACCGTTGTTGTCAACAGATTTCTAACATCATCGAGAATATTAGATAATAAATTACCGTCCGTACTTTTACCATCTATATTTAGTTGTTCATTGGTCTGAAAATATAAAATCAAACATAATGCAATGGAGTTTAACGTCCTACTATTCTGCTCTGACTGGGCTAATGAAGACGAGCATACGCCATACAATGTGCTTTGAGGGAAATTTTGCCTGGGCAGTGGCACTACGGCCTACTCTTATATGGTCTGCTCTGACTGGGATAATGACAACGGGCATACGCCATACAGTTAGCTATGAGGGAAATTTTGACCGGACAGCGGCACTACGGCCTACTCTTATATGGAATTCCAACTGTCAAGGACCTTTTACATGCACTCTAATGTGTACACGGGACCTCGGTTTATTCGTTTCATCCGAACGACTAGATAGCTGTCCTTGTCAGGCCCTCCGTCCTGCTTCACTGGAGAGGGGAAACCATGGCGGAAAATCTGGATGAACTTTCTCGGCCAATGTAGGGATCGAACACCCGACCTCCAGGCTACCCACTTAGCCACCGTGGCCCCATGAAAATATAAACAAACGTGTAAATGAAATGGGTTGATGAAGTCGAGCACACGCCATACAATGTGCTATGAGGGGAATTTTGCCCGGAGAGAGGCGCTACGGCCTACTCTTTTGAATTGTCAAGCGTTCTATTTCTATTTGTCAGCCAATATCAGGATCAATCCCAGGACCTCCAGGTTAGTGAGATTACTCACTGAGTCACCGTGGCTCAAAACAAACTTGTAACTTCATCCAATCCCAACTCTCACAGGTTCCTTTGTAGCCACGACAATGTGTCCATGTTAGGACCACACCTGGATTCAGAGAGAACAGGGTTTAACGTCCACTCAACACAACATAAGTCATTTCGCGACATAATCCAAGTCATTTCGGGACTTACACATGATTCAATTATATTTGAATAATTCACTTGCATATAAGGGTCTATCTCAGTGGGAGGAACCAGAATAAATGGAGAAAACCCACGGGGGTTGAACAGACGACCCTACTCCTTGCCATGTACAAGCTTAGGATTAAAACTATAACCATGCGTATGCATTATTCCATCCTGCCGCCCATCCCCAACACCGGGGCATTCTGGTTCGAGTTGATCTAATGTTATTACTTACTTTTTTGACTAGTAAGCAAACGGGATGACCTTGAATGGAACGACTGTATAACGAAGCACTATTATCAACTTGTTCAATAACTGAAATAATAAATAAGAACCAGCTTATTAAACATACATTATGCAAGAGCAAAATCTGCTTATTACAAGTCTTTCTTTAGGCCTGAAATGTTATCTAAATTATCAATTAGACATTAATTAACTTATCCAGACCATAATAAACTCTCGATGTCAAGGCTAGCCTTCGATGTTGGCTGGATTAGATTCCTACATGCCACTTAACGGCCATTGATAATTAAATCAAAACAGTGGATAATCGAGACTATGCTGTTTATATTATGATTTTAGTAATGATGACCGAGACTATGCGAAAATTCACCCGCTTTGTTCTCGGCTCATAGTGGATCAATTTGACTGAAATTTTCAGCAAATTACCTTTACACTATCTAGTTTTTAACTATTATAGTGAGAACTGCCATCTCTTTATCTTATCTCCCATAATGTATCTTTAAACTGTTGTAAATTGGACACTTGTTATTAAAATTGGACGCTTGTTGGCTAGTAAGTTGTTAACCTGTCATCATTTTCCTTTATGTTTTGTTTATCTATCAATTGTCAGTTTTAATCAGCTGATATTTTAAATGGGGTTTAACGTCCTACTTTTCTGTTTCATCTGGGCTACTAAGATTGAAGCGAGAGTCTTGCTCCAAACTTTGGTTGAATCAAAGTGAAAGAAGAAATGAAAGGGGTTTAACGTCCTACTGTCCTGCTCCGACTGGGCTACTGAGGACGGGCATACGTCATACAGTGTGCTATGAGGAAATTTTGGCCAGACAGTAGCGCTATGGCCTACTCTTATATCAAATACCAACTGCCAATGGATCTTTTATGTGCACGCCAATGTGTACATGGGACCTCGGTTTATCATCCCATCCGAACGACTATAACTGAAGAGTAAGAATAACAAAATGAATTTACCTCTAAAATGTAAGAAGAAACAGACTTTAGCTAAACTAATGGATAACTGGGAGTCTGTGGGATTTACTTGCAGGGAAGATTTGGCCGACAATTCACCACCGGACAAAAAATTTGTATACTCTGAGCTGAAATAAACAAATACAAACATTTCAATTTGATATATAATAGTGTAACTACCAACATGAGTTCTCTGCATCTGTTGGTTGAGGAAGTTCTTCAGAATTTTCAAGCCTGCTTTCCCCTTGTCAGTAGTGGTGCTGGAAGCAAGGCCTGACAAGCAAAAACATCTACTGGTATGAACGCATGATAGTCAATGAGGACGATTTTTACTTTTTGAAAACAAAACAGGCCCTGACTAAATTATTTCAGAGCCTTTATAGGAATCCGATTTAATACGGCTAATGTCAACAATTTCCCAAATTCAAGATCAATAGATATGAAATGATAAGGAGTTTAATGATGGGGTTTAACGTCCTACTGTTCAGCTCTGACAAGGCTAATGAAGACAGACATACGCCACACAGTGTGCTATGATGGAAATTATTTAAAAAATCTAACAGATAAAGGTTATTTTTTAAGTCCAAGCTACCAGATGTTTTCCTGGCCAGACCCTTAGTCCTTTTCCAGTACCGCAGAGAAATTTCCTGAGGATCGGTCAACACCGAAAGTGAACCCAAGAGCCCCTTGACAAACAAGCCAGCATCTTACTCACAGAGCCACCACGGTTCCCAAACAATAATTCTAATTTGAAGCTTCAAATGATACAGACTTTTATCTGTGAATACAAGAAATAAATAGGTTTATTTACCTTTTACATGGAGTGCTCACAAGATACGAGGAACAGGGTAAGTTTAATCTAAAATCTAGTTTTTCATGACTGGAACCATCATCAGACTAGAGAAAAATAACCAAAGATAAATATCATCATTATCATCGCCCAATCTCATTCCAATACAGATCTACTTTCCTTTTTTATATATGTTATAGATGGTCTGCACTACATTAAGATTTAGCCTGTTGTAGTTGGAGGTAACGTCATTTTATAACAAAAACAAAGTCAAATTTGTTTGTATAGAAATACCAAAATCATTAAATCCAAGAATTTCCTAATCAGCAACATCCACAACTATGTACAAATTTTCACAAAAATATCTTGGTTTGTAAGATATCCCTGCGGACACAAAATCGAGACGAAATGACATACCCCCCCTCCCTTTAACTACCTTCCGCAGGGGATAATAAACATCACACTTAATGCCACACTTCACATGAGAGCATATATAGAAAATTTACTGCATTAAGACCTACATATTCCTGAAGCAATGATCCGAGAAATCTCTCTCTGGCTATTGCTGGATGGGCTTCTGATACTTGAGCTTTTGAGGGAGTGTGTCTACTCTTCCTGTTCAATCAAATCTATCCCAAGTACAGCAACATGACAGCCCTTCGTTTAATCTGGGGTTTTCCCTAAAACTTTGGACAGTGATTTAAGGTATTAAAAACGGTGAAAGTGTTGTTCGACTCAAAACAGTATTGTTTACAATGTATCCATTTTGATAGCCTTGTTTGTCATGCAATTAGTTTTTCCGCAATATTCTGCTATACACTGGTTAATTGGGCATGACATCACGTTATCTAAACATATTTGGTCCAATTTGGAGCTCCGTTTAAACCGTAATGATATTGTAACGCAGTTAGCTATTAGTTGTTAATCGGACTATTGACCAGTCATAATTTGAAACAGAAATTTGCTTCCATTACAGCAGTGTTAAGTGGGGTTAGCTCTAATCAAATGAACTGCCAAGACCTATAAATACATTTAAGAATATAAATCAATGCCTCTATAAAGAGAGAAATGGAGTTTAACGATCACTGACACAAACTTGTGCATAGTGATCTTTAGCTGCGGATAGAAACCCAAGGATTTGGAGAAAATGTACAGGTGATGGGCAGACAACGCTATTTCTTGACATGTACAAGCGGAGAAAATGAAATGAAATGGGGTTTAACGTCCTACTGTTCTGCTCCTGTACTGGGCTAATGAAGACGGGCATACGCCACACAGTGTGCTATGAGGGAAATTTTGCCCAGGCAGCGGCACTATCGCCTACTCTTATATCAAATTCCAACTGCCAAGGGATCTTTTACGTGCATTCCAATGTATACACGGGACCTCGGTTTTCCGTTTCATCCGAAGGACTAGACACCTGTCCTTGTCAGGCCCTCCGTTCTGCACCACTGACAAGGGAAAACCACGTCGGAAAATCCGGATGAACTTTCTCGGCCAATGCAGGGATCGAGCACCCGACCTCCAGGCTAGCGAGCGACCAAAACCACACCACTCGACTCAATGTCAGGCCTTGTGATCTAAAGCACATGTTTTAAACCACCATGTTCCTGTACATAATGAAACTTACTTTAAGAATATACGTCAATGTTCCTCTTAATTTCTGGGGCATGTTTATGCTTTCAACTGAAAATGCAAACTGGCCTTCATTCTGGCTATCTGGTAATAAATTAAATGGTACTTTCACGGCATCTTGATTACTGTGACCCATCTAAAATAAACAAAATATCTGTTCTTTGAATGGCATTTAGTAATTGGAACATAATCAAATAACACACTATATATGGGTAACAATTACTGTAGTGTATGAAACATCGCAGTGAAATAAACCATAATAATTGTTATCCATATATAGTGTGTTATTTGAAAACAAAATATCTGTTATACACATAAATATTTTAATGTATATCAATCATTGTAGAGCAGAGGGGGCAAAAGGGCATCCATTTCAGAGTGGCATACAATCAAAGAGTGATATTAAATTCAATTTTTCTAAATTTGAAATTATCACTGTTATCTTTGTCATACATGTTGCCCTACTTTATTTATGTATTTTATCTCTTTTGACATGTTTAACATGTTTTCTTTCCAGTCTCATATTTCTCAGTATTAGGCTCTATTACTTGAGACTTGGGGGGCATGCAATCCAGGGATTGGTCCTATGCACGATCAAACCTCTGTGTGCCACCTGACCCTATACTTGAATCTTGGTGGCATATAATTAACTAGTTGTCCCCAGCCATCACCAAACCTCAGGCCCTATACTCTAGTCATGAGGGGTATACAATTTTCTGCTGACATCACGTAACCTCTACATGCCACTGTTTAATCTTTGTGTAACGATTGACATAAGTGAAATGAAATAAAATAGGGTTTAAAATCCTACTGTTCTACTCCGACTGGGCTAATGAAGACGGAATTGACATAAGAGCATTACTGATTTGTCATGGTGACTTGTAAGTTAAAATGCGGATCTCTGCCTCCAACCCATCCCCACTATGCCCCTACCTCCTATTTTCTAGGGTTGGCCGATCTCACACCTCCATATCGCCCATGCTCTTTATTTTCTCTGACTTACCCCTCGAATCAACTTCGTGTTTAAAGTATCTAATACGTTAAACTCCAAATCTTTTATATGGTTGGTGGACTGGTTGGTAAAAACTATAGACACAATTATTTGATCACCTCTTAGATTGCTAGCACGTACTTCACATGTCTGAAAACAGTCATAAATTTCAATATCAAAATGTCTACTTTAATTATTTCAAATACCAAAATATTAATAATTTTTTAAATAAAACATTAATAATTTCAATATCAAAATGTCTAATAATAAGAAATGAAATGGGTTTAACATCCTACTGTTCTGCTCCGACTGGGCTAATGAAGACGGGCACATGCCATACAGTGTGATATGAGGGAAATTTTGCCTACTCTAATATCAAATTCCAACTGCCAAGGGATCTTTTACGTGCACGCCAATATATACACGGGACCTCGGTTTTTTTTTTTGTCCCTTCCTGACGACTAGACAGCTGTCCTTGTCAGGCCCTCTGTCCTGCACCACTGATAAGGGGGCTAATAATATGAACATCACAAGGAGAAATGGTTATCAATTTATGTTATCGTTTTCCAGGTTAAGTGTAAACACCGTTCTCTCCGGCAGTACTGAAGAGTAAGTGCAGGAGGGCCACACGACACACTGACACGACACATAAGACAATCCTGTGGACAAGACACAGACACTGCAAGAAATAAACAACAAATATCAAATCAAGTGAATAGATCCGGGGAGTACGCGTTAAGTTCTGGGCCCCGTTTCTCGAAATCTTAACTAAAGATAAAATCCAATTTTAGTAGATAATTCAGTTTTGATTGGCTAAGCACTAAAATCAATCTAATATTAACCAATCAAATTAGTAAAATTTGGATTTTATCTTAGTTAAAATTTCGTGAAACAGACCCCCGGGCTTGTAATGCAGTACAAAATATTTGACAAAATATCTTACCATCTTTAATGTTTTATTTTCTGCTAATAAAAGATAACTTGACATCGGCTGTAAAATATACAAAAAATACAATAAATTGTACAAAGATAGGTTGCCAGGTAATCGTCCTCACTGTCAATAAAGGTTGTAGCATATTTACAATTTTCATTGTTTAAGGAATTCCTATTACACACAAATCACCTTGGAGACTTTAATGTGTGATGATGAATACAGTAATTGTATGGTGTGTAACAAGTATAATACATACAGGTAATTGTATAACCAGTATAATACTTATAGGTAATTGTATGGTGTGTAACAAGTATAGTTACAGATAATTGTATAATACTTACAGGTAATTGTACATCTAATGGAGTAGGTTGTTGAGACAGAGTAATATTCTCCTTAGATGGCGTCGTAATACCATCAGCTTCTATATATTCACTTCGCTTTAACTTGTCTTTTTTCTTCTTATCTTTTTTATCTTTTTTCTTCTTCTCCTTCTTCTTTCTTGGTTTCTGTTTAATAAAAAATAAACATTGTCAAATGAGCACTAGATGTATTTTTTTATTTTTATTTTGGATTTGAAATCAAAATTCTAAATTAAGAGAGAGATGGGGTTAAACATCGTCTCGACACAAACTAATTCTTTTTGGGACTAACATATGGTTCAATTTCATTTCAATGGATGGAGGTCTTTTAGCAGTAGGAGAAACTACCGACTTCTTCCCCTACTTGTTTGGTTTCATCATCTACTGTAGATAAAACCATATTATACACGCTGTCATTACCATTGTTAGTTATATCACAGGCTTACCTCTCCTACTTGATTGGTTTCATCATCTTCTGTAGATAGAACTATATTATACGCGCTATCCATCCCATTGTTAGTGATAGTTGTAGTTAAAGTTGTATTGGCTTTAGTTGGTGAAGGGGTATTCTCTGCACTTTCTGATAACCAATACTCTATATCATCAGCCTACAATGTAGAAATATATCATGTTAAAGTCATGTAATAGTAAGTGCAGTCCCCAGTAAGTGCAGGGGGACTGCACCACACATAATTTACACAAAAACAAACACACGGACAAGACATCATACTCAGAAACCACAAATAAACAAACAATTCAAAAAAAGTGAATGGATCCGGGGGCTAGCCGTAAGCGTCCACTGCGCTGTATAGTCCCGGGCCTGTAGTGTCATTTCAGGGAAATAGGAATTCCTTGTAAACTTCAAAGTTGAATCTCTATTAGGAATATCAATCTAAAAATGGTTCAATTTTACTTTCAGTATTTACAAAGATATGTGCAATTGAACACTTAACAAGTGAAGACCGAGTTAGATGAATAAAACCCAAAGTTTCTCGGACACATCTGGATTCAAACTAAGCTTATACAAGTTGAGAGGCCAATCTGCTTTGACTACCACAACAACAGGTATTTAACTGGTGTTTCAATGACTCAGTCGAGAGGCCAGTCTGCTCTGACTACCACAACATTAGGTATTTAACTGGTGTTTAAATGACACAGTTGAGAGGCTAGTTCCCTAAACACTCGACTACCACAGCGGCTGGTAATTAACTGGTGTTTCAATGACTCAGTCGAGAGGCCAGTCTGCTCTGACTACCACAACATCAGGTATTTAACCGGTGTTTAAACGACTCAGTCGAGAGGACAGTTCCCTAAACGACTGACTACCACAGTTGCTGGTATTTGATTGGTGTTTCAATGACTCAGTTGAGAGGCCAGTTTCCTAAACGAACGACTACCACAGCGGCTGGTTATTTGATTGGGGTTTAAATCCCTCAGTCGAGAGGCCAGTTCCCTAATCGCACGACTACGATAGCGCCTGGTATTTGACTGGTGTTTCAATGACTCAGTTGAGAGGCCAGTTCAATAAACGCACGACTACCACAGCTGCTGGAATTTGATTGGTGTTTAAATCCCTCACCTTGCTAACAGCTGTAGTATTTTCAATAACTGATAAATCAGCCACATCGTTCACGACACCATTATCCCCTATTTTATCATCCCCTTCTGTAGCTAATAATAAACTTGGTGCCTCACGATTACTTGATTTTGATTTCTTTTTATCTTTTTTCTTGTCTTTTTCTTTCTGTAAATGTAAAAAAAAACCAATTGAAATTAACTGTAAAATTAAAATAGCAATAGTTATTAATTTGCAAGAGATGGACAGAGAACAACCTAAAAACATGATTTTTCGTACAATCTGTGGCCATAATCCAGTAAGTTACAGTCCAATATGTGCCCATATTAAAAGGAACCGAGATCTTTGGGTTATAAACATACATTTTAAGTTTCATCAAAATCGGATAAACAATTGTGACCTCTAAGAGTGTCAACAAGCTAAGAACGTGATTTTCGTAAAATCAGAGGTCATAATCCATGCAGTTATGCTCCGATACATTCCAATATCGAAAGGAACCAAGATCTTTAGGATATAAATCTATATTTCACAGAAATACAGAATTAGTGAAAAACATCAAATCAATTCAATAAACACACCTTTTCCTTCTTCTTGTCTTTCACTCGGTGTTTTTTCTTGGGTTTATCGTTAGTTTCTGTCGTCTCCTGTTCCGGGGATTCACTATTTAAAACAATATGGTGGGTACGCACTGGCAGACGTTCATCATCACGCAATGGTCTAAAAATAAAAATAGCATTTCAGTGAATATTTTTCGATTTAATTTAACCTTTAACTGGAGTACTTGGATTTCTGACCTGACATAGTAGTGCTCACAACATGAGTGTCAAGTTCTGTTCATTTGTTGGCATCAATTGTCATCGGAACCCATGGCACAGTCTTTAAAACAGTCAGAGCAAAGAGAAAGAGGTAGCCACACTCGACATAATCAAGGTATTTCGGGCCTAAAACATGGTGAAATTTTATTTCTATAGTTCGCTTGGGAATACAAGTTTTAACAGTGAGAGGAAACTGGAGGACCCAGAGAGAGAGAGAGAGAGAGAGAGAGAGAGAGAGCAAGCGAGAGAGAGAGAGATGGGGTTTAACTCAACTCAACACAAAGTAGGCCATTTCAGGACTAACATATGGTTCAATTTTATTTCAATAATTTGCTAGAACGTAGGCTCTTTAGCAGTGGGAGGAAACCGGAGGATAGGGAGAAAACCATGAGGTTGAATAGACGGCCCTACTCCTCGTCACATACAAGCGGGTAATTTAAACAACGCCCTTGACTCAACAACAGAACTGATGATCAAACGTGCACGCGTTAACCATTCGGCCACCCTACCCACCTCGACCCAGAGAAAACCAACAAGGTTAGGCAGGTGACCCTTCTCCTTGGCATGTACAAGTGTAAGATTGTAACCATGCATACCACATAAGCCTAGTTTGTTACCTGGAGACGGCATAAAGTCAGTGGAGCATGCTGGATACCTGAATGGAAAGAAGGAAGGGTAACTACATTTTTAAATTAACAATTTAAAAGATATGAAATTACTTACTCATCTAAATTCATATCTAATTTTTTGTTCAAGTCGTTATCATTATCATCATCATCTTTATCTGACAGATGGGCACCCTGTAATAATAATTATACCATGTAACCAAATATGAAATGAAATGGGGTTTAAAGTCCTACTGTTCTGCTCCAAACTGGGATAATGAAGACGGAGTAACCAAATAACACATATTTGAGTCTTGGGGAAATACAATTAAGGAGTTGGCCCATGTATCACCAAACCTTCTCACATCATGGTCGATCACAATGTCAAACTATACTGTCAAGCTCACATCAAAACTTTCTGTACAACTAATATTACAAATTTACTGTCATACTGTAGAAACTAATTAATATTTCACTGTCAAACCAATGAATATGAAATCTGTCAAGCCAATTAATCTAATTTTTACCTCTGGCATATCAACGACTGTACTAACAGCATGCATGACTTCAACATCGGGATCAGAATCCGAACCATCATGTCGTCGCTTCTTCTTTTTACCTTTCTTACGACTTTTATTTTTACCATCTGCTTCTTGGTACGCGGATAGTTTTGAGTATTTATCAGAGCCTGAAATCATAAATGAATGGATATCTAAAAATCAGAGGTGATTTATTCATCTTTCAATCTGATTAAAATACAGATCTACATTTCATTGTGTCTTTTATACTTTCGATGGCCTACACTACATGAAGATCTGATTGGTTGTAGCCATAGGTTGCGTCAGATGTAATACGAGCGGCTTTTGACCCTATGACGTTAGACATTTGATTAACTAATCAGCATTGATGTTACTAGTGAATTACCCACAGTTCCACGCAAAACACGGTTAAATCTCGCCGTAACAGACAGTTTCATTGGCTAATCCCTCACATCAGCCAGAACGTTGGTTTTATAACAACTCTTCTAGATCCTAGTGTAGTAAGGACAAGTAAACGAAATTAATAAACGAAACGAAATAAGATCTGTGTTTTAATCAGATTGATCATCTTCATAACGTGTCAGGTTAAAGGAAACTTTATCAAATGCTCCAGCAGCTACACAGATCTACTGTTTTGTCAGTTTTTTTTATTAGTGTTTAACGTTAGCAGCCACCAATAGTGATATCGCAGACAAGTTGTCTTAGTTTATTATGCTTAGCGCACATGTCTTAGAAGGCACCCCTATCTCCCAGCCAAATCGAAACAACGACCACAAGTCATCCCAACCATTTCGTTTCATAAATGAATGTATATTAGGTATAATATTTTACTTTTACGCACCAGCCGAGCTAATTAGCCTTAGAGTGTGTCATTGCCGCCTACTCTTATATCGAATTCCAACTGTCAGGGGATCATTTACGTGCACACCAATGTGTACACGTGATATCAGTTTTTGGTTCCACCAAATGACAATACGTTTTCCCTTGCTAGGCCCTCGGTCCTGCACCACTGACAAGGAGGAACCACGCCAGAAAATCACGAACTTTCTCGGCTAAAACTTGGGTTGAACAAGAAAATTCCAGGTTAGCAAGCCAACATCTTACTCACTGAGCCACCGTGGCTTCTTATAGATAGAATTATAATTATTTATTTACCTGGTATGTGTAACGGAACAGAGAGATCAATTTCTGCCACTGGAATGTCGTCTAATTTCAATAAATCATTCTTTTTCCTCTGTAAAATAATAAATAAATTACACAACCATTATAATTTTTGGTTTAAAACATAGCCTGGAATGTTTCAAATATTTGACAGAATTGAAACGCGAGTGACAGGGAATTTAGACCTGACACAGTTTGGTATACTTGAAAAAAGATGGTGAGTCAAGTTGTTAAGTAATGAAATAATTTAGCTGCAGTGAATGGCCGAGATAATAACACAATTAGATGGCACATGCCATGTGCCCTAAAATTCTCTATAATGTAAATACTCAAATATGATTTTTTTTAAGAGAGAGAGAGAGAGAGAGACTACACACAAACTAGGTCATTTCGGGACTAACACATGGTTCAATTTTATTTCAATATTTCACGTGTGCGTAGGGAGGAAACCGGAGGACCCGGAGAAAACCCACAAGGTTGGACGGGCGACCCTACTCCTTGTCAGGTACAACTGGGGAATCAAAAAACCCCAAAAATATAATAAAAGAAATTAATAGAAAAATGAAAATAAAACTTTATGTTACCTTGCTCTTTCCATCATCTTTCAGATAATGTGGATTGTGCATTTGTTCCATTTTACGAGCCGTTCTACTCTGTAACAGAATTCAAACATAGATCATACGTCAATTAAACAAGAAACATATTTACAAGAACACTGAAACAAGTCTAAGACATCAAATATCTCTTTTGTTATGACCGCCGATTTTCATTTGTTAAGTTTTCTAAATGTTATTTGAGAGATCGAGCAATCAGTCCAAAATGATTCAATTCTGTTCAGTATTTAAAAAGATATGAGGACATGAAAATATTGCAACTTTACAAAAGATATCACCTAAAAATGTCTATCAGTAACTTTAATCTCCAAAAAAGAATCAAGGGTAGAAAAACTAGAAAATTAAAATTGTGGAAGTACATTGCAGCCATCTTAAAGATACATAATGGGAGATTAGATAAAGAGCTGGCAGTTCTCACTATAATAGTTAAAAACTAGACAATGTAAAGGGAATTTGCTGAAAGTTTCAGTCAAACTGATCTACTCTGAACTGAGAATTTAGCTCATTAATGAGTATTGAGCAGCAGATCGGAACCTAAGCCAATAAACATCGCAGGCTAGCAATGACATTGAGAGTTGATTATGGTCTGGATAAGTTAATTAATGTCTAATTAATAATTTAGATAACATTTCAGGCCTAAAGAAAGACCTGCAATTGGCAGATTTAGCTCTTGCATAATGTATGTTTAAGTAAGCTGTTACTGTTATATAGAACATTTATCAACCAAGAGACATGCAGACATTTATATATCGGTTACAATTAAAAGTAGTAAATCCATTTTTTTGTGTAATTAAACTGGTTGCCATGGTAAAAACTATTAAGCTCTTACTGTTATTATTGAATAATTATCCATAGCTTTTATATACATAGTTACAATTAGAAGGCAATCTACATTTACTGTGTAATTAAACTGGTTGCCATGGCAAAGAATAACACTTACAACTGTCAGTTCTTCTTCAGTAGGTTCATAGACTGGTTTTCTTTCATCATTATCATACTGATACATTGACCTAAAACACATAATAATAATGATAAATAATAATAAATAATTCTGTACACAAAATTTTTCTACAGTAATTTAATTTTATCCATAGGAGAGAAAACCCACGAAAAAAAAAATGATCCATTATTTTCTGATGATTGTATCATTTGCTTGATAAGTAAACCACAAAAGTTTTCAATGGAATTTGCCAGAAGGGCCAGTCATGTTTAAGGGAGGGAAATGGGGTTTAACGTCCACTCAACACAAACTAGGTTAACATATGGTTCAATATATTTCAATAATTCACATGTGCATAGGGGTCTTTAGCAGTGGAAGGAAACTCGAGGACCAGGAGAATACCCACGAGATTGGACAGGTGACCCTACTCCTTGTCATGTTTAATTAAGTGGGCAATCGAAACCACGCCACTTGACTCAATAACAGACTACATGATCAAATCACTAGACCACCAGTCGAGTTTGAAAGCCTAGTCTCGAATAGAGAATCTTAAATCACAGCTTCACTCAGTAATAAACATAATTTTATTCCACAGAACCGTGGCTTGTAGGTTTCCATGGAACTGACAATGAAACATATTCAAGGAATGTGACATATTACAACTAAAAAGTTCCAACTTACATATGTTCTGTAGGTTTCCATGGAACTGCCAATGAAACATATTCAAGGAATGTGACATATTACAACTGAAATATTCAACTTACATATGTTCTGATTTTCCCATAGCAAAGAAAGATGGACCTTGTATTTCATCATCGGAACTGTCGGATGGTGGGGGGTTTATCCATTTGTCTAAATCTAACCTGCAATCAATTAATAACACCTTATCTAAATTGTATTCAATTAATAACACATTAATCTAAATTGTAAACAATTAATAACACATTAATCTAAATCGTAATCAATTAATAACACATCTATCTAAATTGTAATCAATTAATAACACATTGATCTAACTTGTAATCAATTAGTAACACATTATCTAAATTGTAATCAATTAACAAAATATTTATCTGGAGTAAGGCAGGAAACAATTATGCTCTGTACACACAGGTGTAAACAGAATTTATATTTTTAAATTACTTAGTTCTTATTCACCAGGCAGTTGCATTAGTCAAGCCGAAGGGCAACAGCATTTCAACATGAAATGAAAATGAAATGGGGTTTAACGTCCTACTTTTCTGTTCCCACTGGGGTAATGAATACAATCATAAGCTATGGGGGAAATTTTGCCTGCACAGCGGTGCTACGGTCTACTCTTATATCGAATTCCGACTGTCAAGGGATCTTTTCTGTACATACCAATGTGTAAATGGGACCTGTTTTTTTTTGTTCCATCCGAACAACATTCCCATTTACACATTGGTATGCACGGAAAAGATCCCTTGACAGTCGGAATTCGATATAAGAGTACACCGTAGCGCCGCCGTCCAGTGCTATTCAAAAAAATTGTTAAATACAAAGGAAGTAACTTTCATCTTGTTGCAACAAACAAGCCATCATATTGTAGTGAATGTAAGTAATGAGGCTAAAACTGGTTTGTAAACATTCGTGTTATATCATTAAAAATATATATTTAGTCTGTTTTAAGGGTCACAAATAGTCAATCACTATCACTCATCCTAGAGGTAGTCAATGAAAGATTTTAAGAGACGACTAGACAACCCCTAGTTTTCCTAAATAATCTGGTCACTAAATATAACTTACCCATCTGGTACTGGGACTTTTTTCTGGGCTTTGATAGCAACAGGATTTAAATCACCAGCGTATAATTGTTCTAGTTCTTCTCCCATTTTAACACCTTTTTCATGTATTTTACCAACATATTTAGCGACTTGTAAAATACAACATGCCTAGAAAAACAAACAACATACACATCATACTGTTTTCATCATTTTATTCTGGATAACTCAGAAGCGAAATGAAAAAAAGATCAGGTCCTCGTGTTCGGCTCCCAACTGGGCAAATGATGACGGACATACGTCATACAGTGTGCTATGAGGGAAATTTTACAAGGACAGCAAATTCCACCTGTCATGGTTTCTTTTATGTGTACGCCAATGTGTACACAGGACCTCTGTTTTTCACACTATTCGAACAACTATACGTTGTCCCTTGCCAGGATGTTTTGCATCACCGACATGGGGGAACTATGCCGAAAAATCATGATGAACTTTCTCGCATAACACCAGGTTTAACTTCCACTCGACAGGTCATTTCGGGACTAAGATATGGTTCAATTTTATTTCAATAAATCGCTTGTGCGTAGGAGTCTTTAGCAGTGGCAGGAAACCAAAGAACCTGGAGAAAACCTATGAGGTTGGAAAGGGGACCCTACTCCTTGTCGCATACAACCGGGGTATCGAAACCAGGCCAGTTGACTCGATGACAGACCTTATGATACAGTGTGCACATGCTAACCATTCGGCCATCCAACCCCCCTCCATATAAAACAAGGTCCACTATAGAAGAAGAGAGAAGAGAACACAAACCACGATTAATAACTAGACTTACTCGTTCTTGAACTTCTAAATCCGCACTCTGAATGAATATCGGAAGTTTATCAGCTAATAATTCATTGACATCTTTCAACATTTGTTCATTATCTTCATCCTCTGCCCGTTTTATAACTTTACCATATAATTTTAACATATTCTGTACATATACACTCTGTATATGACCCGGTAATATCGTTATTTTAGGGCGTAACATACATTCTAACGTACTCTGGGGATCGGAGAGATGTCTGAAATGAAAAAACAGATTAATTTATTGATGTGAAAATCAGAAAAATGTCTGTTGTATTACTTCCAGATCAATTTTCTAAAACAATATTGCATTCAATTTTTTTCGTTACTGGTCACCGTGCCCATTTACTCACACTTAATTCTTAAATTGTTCATTTTTACTGTTTTAGCATTTTCTGAGATTCTATCAGGATTATTGCCCTAATCATTTTTTGATTGGTAGACCATTTCCATCAATAAACATTGATTGCATGTCTTGTATTCAATGTTGAATTGTTTTTGTTTTTTCTCTTGCACTTACTATTTGATTTCGCGACCTCACAAATAATTTGACGGTTAAAATAGCGTTAATAAAATCTTACTCAGCAAATTCTCCACAGACCCATGCTGCTGCATACAACACTTCACAAATACCATTTCTCTGTGAATTACTCAATAAAGCTTGGGAGTTTTCTAATAAAAGAGCCTACAACGACATGTCAATTATTCATTTTAATACATTAAGAAGATTATTACCAAACATGTGTAACGATAATTCAAATATAATTTTTCTTAATTTATTTTCAATAATTCGATAGTATGTAGGGGTCTTTAGATTTTGGATGAAAAAGGGAGAGAAAAGTCGGACAGTGGCCCTGCGGCCTACTCTTATATCAAATTCCAACTGTCTGGAGTGTTGTGTACATGAGACCTTGTTTTTTTGTATCATCCAAACGACTATACGTCGTCTCTTGCCAGGTCCTCCATCCTGCACCATTTGTAAGAGTGTCCATTACCCAGAAAAACTAGCAAAATTATCTTCATGATTAGGATTCAGTTGTTACTCAGAGAAAATCAACGAGGTTTTGACAGGCACCGCTGCTCGATATAAGCTTGGTATCGAAACAACGCCATTTAATAATAGATCTTACGATCTAAAGTAGACAAGTTAATCGAGGTTGAACAGACAACCTTGCTGGATGTCACGTACAAGCTTGGTATCGAAACCACGCCACTTGGTTACATACCTTATGGTCTAAAGCACACACCACTAGCAATCCAATCCCCAATCCAGCCGTAATATAAAGAGAGAGGGAGAAATGGGGTTTAACGTCCACTCAACACAAACTAGGTCATTTCGGGGAGGAAACCGGAGGACCCGGAGAAAACCTACGAGGTTGGACAGGCGACCCTACTCCTTGTCACGTACAACCGGGGAATCGAAACCATGCCAGTTGACTCAATGACACCGTAACATAAAACAAAACTTACCATCTGGGTAACGGCAAAATGTCTAATGGCTTGTACCCGTATAGCAACATCTAACATCTGTGAGGCAATTAATTTACCATGTCGAGTTCCTTCCATCCGTGTTAATTCTACTAATATACTCACATACCTACAAATAAACAAACCAAAATGAAATGGGGTTTAACATCCTACTATTAAACATTGACTGGGCTAATAAAGACGGGCATGACCCTAACAATGTGCTATAAGGAAAATTTTGCCCGGACAATGGAACTACAGATTGTTGAAATTCAATAGGCTTCTTCATCTCATTTATGTAAACAACATACATATAATTTTTTAATAGATTGAATGATAGATGTATTCTGTAGAGTGCTCACAAGACGTTGAAGACAACGGTCAGGCAAACGGGAGGAACAACAATATAAAACAGCATTTCAATATGGGTGTAAAAAAATTCAACCAGTTAAAGCAACATACCATTCAAAATTAGTAATATATTGATAGTTTGACTGGCTACATATTTCTATGATCTTTGATAGCAGCTCATCTCTATAATGGGAGCCTTCTGCTTTATCCATATGTACCATCAATTTCTTGACTATTTCCATTAAATTCTTCTTAGATACCTGAAGGATAACATCAAAGCATAAACATATGATAAAAGAAGAGAGAGAGAGAGAGGGAGGCCACAAATTGTTGTAAGGGGCCTAATACTCAAAATAATACATTCCTATAGTACAGGCTCATTCAGGAAGTTTAGGTGGAGGGGTGGGTTACGGTTCTAAGGTGGAGACAATGTCAAGTTTGGTGTGAGGTTTGGGTAATTATCCAAGAATTCTATAAAATCAGAGGCTGAGTTCACAAAGCATTCTCAGGCTTAAGTTAATACATTTAATTTACTCAAAATTGTTAGCCTTTTTTTTAACTTTGTGAACTCAGGGCGAGAAGATCTGAGACAATATTTCTACTCATATACATGTATGGTTATCATGAACAAGGCCAAAACAGCGGTAATGCTTTGTACGTCTGTTCTGTTTGTTCGACGTTATTTTGCTGAATGTAAGAGAATAAAAAAAATATGCTTTGCACGGACAGGGGAAGTGCTATAGATTTCAGTGCTACCAAGCTAGTAACTTATATTTACATCAAAGCAGTTATAGGGAGAGAGAGAGGGGGTTTAACGTCCACTCGACACAAACTAGGCTTGCACGTAGCGGTCTTTACCAGTGGGAGGGAACCGGAGGACCCAGAGAAAACCCACAAGGTGAAAAACACCACTCACCATGCCATACAATAGATCTAGAGCTCGGATTCTAATAGATTCATCTTTATCATCCAGACACTGTAATATGAGGTCTTTATGTGACTGTACACTCTTAGGATGAGTTGATAAAATACGAGACATAGCCAACAAACCTAAATACTTTACTGAAATATATAAAGACAATAAACAATACAATATTCATTCATTCATTCATTCATACAAACTCATCCTTATTCAGGAAATGAATAACGAGGCTATTTGAGTGTTCCTAGACCTTAGAAAAACAAGTGCTGCTGCAGTAGCTGAAAACAAGATTATTTCTATATATGGGATGACGTCCCTATACATTTCTCTTGGACCCGGAGAAAACCCACAAGGTTGGACAGGGGCTACCCTACTCCTTGTCACATAAACCAGGGAATCGAAACCACGCCAATTGACTCAATGACAGACCTCTCGCTAAATGACACGTGAAGCTTTTAGTAAAATTGAACAAAAAAAAAACAACATGCAAATTTATCAAAGAAATAGAAAAAATAATCAACAGATGTCAAATTTACTCACAATTTTGGTCTGAATCTTCGATTAATATGCGCAACTTTTGAACACATAACTGAAAGAATGAAATGGACATTTCTAAACCCTCCGTAATTAAAGATTTCTTTTCATTAAAACAAATTTCTTAGTTTGAGGGCTTTTGATTCTTAAATTTCAATTCACAATCTAATTCATTCAACAATTCAACATCAATGACAACATCCACGGTGTACAACAGATGTACAACTTATCATGCATCAAATACATCTTAGTTGTAACTATATTAAAGAGGCATTATGTAAGATTTAGTTCTTGCTATAATAGTTCAAAAAGTTCAAAAATAGATAATGCAAAATGAATATATTGAAAATTTCATTCAAATTACTTTATTCTGAGCAACATTATCATTATGTGGCATTGATTGTTTATTATCGTAATGGTACTTTTTAAATTAAATCATTAAATGGCTGAGGCTGAAGCCGTCTAATATACTTAAAATGGGAGCCATCTGATGTCCTAGTGAGTTGATTATGGGTTTGAAATGAAATGGGGCTTAACGTCTTACTGTTCTGTTCTTACTGGGCTAATGAAAATGGGCCTGTCCTATGCAGTGTTCTATGGGGGAAATTTGGCCTGGACAGCTGTGCTATGGCCTACTCTTACTTAGAATTCCAACTGTCAAGGGCTCTTTTACGTGCATGCCAATGAATACACAGGACCTCAAGTTTGTCATCCCATCCAAAGGACTATACATTGTTCATTGCCAGGTCCTTCATCCTACATCACTGATAAGGGTGATTTGGAGCATATTTTGGAAAAAAACATGATTTTTATGCAAATATACCAAGAATACCAAGATAACTGAAACTTTGGTGAATGATCACACAGACTGAAGTTTAATAAAAATTCTATGGGTTCTGTTTTTTGGCTCGTCACCCTGAACCTATCAATCATCCATCACAATAATCTGTTGCATTTATTATCTTCTAAAATTATATTCTAATTCCGACATTTTCTTAAATATTAAGTATCACTATTCATTTTCCCTACAGTTACAAGCCCATAAATATAAATTTTCCTAACAGTAACAGTTTCAGGACCTTTAATGTCAATTTTCCTTAGTGTTTCAGGCTCATCAATGTCTATTCTCCTTAGTTTCAGGCCCCTCAATGTCAATTTTCCTTATTTTCAGGCCCTTAAATGTCAATTTACCTTACAGTTTCGGCCCATCAATGTCAATTTTCCTTACAGTTTCAGGCCCATCGATGTCAATTTTCCTAACAGTGTCAGGCCCATCAATGTCAATTTTCCTAACAGTTTCAGGCCCTTCAATGTCAATTTTTAAGTGTTTTGGGCCCTTTAATGTCAATTTTCCTTAGTGTTTCAGGCTCATCAATGTCAATTTTCCATAGTGTTTCTGGCTAATCAATGTCAATTTTCCTTAGTTTCAGGCCCCTCAATGTCAATTTTCCTTACAGTGTCAGGCCCATCAATGTCAATTTTCCTTAGTTTCAGGCCCTTGAATGTCAATTTTCCTTACAGTGTCAGGCCCATCAATGTCAATTTTCCTTACAGTGTTAGGTCCATCAATGTCAATTTTCCTTACAGTTTCAGGCCCAACAATGTCAATTATCCTTATATAAGTACAGATCTATCAATGTCAATTTACAATAAGATGTAATCAATATTAATTTAGAATTTAAAATCAGAATAAGTAAAGACAAGATAGTTGATTATTTTTGGTCTAAGATACCTGGTATATAAAGAACTGATTTTATGTAGACCAAATCAATGTATGGTAACAGATGTTATTGGATCATTCATTCAGACCAGATGTTGTCAACAAATGCATAATAAACAGACATTAGGAAGTGGATTTTTCAGTAGCTTTTTCATCATACTAATTTATTTAACAAGCAAACAGACTGAAGGAGAATATTTACACTACAACAGATAGTCAAAGCAACAAATACAAAACGATACACTAAAGATACATTCAGTGGCTGGGGTATTGCTCCAAACATTGTCTCACTCAGTATACTGTTGGGTCATACCTCGCTCTCTTAAATTTCGTTGGTTTTACCCTGATCTCCCCTCCATATCGTTGGTTTTACCCTGCTCCTTCACGTACGATATTGCTCCAAACAGTGTCCCGCTTTGTTTATTATTGGGTCATACCTCGCTCTCTTAAATTTCGTTGGTTTTACCCTGCTCTCCCCTCCATATGGTTGGATTTAACTCCGCTCTCCCTATTTATTGTTGGGTCTTACCCTGCTTTCCCTGTATATTATTGAGTCCAACCCCTGCACTCCCCTATATTTTGTTGTGTTTTGCTCCACTTTCCCTTACATATTAAATTATTTCAATGGCATTTAGTAATTGAACTGGAATATACAGGTCAAAATTCTATCGAATATAATTATTGCTTATTACATATTGCTGGGTCTTGAACAGATCTCCCTGATATATTAAGTCTTAGTCTGGTCTCCCTTACATATTGTTATGTCTTACCCACGGCACACACACCCCTCAATATTGTTGGGCCTCTCTAACACACCCTCCATATTGTTGGGTCTCTCCCACACACACACCTCCAAATTGTTGGGTCTCTCCCACACACCCCTCCATATTGTTGGTTCTCTCCCACACACCCATCCATATTGTTGGGTCTCTCCCACACACACCCCTCAATATTGTTGGGCCTCTCTAACACACACCCTCCATATTGTTGGGCCTCTCTAACACACCCTCCATATTGTTGGGTCTCTCCCACACACACACACCTCCAAATTGTTGGTTCTCTCCCACACACCCATCCACATTGTTGGGTCTCTCCAACACACCCCTCCATATTGTTAGGTCTCTCCCACACACCCTTCCATATCATTGGGTCTCTCCCACACACCCCTCCATATTGTTGGGTCTCTCCCACACACCATTCCATACTGTTGCGTCTCTCCCACACACCCCTCCATATTGTTGGGTCTCTCCAACACACCCCTCCATATTGTTGGGTCTCTCCCACACACCCCTCCATATTGTTGGGTCTCTCCCACACACCCCTGCCATATTGTTGGATCTCTCCCACACAACCCTCCATATTGTTGGGTCTCTCCCACACACCTTTCCATATTGTTGGGTCTCTTCAACTCCCCCTGCAATATTGTTGGGTCTCTCCCACACACCCCTTCATATTGTTGGGTCTCTCCCACACACCTTTCCATATTGTTGGGTCTTACCCTGTTCACCCTTATACATTATTGGATGTCCTCCGATTTCTTATTTTACTTCTACACAGCTTAGTCTATACTTGCTGTTGATTTAATGGCTATAAATGAATTTTGAATAGAGAGCTGCTTCCAGAATCTTAATTCCAATAATTAATCAAGCTTGTAGTCTTTCGTGTTCATAAATAAAATCCATCACCAAAATTAAAAAATAAAAAATAATATTTCTATTTTGTCTATGATACCAAATCTCAAACAGTATAGCCATTTCATATAAGAATAGAAAATTCATGCTTGTCAGTCAAGGATGTTAGTACATGACAGTGCCAGGCATTCATTCACCTTTAGTGGGTTAATAACTGCATAAACATTGTCTATTGGATGAAATAGGTTGCCAGGCAATAAAAGCATACGCCCAAAGCAGCTAAGTTGTCCCTTCCCGTAAGATTGGGTGTCTCAAATTCCCATACACAGGTATGTCAAATATGCAATTCTTTTATTGGAAAAAAAAACTACCCCATACTTTTGTGGGAATTTATTTTGAAATAAACTTCTTTATTGCACTAAACAGACAGACGGATAGGGTGACTGCAATATACAACAACAAAAACAATAAATTTGATTTAAAAATGATTTTAAAACAAAGTTAATCTAATTGCACTTTTAAAACAGTGATTGAAAACCTCTCAATACACAAAAGAGCAGCAAGGACATTCCCACTATTAAAAGAGGGGTGTTTTCGGTCTAAACAACACATATTTTATAACCAGTTACACACATTTAGCAACATATTACACATACTGTATAATGGGACATTCCATTATCTCTAAAAGCTGAGAACAGGAGCAGGATGTGTTTTACTGTTAACAGAAAGCAACCTTTACAGAGAGAGGTATCTAACTAACCAATATCAGATCTTAATAACCCTTTCATTCCAAATATCATTCACAAAATAATCCGCATTAAAGATACATTATGTAAGGTTTAGATATAGAGCTGGAAGTTCTTGCTATTACTAGTTAAAAAATAGATAGTGAAAAATGAATATATTAAAACATTTGGTCAAATTACTTTATCCTGAGTGTTTGAAGTTTTACCAAGTACCATTAGTGCATTACTACGATAATTAATAAATTCTCAATTATCCATTTTAACATCAAATTTTTAAATGGAGCAGGTGGTTTAATCCATTCAATATCACAGCCATTAGATAGTATAGATATTTGGTAATGTGCTTGTCATTGGAATAATAGGCAAATTAATAATTCATATAAGATTTGAAGCTAGAAACTAGAGCAGCAATAGACAGATTTAGCTCTTACATCATGCATCTTTTAATGCTGATTTCTTTTTTAACTATTACAGCAAGAATGACCAGCTCTTTATCTAAATCTTACATAAGGCCTCTTTAAAGAAACAAGAAAAGGGGATCAAATTGGAAATGTTTGATAAATAAATCTATTGGGAATGAAAGGGCCATCACCAAATATATATATATATAAATATATCAACTGCATATCTTTTATCTACAGACTCTTTTAATAAGATACTTTACTCAGCATTAAAAATTAAAATATCCCTTTCTCTATCCTTAAACTTTACATCTAATCCAATCAACAATAAATCAAAAGATATCAAATGTTTCAAATAACTTCCTTTTTTTAAAAATAAATTTAATTTTTAATTAAAGTTCGAAAACAAAACATTCAATAGATGCTAAAAATCCAAACATATTCGGCATTTTTTTTTTTTTTTTTAAAAATCCAAATAATTAATGCAAATCAATTACTATTAATTTCTTTGACGATTTATTTATTCTTTTAAAACGTATTTTTAAATCAATGGTTAATTTTTTAACTACTAAACGGACATAATAATTTGTAGTAATGAGCAAGGTATCTATAATAAAAGAGCATATAGATATGTAAATATGTACCTGAATGGAGGCAGTGTGGTTTGGGATGCCTGAAGATATAGAAATGAGGACTGTAAGTAAGAGGAGAAACATATGTCAACATTTATTAGTTCATAAAATCATAACTTTATTTTACATTAAAAATGTCATCTAGGACAACTGCTGGGTGGATCGTTGTCGGCGAGGAGAAGAGCCTGCAGGACAATTATTAATTCACAATCATTGTACATTAAAAATTGGATCGAGGACAATCACCTTATCTCCTTTTAGTAATTTTAGATTATAAATTATTACAATTTGTTGACAGTGTGGATAATTACTTTATGCAAGATATGGAATACGCTAAAATAAATTATCCTTCTAGTCTATGCACAACTGACAACAGCTTATTAAAGCTCATTTAAAAAAGCTGACGAAATAACTATTAATATTATTATTTGTTATCTACATGTACTAACAATAATAATTTTTGCATTTACTATTATTAATAATTTAGAAGTTTTAAATTCATGTGTGATATGCCGTTTTTAAATATAGAGGTTGATATAATTTATATGTGTAAGCAATAATTTATATTATATTATAAACTTTGCCATGGGAAGGATTTGGCACCATGATTAAAATAGTAGGATTTGTGACCCAATGGTTGCAGGTTCGAGACTCGAATTGTGCGTGAAGTTGTTGTGTGTCTGTAAACTACCCAGCGGTTAACGGGTACGGGTACTGGTAGACTAGTGTACTCCAGACTACCCAACTGTAAATGGGTACTAGTAGGGTGGTGTATTCCACAGGTAGACTAGTGTACTCCAGACTACCCAAATGGGTACTGGTAGGGTGGTGTACTCCAGTGAACCCAGCTGTAAATGGGTACAGGTAGGGTGGTGTATTCCAGTGTACCCATCTGTAAATGGGTACAGGTAGGGTGGTTTATTCAGCTACACAAATATGGGTAGTATAAGTTGGGTGTCTTTCTCAGATTTAAAGCAGTTGGGCGAAAGGGAGGTAATCAAGCTTTACCCGTATCTTGAGATCGAGGGAAGGAATTATATCGCGCTTAGAGTGGTGTGGATAAAGCGTATCATAAATCTACAGATTGTCATTATACAAAAGAGTATCTCTGCTGTGGAACATGAAAACTTGTCATAATTTATTGAGAATAATAACTGAAAATTTAATACTTATTTGTAAAAATTTAAAGATTATCATTATATAAAAGAACATCTCTGTTATGAAACGGAGAATAATAACTAAAAATTTCATACTAATTCATAAAAATTTAACTAGCTCAGTTTATTTTGTAAAATATGATTATAAAATATATAAACACTCATAAAATGAAAATCATAAAAGTTGCAAAATTAACAAATATAGTTTTATATAAGCATGACATATAACCAATACCTCTTAGAAAACAATCTGATTAAAATACAGATCTAGGGGACATTCGACCATGGTGTATAATATACAGATCTAGGGGACCTTCGACCATGGTGTATAATATACAGATCTAGGGGACCTTACAGATCTAGGGGACCTTCGACCATGGTGTATAATATACAGATCTAGGGGACCTTTGACCATGGTGTATTATATACAGATCTAGGGGACCTTCGACCATGGTGTATAATATACAGATCTAGGGGACCTTCGACCATGGTGTATAATATACAGATCTAGGGGACATTCAACCATGGTGTATAATATACAGATCTAGGGGACCTCCAACCATGGTGTATAATATACAGATCTAGGGGACCTTCGACCATGGTGTATAATATACAGATCTAGGGGACCTTCGACCATGGTGTATAATATACAGATCTAGGGGACCTTCGACCATGGTGTATAATATACAGATCTAGGGGACCTTCGACCATGGTGTATAATATACAGATCTAGGGGACCTTCGACCATGGTGTATAATATACAGATCTAGGGGACCTTCGACCATGGTGTATAATATACAGATCTAGGGGACCTTCGACCATGGTGTATAATATACAGATCTAGGGGACCTTCGACCATGGTGTATAATATACAGATCTAGGGGACCTTCGACCATGGTGTATAATATACAGATCTAGGGGACCTTCGACCATGGTGTATAATATACAGATCTAGGGGACCTTCGACCATGGTGTATAATATACAGATCTAGGGGACCTTCGACCATGGTGTATAATATACAGATCTATATTTCGTTTCGTTTTTTATACTTTTGATGGCCTAAACTACATGAAGATCTGAGAGAGAGATAGAAATGGGTTTTTTGCTAATCATTCGGCCATCCCCCCCCCCCCCCATGAAGATCTGACTGGTTGTAGCGATAGGTTGCATTAGAGGTCATACAAGTGGCTTTTGACCCTATGACGACAGACATTTGATTAACCAATCAGCATTGATGTTACTAGTGGATTATCCACAGTTCCCTACAAAACACGCCTAATGCTTTCCGTAACAGAACGTTTTATTCGCTAATTCTTCACACCATTCAGAACACGTCAATGATAACAACTCTTCCAGATCCTAGTGTAGTAAAGACAAGTAAAACAAAATTTTGAACTATAAAAACAAAACGAAATAGGATCTGTGTTTTAACCAGATTGGCTTTATAAAAGAAGACACTAAAGTATTGTTTATACTGACAGTGAACACAACCACAAACTCAACGATCAAATCTGATCAACTACTCTTTGAATGACAAATTTTGGTGTGGGCAAAAAAAAAAGGGAATATTGCATTCAGAGTTAAATTTTGGCGAATGATTAACATTAGCCAATCAGAATGCAAGGTCAAAGGTATATATGGTCAAATTTACAATGCGCTGGTTTCAACTGCGATTTTTCGAACGTATCGCTGTTTTCAGTACAAACAATCATTCACACGGAAAGTTTCACTAGTCTGTTCGCAGTCAGTATACAAGGTCCAAAAAGGTAATTGGATAAATAAATGGAAGGAAAACATAATATATATATATTTACATGTGTATATATATACATATACAATAAAGAACATAGTACTTACCTGCTATCACAGTATTAATACATTCATACAACAGTGACATGGCAGATGTACTGAAATATAAAATAATATAATAATAACAGGGGTTCAAGTAAGGGAATCACAGGGGTTCAAGTAAGGAAATCACAGGGGTTCATGTAAGGGAATCACAGAGGTTCAAGTAAAGGAATCCCAGGGGTTCAAGTAAGCGAATCACAGGGGTTCATCTAAGGGAATCACAGGGGTTCAAGTAAGGGAATCACAGGGGTTCAAGTAAGGGAATAAAATGGGGTGTAATATCACAATTTTCTGCACTGGCTCAGTGAGTAAGGTTGGCTCGCTAACCGTGTTCAATCCCTGCGTTGGCCCGAGAAAGTTTATCAGCGTGTTTCCTCCTTGTCAGTGGGGCAAGACCGTGGGCCTGGCAATGGACAACGTATAGTCTTTCGGATGGGACAAAAAAACAAGGTCCTGCATACATATTGTCAGCTGGAATTGGATATAAGAATAGAGTCGCTGTCTGGGCACAATTCCCTTTATAGCACACTGTATGACTGTATGGTGTATACCCGTCTTCATTAGCCCAGTCAGAGCAAACAGAAGGACGCTAAACCCCATTTCATTTTTTTTTCTGCACTGACTGGGCTAATGAAGATAGTGTTTAATACATTCATATAACCAGTGTCATGCAGAGGTTCAGTGATGCTAACAGCCAACTCGTTGATTATATACCCCCAATACTAAGTACAGGGACTAATACTTAGAAATATGAGAATGGAAGACATTTTAAAACAGATGAAATACATAAATAAAGTAGGATAACTTGTACAATAAAGGTAACTGATAATTTCAAATTTAGAAAAATTGAATTTTATATCACTCTCTGATTGGGGTTACCCCCTGACATGGATACCCGGTGACCATACCCACCCTCTGTCCCTTCATATCACTCTTTGATTGGATGAAACCCTGACATGGATGCCCGGTGATGTTACCCACTCTCTATCCCTTAATATCCCTCTTTGATTGGGTGACCTTCTGAAATGGATTCCCGAGACTGTCACTCACACTGCCCCTTATTTCGATGTTGGATATAAACATTACTTACCTGTGTATTAGATTGGTTAATGGTTCTATCAATTTCTTCCCTAATCTTGGCTCTAACGGGGTTAAAGCACCAAACTGCAACAAAATATTTACAAATATCAATCAAATGGTATGTTCATTTGATGAACTTTCCATGAGTTATCCAGATAAATGTATGAAACATGTTATTAAAACTGCTGTTCATCATCTTTATTAGTCAGATATATCTTAATCCACACTCAAAATTGATTTTTTTTAACCAAAATATCAACTCAAGATCATTTCTTTTTATTCCCCAAACATCCTATCCGGCCAAACCCTTAATGGCCAGTAGACGGATTGTTTTTTTTAAAGAGTCTGAAACATTAAAATCAATACATTTTAAGAAAGAGAGAGAGAGTGAAATGGGGCTTAACTTCCACTCGACACAAACAAGGTCATTTCGGGACTAACATATGGCTCAATTTTATTTTCATAATTCGCTTGCGTGTAGGGGTCTTTAGCAGTGGGAGGAAATCGGAGGACCCAGAGAAAACCCACGAGGTTGGACAGGCGACCCTACTCCTTGTCACGTATAACCTGGGAGTCGAAACCACGCCAGTTGACTCAATGACAGACTTTATGTCACAGCGCGCACGTGCTAACCATTCAGCCATCCAACCCCCCACATTTCAAGAAAGCAGTGTTTACTGCAATAACAGGGTTAATGAAACAGAGAGATAGGAAGAAATGGGGTTTAACGTCCACTAGACACAGACATGGTCATTTTGGGACTAACGTATAGATCAAATTGCTTGAGCGTAGGAAAACAGAGGACAAGCAACCCTAGGCCTTTTCATGTTAAAACATTAAAATGAAAAAAACGTACCAATTTAATAATTTTGATGAGAACCCAGTTATTAGTTGAACTTGTCATGAGTTTAAAGAAAAGAGGCGCTAATGAAAGATAATTTTTAGGATTTTTTCTAGCTAGTTCACATATCACATTAACAGCTGCGGACTGGGCCCCTAAAATAAATAGAAAAACAAAGCATATTTTAACCATTCTATTCAACTTCACTCTTAACATTTCTTTCGTTATTATTAGGCAATATATAAAAACACAATTCTAGTTTTTGGATAATCCTGCATCACAGGTAGTAGTTTTATCTATATAAATAAAATCAAAGTTCTATTAAAAATATTGTGGGATGTGAGAGAGAGAAATGGGGTTTAATGTCCACTCGACACAAACTAGGTCACATTGTAATTTCAATAATTCACTTGCGCGTAGGGGTCTTCAGCAGTGGGAGAAAAACCATATGACCTGGAGAAAACCCACAAGGTTGGAGAGGTGACCTTACTCGTAACATACAACCAGCGAATCAAAACCATGCCAGTTGACTCAATCACAGACCTTATGATACAACGCGCAAGCGCTATCCATTCAACCATGCAACCCCCCACAAGTGTGGGAAGTAAACCTCCCTACTCGACTCAATGACAGACCTTATGATCTATGATAGACCATTCTGCCACCCAGCCCATCTTACTCACTGAGCCACATTGTGTCATCCCTCAATTTGTTGTATTCTTAATACTAGACATAAAACAAACCTGGATCAGGATCTTCTAATTTTTCTTTTAATCGAGGAAAGGCTGGACGTAATGCTTCAGGAAATCGTAGAAAAACTTTATACATGATGAGAACAGCTTTTTTACGTAAATATGGCTTCGAGGACGTCATCTGAAAATAGAATTAAAATTTGAACGAACAGAAGACTTTATTTTCAAGTACCTTATGTGAAAATTTGTGTGTGACAATATCTGTGACAGGTTTGTCCAGGCTTGTATATATACACATTGTGTCTGATAATGTCTGTGATAGGTGCCCTTTTGTCCAGGCTTGTAAATGTGTGGACATTGTTTCCATGTAAAATCATAATTGCATTAAAAGTAACCATGAATGTTTTTGTGACACATCAAAAATATGTGGGAATGAATAAATGAAGAGGGGTTTAATATCCTAATTTTCTGCACCAACCCTGTTCATTGGGTTAATGAGGATGGTACAAATATTTAAGAGACAGAGAGAAATGGGATTCAATGTCCGTTTGAGACAAACTAGGTCATTTCGGGACTAACACACGGCTCAATTTTATTTTAATAATTTGCTAGCGCGTAGGGTTCTTTCAGCAGTGGGAGGAAACCAGAGTACCCAAAGAAAGCCCACGAGGCCGGACAGGTGACAAGTGGGGAATCAAAACCACGCTACTTGACTCAATGGCGGATCTTATGGTCAAGTGTGCACGCATTAAACCATTCGGCCACCCAACACCCCTAAAAATATTTCAAGTAATGACTTCAAGTAAATGTAGTTGAAAGTGTTGCATGTTCTCACAATGGGGTGAAAGTAAATAGAGGATATTTGTCGTTTTAGATTGAATAACATATTTTATTTCATCTCTAAGCAAGAAAACGTTTATATTTTCACTCATGCTACGCATTCGTGAAAATATAAGTTTTCTTGCTTCTCGATGAAATAAAATATGTTATTCACGACAAAACGACAAATGTTCTATTTATTTTATGATTTTACAATCATTTTAGGTAAAAACAACATGGACTACTGCTAGCCAGTGGAATAACACTTTTATTTCACTGATAAAACGCGGTATTCCACTACTGATAATAAAATAAATGGAATTTAATATGAATGAAATAAATAATTTTGTGAGAATACAGCTTGAGTTAAAGTTGTACTTGTATCAATCTGATTACAATACAGATCTATAATTTGTTTCGTTTTTTTATACTTCTCGATGACCTACACTACATGAAGATCTGACCAGTTGTACTGGAAGGTTGCGTCGGGGAGGGGGGGTCATACGTGCGACTTTTGACCCTACGACGTCAGACATTGATTAATCAATCAGCATTGATGTTCTAGTGGTTTACCCACAGTTCTGTGCATCGCACGCCAAGAGCTTGCCACAATAGAACTTTTTAATTGACTAATCCTTCACTTTAACCAGAACATCAGTAAAATAACAATTCTTCCAGATCTTAATGTAGTAAAGACAAGTAAAACGAAATTTTGAACTATAAAAAAGAAACGAAATAGGATCTGTGTTTTAATCAGATTGTACTTGTTTAAAACGAATGAAATACTTACTAATGTCATTATATCATTAGCTAAATCTCGAGCTAAATCAACAGTTATAAAACATGACAAACCATTTAACGCCACCCCAGCATCGTACATATTCTGACTACTTAAATCCTGAAAATAATAAAAACATTATTTTATAGTCTATGATATCACCCTTGGTGGAAGCAATGAAATGAAATTGGGTTTAAGGTCCTACTGTTCTGTACCGACTGTAATATCGCCACGCCTACTCTTCTAATAATTTCTTAGCTATAGAAAGTGATTCCGATTCGGAATTTGGAGGATTTTTATCAAAGGATATTTAAGATGTTAACATTAATCTCAATAATGTTTTGGAAATTGACTTTTCAAAGATTTTAAAAGGAAAAGAAGTTGACCCAGACACAGCTTTTACGAAAAACAAGGAAAAATGTCAGCTCGTCTAAACAGTCATTGACAAATAAATAGTCCGATTTTAAAATGTGGATTTAGTTTTACAAAACTAAATCTTAAAAAACGTATCTTTTGTCATAATTATATATAATTTATTATAAGTTAAATGACCAATATCACTCTTATCTCTGTTACTCAATTGTACTAGGTCCATGGGTCAATGAGTTAAACTTGACACAAGTACAACTTAGATGAATTGGGTTATTTTTGATGATTTTTACGAATTTTTAAACAAAGATTTTATACTGAATGAATGGGAAAGAAATTAGGGCTAAATACGCAAAATTAAATGATACCCAGTCCTTCCATATAATTAAGAAGAGTTTTTTACAGAAGCTTTTTTTCTCATTTTTGAAATTGGCAGGAGCTTTTTATGGCTTCTGCACAACTTCATAAATGTGAAGGGCTGGATACCCCGGTTACAGTGAATTAATTTTTTTTTTACGTATTTGTTATTTTATATGTTTAAATACAGTACCTTTCTTATCATATTTGTTGTCAACATTAAAACATCGGTTCCTTCATGGAAGCTCTGGGATGCTGCTAAATAACCGATCCTCTGAAAAACAAAATAATTCCATTACTTTTACGGGGGATTGGCTATATAATTTAGCAAGCCGGGTTAGACTGAACATTTCGCTTGTGCGTGTTTTTCCAAATTCCAATTTGTGTGTTGTATGTGTATGTGGTGCAGTCATCCTGCACTAATTATTGAGAGGCAGAATAAATAAGTGATAAGCAAGGCCCCCTCTGTAAATGTAATTAGCCTGAAGTATCTAGAATGAATGCTAAGCCGCACTTTTGATCTATGGCAAACAGAGGTTTGATAATGCCCGGATATGATTATATGCCCGCAAGTATTGGGTCTAGTAGTCAGAAATACAGGAGAAAGGAAAACAGTTAAATATGACCCCACAACTCAAGAATAGGATCTAGTAGTACAGAAGAAAGAAAAACATTTAAATATGACCCCACAACTCAAGAATAGAGCCTAGGACTCAGACATATGTGTACTGTTGTTTGAGAAAGGAAAACATTTCAAATGTCCTCAGTTGACCGATGATATAAATTTGTTTAATCAAATTAAATAAATGAAATGAAATGGGGTTCAACCCGATCACTGTTCTGCTTCAACTAGACTAAAGAAGACGGGCATACGCCATGGGGGAAATTTTGCCCAGACAGCAGAGCTATGGCAAACTCTTGTATCGAATTCCAACTGCCAAGCGATCTTTTACATACATGCCAATGTGCAAACAGGACTTTGGTTTTTCGTCCCATCCAAACAACTAGACAGCTGTCCTTGTCAGGCCTTCCGTCCTGCAGCCACCCCCCGTATATTCTGATGAACTTTCTTGGTCAATTTAATTTCACTCTGTGAATGGATGCCTCCCTGAAATGGATGCATGAGGTGGCCACTTCCTCTGCCCACCAACTCTCTCTCTGTATGCCACTGGCACTCTTGGATTGGATGCCCCTCCCCTGATATGGGTACTGAGGGCTTGTTCCCTCCGCCCCATTCTCTCACTGTAAGCTACTGCTTTTATCATTATTACATGTATCTCAATTATGCAGCTTTACATGTATGTTCTATCCATTCAGCTGATTATCACCCTTGTTTAAAACTGTTTATTTAATGTTTTTACCTTGTAAGTAAATTTGGTTGAGCTCATCACCTCAATGACATTAAATGCTGCCCAGCTAATGTCATAGCCGAGCATTTGTAACTGGAAAAAAAAAAAAATTGAATAAGATTATAAAAATAAAATTCAAATAACCTTGTAACTTTTTCACATAGCTTAGCATTTGTAACTGATAAAAAATAACTCAAAAAATATTTAAATAAGATTATTTAAAAAAATTCAAACAAAATGCATTTTTTCGAACCTGCAAGAAAAAGGGGTGTTTTATAATGGTTGGCTAAGCTTTAAATAAATTAGATATACAATCTTCTATTCATACATGTAGTGGGCCAATCTTATTTCACAATCTTATTTCATTGAAATTCATGCAGCATTAAAATATGGTAACAGCTTATAGTGGCTAGAAATAATGAATTTAGTTTAATTTGTAAGTGTAACTGACAAAATGTCCTGCACTAATGACAGAGAGAAATGAAATGGGGTGTAACGTCCACTCGACACAAACAAGGTTATTTTGGGACTAACATATGGTTCAATTTTATTGTAATAATTTGCTTGGGCATAGGGGGACCCAGAGAAACAGGCAACCTTACTCGTCACATACAACCGAGGAATTGAAACCATGCCAGTTGACTCAATGACAAGCCTTATGATACAGCGCACACGCGCTAACCATTCACCCCCCCCCCTCTCCCGCACTAATGACCTATATGTACCTGATATTTTGAATTTTGAGTCAGGCATGTATTTATAATATAAAGAAAAAAACAAAAAAAAGATAAATTTGTGTCTATTCTTTAAAGTGACACCACGAAGTTTGATTAGGCATTCACAACCAAAAAAAACAACACAAGGCATGCTAAAATGACAGGTGGTAGGAGCAGTTGCCTTTGACAAAGCTTAAATGTTTAAAAATAAACACCAGACAAAATGATAGACACAAGAGGAATAGTGTCTGACAAAGCCTGAAGTTGTGTCCAATCTGATAAAAATCAAGATCTATATTTTTTTTTTTTTTTATACTTTCGATGGCCTACACTACACGAAGATCTGACTGGGTTCATTCAAGTGGCTTTTGACCCTATGATGTCAGACATTGATTAATCAATCAGTGTTTTAAGTTTTCTAGGGGTTTACCCACAGGATCTGTATTTTAATCAGATTGAAGTTGTGTCTTACAATGTCTGTGACCGGTGCTTTATTTTCAGTCTTGCCGCTTATACATCTGCATGCACATGTAGATGTAAGTAAAAGAAATAATAAATAGTTTACTTACATAATTAAGCTTACTGACTGCATTTGCTTTTACTGCTAAATTATCCTGCTTTAATTCCTGTTTAATTTCATCTATACAATCAGCAATAAATTTGGGCTGGAATAAAAATACAAGATGTTAACTTAGATTTAAAACAGTGCTATGGCCTTCTCTCTTTTTTGTTTCCAACAGGTCAGGACATTTTTTGTTTCCAAAAGGTCAGGGCATTCTTAACTCATATTTAAAATGGAAGTCCTCCAAAAGTTAGAACTGCACAAGAATGACACAATAACAAATTCGTTATTTGATTTCCAACTGTCTGGGTATCCTTCAAGTGCTGACCACTGGTGGCTTGTACATCGGACCTTGTATTTACATCCCATCCAAATAACTAGACACCTTTTCTTGGTAGATTATTCTTTACCCACTGCAGGGCCTAAAATAACATGCTTCAAAATGAAAAATCAGTGCTTCAAGAATAAGAAAACCGTGCTCTGAAAAAAATGGTCTACCCTTGTTACTGATAGAATTTGAGTTTTGATGTTGATGTGATGATAGAATTAGAATTATAATTCAAATATTATCTGAACAAAAGTGGTGTGCTATCTTCCTAGTGCAGAGTTTTCATGCAGAGAAAAAAGCTGCGCATAGCCAAATAAACTCCTATGTAAACTGAGTCAAAACAGTCCACAGATGCTGTTTTTCAGCTCTGAATTTTCAAACATTTTTTGGGCACAGCTCTGTGGATACAGAATCTGCGCTACAAGAATATACTGTTACCTTACTTTAGGCCTAATCGTTGTTGTTTGTATTTTAGAGGAGAGCCGAAAAAAGCTTCCCTTAATCAACAAATTGAAAAAATAGCTCCCCTAAAAAAAGCTCTCCCAGTTTCGGTAAGAAGAGGGATTTAGAAATTAACGAGAGTGATCTGAAGGAGAGTGAATAGTTGTGTGTATGGAAAATGGTTCTGAAGATCAATAACTGCATGTTAGGGGGTCATTCCTGGTTTCATAAATGATAATAAACCCCCGATGACTTTGTAAAAGAGAGCGATCTTCAATTTTTAGGGGAGGGAAAAAAAACCTGCCCTTGGTCGACATTCAGGTGTGTGGCAGGCGCTCGAGAGCGATCGCTCGCCTTAAAAAACAATGACTGCTTTAGGCCCTATCCCCATCAGAAAGACTTGCAACATTTCCTGCAGGTTCAGGAAATAACGCAAAATAACAAAGGCTCTCATCAGTTTTATCTTAGGTGTTCCAGTTGCAACAGTTCTACTGGACAATCCCAATCACAACATGGTAATTATATCACAAATATATTTTACCTTTTACTACATGTATACATGTATGACAATGTAAACAACCTTATACATGTACACATAAAACACCAAAGATTTTCCTTATACAATTGGGTCAACAACAATATTCAAAGAAACTTAACTACATATGTATCTAGTCATATATATATATATATATACATCCTGGTATCATCTACATATGGAACTTTTTATTTATTAATTTAATCCAAAGGCCACATTTGATTTTGTACATTTAATCCTCAAAGATATATTATTTAAAGAGCTAAATCTGCCTATAACAGGTTTTTATTTTGACTTCAAATGTTATATAAATTATGATTTAGACATTTATTCGCATGCCAAGCCTATAATCAAATTTGTAGATCATCAGATAGCTCAGATGTAAACAGATTAAAATACAATTACCATTTAATGATTTAATTTAACAAGTAACGTTGCCATGACAATAAAAAATTTGATGTCAAAACTTCAAACAGTGACAACGTCACTCAGAATAAAGTAATTTGAATGAAATTTCCAATATATTAATTTTGAATTATCTATTTTTGAACTACATGTATTATAGCAAGCTCTTTACATGTTATCTACATGTAAATCTCACATACATGTAATCTTTAAGAGCAACATTTTGCTTAAATTTCTTTAAATTATCGTCCAAATCCCCATTTTTATACATACTGAACCAAATGCAGAAAACCAAGCTGGAAAATAATCTGAGGAACTTTCATACATCGAACTCTGGAACCCCTGGTTAGTGCGTTGGCACCTTACTCACTGAGCCACGAGAAAGAGAGAGAAATAGGGTTTAACATTAACTGGGACACCTATTTCAACAATTTTGGTGAAGATTATACTGATTTAAATTCACACAGTGTTGATCTAGTTCGTTCCTGGGGGATTATCTTTACTAATCTATTCTACACGGACTGGTTCCTGCTCTCCCTCAGATGCACCACTGAGATCCAAACCGGACAACATTGTTGCAGGGGAATCTTCCGCCCTCCTACTTTTTCGAGTGTGGGGGTTTCATCGTCTCTTTGACTTGGAATTTTTATTTCAACAATTTTTATGGGCATAGAGGTCTTTCTTTAGTAGCATGAGGGAACCAGAGAAAACCTACGAGGCTGGGCATTCGGCAGGGAAAATAAGAAAGTAGCATAAGTGATCAGGGCTTAGAGTTTTAGAATTTGGCCGCAGATTCGTGGCCGATTTTTAACTATCCACGGCCATGTATGGTCGCCGATTAGTGCTGGGTATCGAGAGTTATTTTTACTATCGATAATCGGTATTGAAACAATCTTATTTTCACGATCGTAATGAAGAATGGATTACGTGTTCTAAAGTCAAACCATACGATGTTTTTGTTCGTCTAATTAATAATAAACTGTCTCATATTACGTATAAATTGTTTAAATAATGTAGCCTTGGTTCCGAATGACGAAATACCATTGATAGGCCTATGTATGTGCAGGAACCAGAATAAAATGAGCACGAGTCGATTCAAAACATTGCGTACGTGAGCGCGACAAATACCAACATGGTGGACAAATCGTTGTTGATTCGTGTGCAAAAACTAAAGAAAATGTAATAGCCTAAAGAGCTTGTTATCACGAATTCGTAAATTGTTTATTATTATTTAAAAAATACAGCCTTGATTCCGAAAGAAGAAATACAAACGTTTTTGTCATCCATCATTGCTATGTCATTTATAATGAGCAGACAAATTCTGAAAGGGGAAAAACTCTGAATTATTTACACATCCGGGTATCTCCAATTTAGCGAATTCCATGATATGGCGATTATTGTTTCAAACTAAAGTATTGTTTAAATGTGGGTGAATTTATTTTAACATTTTTTTTAAAGAGCTAAATTGAGATTGAGACTTTGAAGTAAATATAAAGTGACCGATGTAGGCTATTGTATTATTATATATATACGAAGGATTAAGTCACAGAAAAAATCGAGTCGACTCCTACGCACGCACGAAAAATAGACGAAGAGAACGATACCGGTACTCGATAGTCAGGGCTGCCGACAACCAGTATCGCAGCGCAATTTGCGATACATATTTTGTCCGTTGCTAATCAAAAATTAAAATCTAAAGTTTTTGATTCGCAGTAACTGCGAATCATTAATATGCCTGTCATTTTGGATATTGACACAAGGATAATCCACATTTGAAGACTAGAAGGCTTTCTTAACACTTTCAACGTGTATAAAATGTTGAATAAAATTTTATAAACAAAACTGAATTCTCCGTGTGACATTTTCTTCTCGAACTACCCAGACACAATTCATTATATTTATACGGTACTATATAATACAGGGTCATAACTCTATGAATAGGGACTATTAAACCGGAAATAGGGAATCAAGTAGTACCACTCACGTTGCGAGACATCAAGTGATTATATCATATTCATTTTGAAAGAAATAAATCCAGTGTATCCCCCACGTATTGTAAATAAAATATAAAAAATAAATATATGTTAACGTATTGTAAAATGATAAATCAAAGTAAAAATTCCCGTAAAATATCGCGTGTGTCTATAGTTAATCGAGGTGCGCCCGATTGAACAAAAATAACAATACAGGATAAAAATCAGACAAAATTGTTTTCTAACGAAGATTTCTAACGTAACAAAAAATAACAATTAAAATGATTGGGGCTTCGGAAGTCACTGTTAAGAATTGGCTTCAGACATAAGACCTCACTAAATGTCTACATCACATTCACAAACTGTAACAAGTACTTGTGGCAGTGCTAAGAAAATCTAAGAATAGTAAGAATGGAATCTAATCATATTTGCTATGAACTAAAGTAATATCTTGTTATTAAGGTGTTTTATGTTGAAAGTGAAAAACTGCTAATCAATTTTTAAATTTGCTAATCAAATTTGGCAAAATTGGACTTTTTGATTAGCAGTGCTGCTAATCAACTGTGAAAAATTACCGACAGCCCTGTCGATAGTGCTTTTTGGCATATCTTATCGATACTATTGATATTTTACCCAGCTCTACCGATGATATATAGCAATACTTTCAACTCTCAATATGGCTACATGCTGATTTTTTAAATATTTTTTAGAATAAAACAATTGTACTAAAAACGGTACGATAAGAATTTTCTCCCTTAACTCAATAACTGTAAGGATGCATTATTTTTGTAAAAGTAATAAAAATATTGAACGTGATGTGATAGGCAGGCCTGTAACAACATTTTGACTGAGAAACAAGATCTACAATAAACAGATTTACATATGATCGACACATTAAAACCTTCTAAATAAGTTGATAATATCATAATTCATGACATAAAAATTGGCCTTGGATTTTCAATTTTTGGCCTTGGATCAAGGTTGCACTTTGGCCTATCGTAGGCCAAAGTTGGCCTTCGATCGAAAAAACGAATTTCGAGCCCTGAAATTGATAGAATTTATTTAAAGAGATTCAGCAAAGGGAGTCGCTGTGACTAAGTGAGTAAGATACTGCCTTTTGGGTTCTCTCCCGGTTTTAGGCGAGAAAGTTCCTCTGGGTTTTCCAGCATCACTTGTCAGTGGTGCAGGACAGGGTGTCTTTATAGCATATATGCATGTTTTCAGTCCAGTCGGAGCAGAAAAGTAGGACGTTAAACCCTATTACATTTCATTGATTACAAATTTATTTTAGTATCATATTAAATAGTAACCCAAATCTGATATAAAAAAAAAATCAATAAATAATAGGCCATCACATCTGTTTTGTTGAACTAACGCAGGAAGGAAAATCAATATGATTCTTTTTACGAAGTAACAGTCTCTTCTATAGCCCTAGTCCAATCAATATTAATCAATAAGCTTGTCACAGGCTAGTCAAAGATTAAATCTTTTAACTTTTAAAACTTATCTCTTAACTTTTTATCCTACAAGGAGATAGATAAAATTATTATAATACTGAGGATAAGGCCAAAATAATAACTGTTCATGGTTACCTGGTCGACTCTATTTTTTTTTAAAACCAAAATCGCCGACCCCAAATTTCTTTTTTTCAACAACCTTACTCAGTAATTAAGCTAGAAATACATGTACTAAGAGAGAGAGAGAAATGAGAGTTTAACTTCCACGACACAAACTAGGTCATTTCGGGACAAACATATGGTACAATTTTATTACAATAATTCACCTGCGCATAGGGGTTTTTAGCAGTGGAAGGAAACCGGAGGACGCGGAGAAAACCCACAAGGTTGGACAGGCGACCCTACTCCTTGCCAAGTACCGAGATTGAGACCACACCAATTGACTCAATGACAGACTTTATGATGCAGCCACATGTACTAAGAAACAGATAATACAAACCCCATAAAAATAAAATGATTTTCTGACCAATCCTATATTGTAACCGTAAACATGGGTACTTTTTTTCATGGCCTTATACTGATTGCCTTCAATTCTCTGATAAACATTTATAAATGTGTACATGTATATTGTATACAACAGTCACATAAAACTCAAAGTAGGCCAACATAAATATTTGTAAACAATATTTTACATGTGTTACACAGAAATAGAAATGAAATGGGATTTAACTTTACTGCACATGCAGGGCTAATAAATACAGGCATGCGTCAACTTTTAAGAGAGAGAGAGAAATAGGGAAATGGGGTTTAACGTTCATTTGACACAAACTAAGTCATTTTGGGACTTACACATGGTTCAATTCGCTTGCGCGTAGGGTCTTTGGAAGTGGTAGGAAACCGGAGAACCCTGAGATAACCCACTAGGTTAGACAGGCGACCCTACTCCTTGTCACGTACAACCGAAACCACGCCAGTTGACCAAAGACAGACCTTATCCCTTATCACTCGTCACATCAGTCAGTTATATAGAGAGTTGACTCGTGTTTTCCTTTGGCGTTTGTCACTTCCGATACAGGAAACCTGTACTACTCGGATATCATAGCAAGGATCTCTAAAGCCCCATTTCATTTCATTTTATCTATAAACTAGCGGCTGACCAGGCGTTAACATGGGAATACAGCCATGAACCGGAAATAGAGAGAGAGAGAGAAATGGAAATGGAGTTTAACCTCCACTCCACACAAACTACATGTAGGTCATGTTGGGACTAACAACATGTGGTTCAATTATATTTCAATAATTTGCTGGCGTGTAATTAAGGGTCTTTGTGGGAGGAAACCAGACAAAACCCATGAGATTGGACAGGTGACCCTAATCCTTGTTACATACAAATGGGAAATTGAAACAACACCAACTCAAGTTGGTTAAAACAAAAACAATGCAGAATGTACATTTTTATATTTGGCAGTTCTAAACACTGTAGGGGAATAAAAACAAACATTCTACTTTTCTGCACCAACTGGGATAATGAAGATTGGGAGAGAGGGAGAAATGGGGTTTAACGTCCACTTGACACAAACTAGATCATTTCGGGACTAACATATGGTTTAATTTTTATTTCAATAATTCGCTTGCGTGTAGGGGTCTTTAGCAGTGGGAGGAAACCAGAGGACCCGGACAAAACCCACGAGGTTGGACAGGCGACCCTACTCCTTGTCACGTACAACCGGGGAATCGAAACCCCGCCAGTTGACTCAATGACAGACCGTATGCCATACAATGCCCCATGATGGAAATTTTGCCCAGGCAGCAGTGCTACAGCCTACTCTTTATTTCACATTCCTACTGTCAAGGGTTCTTTCAAATGCACGCCTTATATCTACACAAAGCCTTGTTTTTTGAAAGGCCCCTCATCCTGCACAATTGACATGAAGAAGTATCTCAGCCATCATGGGATTAAACCCAGAATCTCCAAGTTAGCCAGCCAGCACTTTACACATTGTGCCAACACAGCTCCCTAAACAGTGTAAAACTTCACTGGATAATCATGATACCGTACATTTACTTTCAGTTAATACACAAAAAGTTTTATACTAAATTAAATCGACACAGGCGTTTTCAGGAATTGGAGCAGCAATGGCTTCAAGGGGAAGACTGGGAGATTATTATTATTTACAGTGCTTATTATTATTATTACTCAAGTATTTCATAAAAACAGAAGCTCTGAGACAACATTGCAGCTAAATTAGTTGCATACATTACTACATACATATACATGTAATCATGTATGTAATTATAGGGTTAGGAGTGGAGTGAGGCCAAAATGACAGCAATACTTTGCACATAAATGTCATAAATTGATTTTCAATGTTATTTCGATGAATGTTGGAGATAATAAATATGCTCTGCTCAAGCAGTGTAGGTTACGGACCCCACCACCCTGGCCTCTGGACCCACGCTTATGTATGACATCATTCACATCTCACACTTCTAATTCCTACCCATCTAAAGTCTGGACTGATAGTGCTAATGAAGAGTAGGTCTACCATCAGCATTGATCATAACTGTGTCTATGTGCTATTAATGTAATGTCCTATCAAGTTACAACTAATTAATTAATACTGTCATTGGCCAGGGGTTATTATAACATTCCATCTTTCATGGCATTGGGAGAATCAGTAAATATTGATTAATTAACTCCAAGAGTCCAACAGACTTTATCATTATACACTAAAGCTGCTTGATTATATGAACATTTGACAACAAAAACCCAGACAGACAGTGTAAACGTATTTAATATTGCCACTGTCAATGCCTTGAAACACTGCCCCGCCCTCTAAAATGATGACAGATGATGCTTGTTGATATAAGAATAAGAATAAATGCTTGTTTTAATACCTCCGTATCTTTGTGATTCCGTATCCCTCGGACAAGGTCCTGTAAATTCTTATCCAGTACCCTATCAATGGTACCTTTCACTTTTCTCAACGCCATGGCATTTGCTTTAAGCGCTACGCTATTCAATGGGACATTATATTGTTAATTGTCAATAAATATTTTGCTATATTTTCGCCGACAACCAGCTGTCCATTAAGAGGCAGATCCAACATGGCCTCCACTAATAAGTGATCATGTGACACATTTGACGCGTACGCAGATAAAAAGTGACACCTGTGTTCATAAATAATAAAGGGAGGCCACCTCTGTAATTTTTAAAGGAATGGAAATAGACCACTATTAATTTCTCCATTGACTATAAAGTATAAAGTATAATGTTAAAATCATTGCAGTGCTACATGCTGTAACCCATGTCCTAAATTCCGTTGAGAATCCCGCTTTACACATAGCAATTATAAGATCGTCGGATAATCACATCACGCGGAGGTAAAAGTATCATTTCCGTGAAAACTATGATAATGCTGAAACAAAACGAAGCATCCTTTCTCATTTTATTATCCCATCATAAAAGTATCAATGTCACCAAACCAGACAGAAAATAGAAATTCAATGCCTCTACATCAATTCTGCCGCAAAACGTCAACACAGATAGGCATGCAAAATGGCATGAAAGGGTGTTGGGTGACGTACATATATATACGCCCCCCCCCCCCAAAAAAAATAACCTACAATTCAAAGACTTCTTCACGTTTAGTTCAAGCGACTATGACATATATTCAAACTTTGGTTTATATTTTGTACATACTCCCTCAATGTACATAAATGTACATTTCATTCATTTTTATGTAATTCTTATCCACTTTTTATATATTATTCATCCACTTTCATAATGTATTTATGATATTGACTGTAATGTATAACTTACATACTGCCCGAAACGGGCGTTTTATGTAATAAATCTATCTATCTATCTATCTATCTATCTGTAATTAACGGTTGTCACCGAATGATATGGATTAACGTAACATTGGTCTTTAGTTCTTTTGATAAAAAAAAACCCACGTGCTACCGTCGTCTTATTAAGTTCTTTTGTTTACCCATGAATATAATTTATTGGAAATAATAGAAGTTGAAAATTTGGTATGTTGGCTACGATTGACATAAAGATTTAGAAATTATATATGCTATACAAAATTTCTGCAACACCCCTCCCCCAGACCCCATGTCAGTGATACAGTTTGAACACAGAAGGGTCGGACAAGGACAGCACCTATTCGTTCGGATGGGCCGAAAACCAGAGGCCCCATTATGACGTTAAACCTCATTTTATAAATTCATATTAGCTTATATACAAAACTGGGCTATGAATTCACCAAACCAAAAATCGACCAGGTTCATTTAAAATACATTTACGTCTGGTAAAATGTTGCTATGTTGAGGGGGTTGGATGGCCGAATGGTTAGCACGTGCGCGCTGTATCATAAGGCCTGTCATTGAGTCAACTGGCGTGGTTTCGAATCCCCGGTTGTACGTGACAAGGAGTAGGGTCGACCGCCTGTTCAACCTTGTGGGTTTTCTCCGGGTCCTCCCACTGCTAAAGACCCTACGCACAAGCGAATTATTGAAACAAAATTAAACCATATGTTAGTCCCAAAATAACCTAGTTTGTGTCGAGTGGGCGTTAAACCCCATTTCTCTCTCTCTCTCTCTCTCTCTCTCTCTATGTTGATGATACAACTGTTAAAATATTGCTCTGTCCGGGAACAGCTGTTAAAATATCGCTCTGTCCGGGAACAGCTGGTAAAATATTGCTCTGTCCGGGAACAGCTGGTAAAATATTGCTCTGTTCGGGAACAGCTGTTAAAATGTTGCTCTGTCGAGGAAAGTCTGTTAAAATGTTGCTGTGTCGAGGAAACAACTACTAAATTATAAACTTTGTTGGGAGACTATTATTAAAGTCTTCCTCTCTGTCTGGAAACATCTGCTAAAATGTAGCTTTGAAGGAGAAACGTTTGTTAAAAGTTGTAGTAAACTTTGTTTGGGAACGTCTCTTAAAATCATAAGCTTAGTGGTCAAATTTAACCCTATTTATCCACCCAAAGCCCATTTCCAGAAACAAATAATACTGGTTCCCGAAACAAATGTCGCCAATAAAGCAGAGTTACTACTTAAGAGTAGAGTTAGATACTGTTTATTGCATCGCAAAAAGGTTTTTCCCCCAAACAAATATTATTTGGAAAATATTAGGTGGCAAAATGGAGCTCGTCCCCGAGACCAGTTTTAAGCTTTTGACGCAAATTTGTAAATTATTGCGATAGAGTTTATTTTTTTAAAGAATCCTAAGCTGTGGTTGATTGTCTTGTTTGAATTTCTGGATGAAGAAGGTGTTAAGATTTGTGTTTATCAGAAAATTGCACCCAGTAGATCACCAACGGCACACAAGACGTGTGGCTTCAGAAATGAAATGGGGTTTAATGTCCGAAATTTTATCACCAACTGGGCTAATGAAGACGGACATACGCCATACAGTGTGCTATGAGGGTAATTTTGCCCAGGCTGCAGCCTGCTCTTATATCTCGAATTCCAACTGGCAAGGGTTCTTTTGTGCACATCAAATCATGTACACTGGTCCTCGGTTTTTCATCCGATCTGAACGACTTGACACTCTTTATGCCCTCCGTCCTGCGCCGCTGACAAGGGAAAACCACGGTGGAACCTTCTCAGCCAAAACTGGGATCGCATCCGGGACTAACAGGTCGGTGAAATAGATCCCCACAGAGCCACTGCTCCCTAGATCCAGGAGACTAAATCCGGGTCAAATCTGGTTTTATTTGGCATATTTAATTAATTTTAATAATTCTATGCGTCACCAGGGCAGTAGGCACTGACCAAATTACAATTCCACCCTACTTCCAAGTGCCTGGAGAGTCATGTCTACAAACTTCTCTACATGTACGTTATATTTGTAAATGATCCTCACAATTACCAAGTCACTCATACAATAGTATAATGTAATTCCATAACTAAGTTGCGTTAACGTAAAACAAATCTCGATTGACCCTGTGATCAAAGGAACTGACCCTTTCAGTAAGATGAGAGAAATGGGGTTCATTGTCCATTCGACACAAACTAGGTTATTTTGGGACTAACACATGAATCACCTGTGCGTATGGATTTTTAGCAGTGGTTTACAAACGGTTGACAGGATAAAACCCATGAAGTTGGACAGACGACCTATTTCCTTACAATGACTGACCTTACAACATAACGTGCACGCATTAACCCATTCGGCTACCCACTTCCTCTTAAGTTGAAGCTCTTGCCCCATGTGATCTGCCATATTTTATCAGTTGACATCCGGATTCTGTCAGCAAAACAAGACACTGTAAAATTTACAGACCCAAGACTAACAAATAATTTATTTCTTTTTAATAATAATTTTTTTAATCAAAATAATATCATTTACATCCAGTACAAACAAGAATGAAATTTAAATATTTTAGTCAAAAACATAACATTACCTTACGGATATAAATAACATTTCATTGGTGGGACCCCAATCCTCACAAATATACTGGGGCCCGTTTCAAGAAATTTTTTTAAAGATAAAATAACAATTGTATTACTTTGATTGGATAATAATATAATTAATTTTAGTGCTTAGCCAAAGATATGATGCCAGGCAACGAAACATACGCCCACAGCAACTAAATCGTCCGGGCAGTCAACAAGGGTTGTCGCATATTTTTACTTTCTTTGGTAACGAAACATTTATAATACACTAAAATCTGATTAAGAGCAACAACTCACGAAGTAATTATCAGAAAACTATTAGAATTTGTTTGGTTTTTATAAAGTTCTGCCCCATGCTAACGTTTTGTATGCAAAGCTTTTAATATCATGGATTTAACTGTTCAAGTCATAAAAATTCATTGAAAATCAATATACTTGTTCGTCTCAAGATCTTAAACTCTGTGTATCAATCTGAAGTCAATCGTATTAAAACTTTAGCCTTTAGAGCATCACAAGATTTTGCAAAGTGATCAAGGGCCATAACTTTGGCAGTAATTATCGGAAATCGTTGAAAATCAATAGGAATCTTCGTCTCATGACCTCAAACACTGTGTATAAATTTAAACTCAACCGGATATTAACTTTAGCCTCTAGAGCATCCACAAGATTTTTAAAAGTGATCAAGGGCCATAACTCTGGCAGTAATTATCGGAAATCGCTGAAAATCAATAGGCTTCTTCGTCTCATGACCTTAAACATTGTGTATAAATTTAAAGTCAATCGGATATTAACTTTGGCCTTTAGAGCATCCACAAGATTTTTTGAAGTGATCAAGGGCCATAACTCTGGCAGTAATTATCGGAAATCGCTGAAAATCAATAGGCTTCTTCATCTCATGACCTTAAACACTGTGTATAAATTGAAAGTCAATTGGATATTAACTTTGGCCTCTAGAGCGTCCACAAGATTTTTCAAAGTGATCAAGGGCCATAACTCTGGCAGTAATTATCGGAAATCGCTGAAAATCAATAGGCTTCTTCGTCTCATGACCTTAAACACTGTGTATAAATTGAAAGTCAATCGGATATTAACTTTGGCCTCTGGAGCGTCCACAAGATTTTTCAAAGTGATCAAGGGCCATAACTCTGGCAGCAAATATTGGAAATCGCTGAAAATCAATAGGCTTCTTCGTCTCATGACCTTAAACACTGTGCATAAATTTAAAGTCAATCGAATATTAACTTTCGCTTCTAGAGCATCCACAAGATTTTTTGAAGAGATCAAGGGCCATAACTCTGACAGTAATTATCAGAAATCGCTGAAAACCAATAGGCTTCATCATCTTATGACCTTAAACACTGTGTATAAATTTAATGTCAATCGGATGTTAACTTTAGCCTCTAGAACATCCACAAGATTTTTTGAAGTGATCAAGGGCCATAACTCTGGCAGTAATTATCGGAAATCGTTGAAAATCAATAGGTTTCTTCGTCTCATGACATTAAACATTGTGTATAAATTTAAAGTCAATCGGATATTAACTTTGGCCTTTAGAGCATCCACAAGATTTTTTGAAGTGATCAAGGGCCATAACTCTGGCAGTAATTAGCGGAAATCGCTGAAAATCAATAGGCTTCTTCATCTCATGACCTTAAACACTGTGTATAAATTTAAAGTCAATCGGATATTAACTTTGGCCTTTAGAGCGTCCACAAGATTTTTTGAAGTGATCAAGGGCCATAACTCTGGCAGTAATTATCGGAAATCGTTGAAAATCAATAGGCTTCTTCGTCTCATGACCTCAAACAATGTGTATAAATTTAAGGTCAATTGGATATTAACTTTGGCCTCTAGAGTGTCCACAAGATTTTTCAAAGTGATCAAGGGCCATAACTCTGGCAGTAATTATCGGAAATGGCCGAAAATCAATAGACTTCTTCGTCTCAAGACCTTAAACACTGTGTATAAATTTAAAGTCAATCAGATATTAACTTTAGCCTCTAGACGGGGGCGACGATAATATACGGGCGTATAATAAAAATTGAAGTATCTACTAATATTGTATTTTATCTTTAGTTAAGATTTCGAGAAACTGGGCCCTGAGCTCTATGTGAAGGTTCCCATTCTAGAGAGAGATGTACACAGCCCAATTAAAGTAAAATAGGTCCACCTCTAGATCTGGTCATGGGTCACAAGATGTAAACAGGGCTAGCGCTAATCCAAACCCTGGACCTAGCCCTAACCCTTACCGTAACCCCATATCTTGTCAACAACCACCTGCCCTACATACAAGTGCTCCTAACCTTATTTACATCTCAGAAACCTTGACGAAATCTGGAAGTGGCCTTAAGAAATAGATCTAGCCCTAAGCCGTCCGGTAATCTGGTCACCAGTAACATGAGGGATAACTCTGATATAACATTTCATTAGCCTTACAAACTGAATTCAAAATCATGTAAAATAAATATAGTAATAGCATCATTTACAAAACATTTAATTAAAGCCCCAGATGATTATAATCATGTACAATATTCTGAAAGTTGAATCTAACAGGATTATCAGTCGAAAAATTGTTCAATTCCATTCAGTATTATACAAAGAAATGATCAATTGAAAATGTTGGCATCCTCTGAAGACAAAGTTTTACCCCCGAGGTGGTAGCATCAAGCAGAGTCTAGTTGATCCTCTCTTCTTGTCAACAGTTTGTGCATGAATGAAACCCAATTTGATGAAGCTTGTTAGAAAACACTTGTTATGGAAATAGCCTACATATTTAAAGACATACTGTACAATTGTCAGGTCTCATTTTCTTGATTTTGTTTTTTTAATTAAATGTTAAACATACATTATGCAAGAGCTAAATCTGCCTATTGCAGGCCTTTCTTTATTTATTTATTAGACATTAATTTATCCAGGCCATAATCAACTTTCAATGCCATCACTAGCACATTACCTATTTTTTGAACTATTATAGTGAGAATTGTCAACTCTTTATATAATGTCCCATGATGCCCATTTAAATAATCCATTTGATAAGTAGTGAAAGATTAGATACAGTCTGACAAAAAGGCGCGTTAATCTTTGGCGACTTGAAAAAGCTTACTACATATTCCACTGATGAGAATATTATTATTCAAAGTCATTCATTATGCACACATCATCGCTGTAGAGTTCAGATACAACTTCTTGACTCCCCACCTACAATCAATTCAGCTCAGACAAGAATAACCACTGATGCAAACCTGTATTGAAGTGAAGAAGGATTACGAACTAGCACCCTTAATTTATCCCCCTGTGGAATGGATTTTATTAAATGATAAAGACCAATCAGAGAGCAGAAAGCAATTCCTGAACCTTGACCCTGCCCAAAGATAAATCTTCCAGAATTCATGAAACCAATCACTGAGCGATCGTTTTCATCCAGGCCAACTTTCGATGCCTTAAATTCAGAATTTCTTTGCTTTTTGTCTTTTGATTTGTTTTTGTTCGGATCTGGGTGAGGTTTTTCCTTCGGACCACCATATTTTCGATCCTGTTTAATTTTACTCAAGTCATCTAAATTTGGAATATACAATCCAGCACACCGCAATGGTAGGCCTCGAGAGTCCATCTTAATTTGTACAGGCACTAAAGTGTTAACACTGTCCTTGATTAAGTTTTCCAACTGCTTCATGCACGCATTTAAATTCTGAGCAATAGATTTTGAGGTCAACATTTTGGACTTTTGTTCGATCGTCTTTGCAATCAATCTTAAAACCCGTTTATTTCTCAACACATTGAGTTCTCGATTCTTTGCTTCGTCGACTCCCCCGATCTTCTCATGTTTAATTCTCCAAGCTTCGTTTAAACTTTCGAATGGCTGAGAAAATGGAGAAGCAGTACCGAGTTTGACAAAGTTAGGTTTCTTGTCGGGAGGATAACGTTTATATTTTTCTTCCAATGCAACTGAAATTTTTGCCTGCTCTGCCTGACCAGCCACTGTTTCTGGAAAGTCTAATGGCATGTAGAAGTGTCCCATTTCTGCGGCTAAACTTTCTGCTTCCTGCAAGCCACCCGCCCGACATCCACGATACATAAATGCTATATGAAAGGCCATCCCCCATCCAGACGGAACAATAATATCCCACCCACTGCCGAAACCATGTCTAGAGATGCTATGGCTAGAGGAATCTCGTTGTCCGGGTCTCTGTATCAGTATAATGGGTATTCTGGACTCGGCATCACCCAGTATTAACGGCGTACCTATAAAAAATAAATTTCTTGCATAAAATATACATTAGGCTTACTGCAAATAATTTTACTTTAAAATGTCAATTGTGTCAGTGAAGTTAACATCTTACTTTTGACAGCACAAACAGGGATAATGAAGCTGGACATATGCCATGCGGTGTGCTGCGAGGAAAAGTAATGTCCAACTCTTTTCTTTCATTTAAAACAATATTTTAATCAACAAATGGTTGCCAGGAGCAACAACAATATATGTCCAAATGAAAATGTGAGCTATCAAAATTGAAAGGGACTGAGGAACAGGCATAACCTTTCTGACCTCTCTCCTATTGGAAGAATTTTGAATTCCTTATCAATCTAAAGTATTTTGAATGCCATAATTACTGTCAAAATAACGTGCTGACTTCGGTCCAAGCTACAAGTACCCCTATACAAATTTCAGCCTTGGGACAGTCCTAGTGAAGCCGCCAACCCTGAACAAATGACATTCACAAATATTAGTATACATTTAACAGGAAGACAGATCTTCATACTAAAAAACCAGGAATGCCATTTCAAACAATCTTTCTTTTCAAAACCGAGAAACTGAAAGTATATGAAATGAAATGGGGTTTAACATCCTACTGTTCTGCTCTGACTAGGCTAATGAAGATGTGCGTACGTCATACAATGTGCTAAGAGGGGAATTTTTCCCAGGCAGCAGCACTATGTCCTATTCTTATATCGAATTCCAACTGCCAAGGGATCTTTCAAGTACATGTCAATGTATACACAGGACCTTGGGTTTTCATCCCATCCGAATGACTAGACAGCTGTCCTTGTCAGGACCTCCAAGCACCACCGACAAGGGAAAACCAAGTCGAAACTGAAAGATAAGAAACTTCTAAATGATACCTGGCACAGCTTGGTTTGATCTGAGTTTGTTTAATTCTGCTTCAGACAGTTTGGTAGATTTAACATCTTTCCGTATAGAAACATCCCACAATGGAGATTGTGCTACCACTGGAGAGGATACAACATTTTTTGTATCGGTTGTGGTTAGACCTAATAATAATTTTAAGACTTTCTTTTAAAATATTAGATAATGTAGAAAACATTTATCTAGATACAGTATAAAACATATCAATCTGGTTAAAACACAGATCCTATTTCGTTTCGTTTTTATAATTCAAAATTTCGTTTTACTTGTCTTTACTACACTTGGATCTGGAAGCGTTGTTATTTAACTCGTGTTCTGCTTGAAATGAGGGGTCAGTCAATCAAATGGTCTGTCGAATCGAGCGTTTGACCTTTTTAGCGGGAACTGTGGGTAAATCCACTAGTAACATCAATGCTGATTGGTTAATCAAATGTCTGACGTCATAGGGTCATAAGTTGGTCTTTTGACCCCTGACGTGACCTATGGCTATAACTTGTCAGATCTTCATGTAGTGTAGGCCATCGAAAGTATAAAAAAAAAGAAACGAAATAAAGGTCTGTATTTTAATCAGATTGAAAACATATTGATCTATATTATAACCATTGGTAGGATGACCCGTGCACTTTACAGAAAGTTGGTCTCGACACGGCTAAATGTGCACGCTTCAGTTGCGTGTCTCGAACTGATTTCTGACTACCCCGCACTCGCTTTGAGTCGATAAATAGCCATGGCACGTGCAATTCTCTACAAATATATCAACTATTACAGCCGTAAAAAATCTATTGTTGACGATTTTGAATAGCAGTAAAATTTAGCTTTTTGGTTATTACAGCAGCTTTAGTAATTACGTTTGTTTTATTTTTTAAATTGCTTTATCATTAACTGTACCGTTAAGAGCGGCATCTTTTGGTTTAGTACAAATACTATCTCTGAATCACTTTCTTTAGCAGGAACATGATACTAGCAGTAGTTTCATTTTACTTTTACAAGTTTCTTAAAACAATTGTTGAGTTGTCTAAAGTGCTTATTTCTAAATTCAATTTCTTGTTCTAGCTTTCTGTTATGTTTCGTAAAAAAGTAGTCTTGATTATCCCGACCTGTCAATCAGACGTAGAATGGTCGATAGACTGGTTAAGCGAGACTAATTTCAAAACAAGGGCACGTAACCTATCTTTTACTCAAAAGTGTCTGGATGTTATGGACGCAACTTGGAACCAGTTTTCAGTCTATTATTTATAGATGATTAATGGTCATAGCTTATTAAGTACAACATGATCGTTTATTTAGTGACTATAATTGTGTGAAACTGATTTGAGGCTTGGCATATATATAAATATTGTGGCGTAATTGTCGAGATATTTGGAGATATTTATTTATGGTGGGTCACCCTACCATTGGGTTGTGAATATTCAGATTTCAATCATTAAGGCATATGAAGGCGAGTTTTTAATGCAGAAAATTGATTTTTTAAAAATAAGTCTAGTAATATATAAAACTAAAGAAAATCAACGGAAAAACATTTAGATTGATACATTATGTGTATCTTATTAACCAACTGGAGCAGAAATTGAACCGGTTTCTTATTAACCAACCGGAGCAGGAATTTAACCAGTTTCTTATTAACCAACTGGAGCAGGAATTGAACCGGTTTCTTATTAAAACAACTGGAGCAGGAATTGAACCTGCGCCTCTGACATGTTAGTCAGTGCTCTACCTACTGAGCTATCCAGTTTTCATGTAGATAACCTAAAACCATTTGAAAGCGGGTACCAATATCCCACTGTCGATAACCTAAAACCATTTGAAAGAGGGAATCAATATTATCCTATTGTAAAGAACCTAAACCCATTTGAAAGAGGGAACCAATATTACCCTACTGCAGACAACTTAAAACCATTTGAAAGGGGGGAACCGATATTATCCTATTGTAAAGAACCTAAAACCATTTGAAAGAGAGAACCAATATTATCCTACTGTAGATACATGTAATCTAAAATCACTTGAAAGAGGGAATCAATATTATCCTATTGAAAAGACCCTAAAACCATTTTGAAAGCGGGAACCAATATTATATTACTGTAGAAAACCTAAAACCATTTGATAAAGGGCACCAATATTATCCTACTGTCGATAACCTAAAACCATTTGAAAGAGGGAACCAATATTATCCTACTGTAGAGAACCTAAAACCATCTGAAAGAGGTAACCAATATTATCCTACAGCAGATAACCTAAAACCATTTGAAAGAGGGAACTAATATCATCCTACTGTAAATAACCTAAAACAATTTGAAAGTGGGAACCAATATTATCCTACCGTAGATAACCTAAAACCATCTGAAAGTGGGAACCAATATTATCCTACTGTAGATAACCTAAAACCATTTGAAAGAGTATGAAGAAAATTTTGTTCAAACAGCGGCGCTACAGCCTACTCTTACTTCAAATACCAACTGTTCAGGGCTCTTATGTGCACATCAATGTGTACACAAGATATTCGTTTTTTGTCCTATCCAAACGACAAGACACTGTCCTCACCACACCCTCCATCCTGCATCATCGGGAAACTACCATAGAGAAACCAAGACCTATTTAGCCAACCAGCGCCTTACTCAGCCGCCATAGCTCCCTAAAATTACTTAAAAGAGGGGGACCATCCTACTTTTGATAAACTTACCATCAAGGTTTGGTTTCACTTTTGTTTTTATATCTGGAATAGAAAGTCTTGGATCTCTAACTGTTAGTGACAATACCATATTAGGCGATACTTCTGCTGGTGATTGACAGCTCATTAAATCTGTCCACCCTGCAATCTGATGTTTATGCTGCGAGATGTTTATATCGTTATCATAATACGTCTGCCACCAATATTTTACCGCTTCTTTTGATTGTACGTCTGCAGGCTTTAAGGCATCTATGAGGATAGTCTGAGACAATGCACCCGTTAATCGAAATTTTATCAAATTATCCTTTAACGAGGTGATCTGAACATTGCCAACTTGAACCTGCTGATCGAACGGACAATCGTCCACCATTTTGTTTTCTAATTCCAAATCATCCGTTTTGAATGCTTGGGTAATTTCTCTCCACGTTTCTTGGTAGTATGAAGGGTGACACCAAATCCACAACTGTCTATCAACACCGTTATTGTTATCATTGGGTTTCCATAGAAAACAAACTTTACCGATTGCCTTATAAGGGTATTGGTCGTAATGATATAATACATTATAACCCATTCGATTACCATTAATAACAGCAGCACCACCAATAGTTGTTCCTGGAATTAATCCAATTTAAAATATCAGAAATATGAAATTGAACAGTTCTGGGAATTAACCCAATTTAAATATCAGAAATATGTAATCTATTAGTTATTTGATAAAACTTCTTACCCTAAATTAACAGTCATTGTTTTTTTTTTTAAACACTCTATCAAAGGCTGCTGATTAATTGTAGATTCATCTTCCACAATATTATAGTTAGTATGGAATTTGAATACACATCACGAACAGTACATTAGATACTCATAAATTTATTGATACAGATAGGTTGTCAGGCCCAAACCATCCGCTCACATAAGATAAGTCGTCAAAATATCCATAATTAACTCATAACATCAGTGAACTACTATGACATTTCATTATTTATCATAAGAGGTGTCAGAAGTAGATTTCATCATCTGTTTTAATCTTTGACCTGTTTGTTCGTGGGGCCTCGTGTCGACATAACAAATGGTCACCAGCTTTTTATCACCATAGATGTGGAATATACTTTTTAACTAGAAAATTTTCTAGTTAAAATTTCCAGCACTCCTCATTGTTTATCTCTGTGTTGTGTAAGGAAACATTATTTTGGTTTCCAACTAAGATTTACAAGGTTTTTTTTAAATGGGAATGATGAAATCATACCCAATCTGATTAAAATACAGATTTATATTTCGTTTCATTTTCTATACTTTCGATGGCCTACACTACATGAAAATCTGACCAGTTGTTTTGCGGGGTCGCGTCAGAGGTCATACGAGCAGCTTTTGACCCTATGATGTCAGATATTTGATTAACCAATCAGCATTGATGTTTCTTGTGGATTACCCACAGTTCCGTGCAGCTCACGCCAAAAGCTCGCCGTAATAGACCGTGGCATTGGCTAATCCCTCACATCATCCAGAACATGTCAATAATAACAGAGAGAGAGAGAGAGAAATGGGGTTTAACGTCCACTCGACACAAACTAGGTCATTTCGGGACTAACACATGGTTTAATTTTATTTACATAATTCGCTTGCGCGTAGGGGTCTTTAGCTGTGGGAGTAAACCGGAGGACCCAGAGAAAACCCACGAGGTTGGACAGGCGACCCTACTCCTTGTCACGTACAACCCCCCATCAATGATAACAGATTGAAATCATACCCTACCTGTATCTACCGTCATAAGATGAGTGAAAGTTGTTTTAATTAAATCAACACCACCAATAACTTCTATACAACATTCATAAGATACATCCTGTAAAAGTTAACAGTTTAAATTAACAGAGTGAGCCTAGCGTACTGGGGGCCTTGCTGACGAAAAATTATAATATTTAAAATTTGCCTTTCAAATCTGCCAGGCGTCTATACTGCACAACTGATATGGACAAGACGAGGGTCAGGACCTGCGAGTTTTACAACATCTAGTTAGAAATTCCAAAACTTATATGTACATTATTTCCCTTTTCCACAGACAATGAACAACAGTGTCGTCCAATCAGAGGCTTGGACACAAACACACTAAAATCAAACATGGCCACCACCCTGGAAACCTTGACATTGAACAAACCTTGAACTTTGCAACTCGAGTATCACAGCTAGATATTTTCGCCGGAAAGTGCGCGGCTTGATATTCGTGATATTTTCTATCGAGGAATCTGAGGGGGGTCCCCAGCTCTGTCAGTAGCTAATCAAATTAGTGCTGAAATGTGCAGGGTATTACATGAAGAGCTTGATAAGATGTACGGAGAACACCAGACTGGAATATCCTGCCGGTGAATGAGCAAATGTCATACTCACTGAGGCAGTGTGCTACGAGGGACATATTGCATGGACAGCGCTTCCACCTACTCTTATTTCAAATGTCAAACAGGACATGGTTTGTTGTTTTTTTGTCCCATCCAAACCAAATGCTGTGCCTTACCAGGAACTCTGTCCTGCATCACTGACAAGGGAAAACCATGATGGAAAATCCTGAAGAATCCTCGGCCAATAATGTGAGCCAGCGCATCAGCACCTTCATCAGCCACCACAGGCTCCCGAGTGAAAGGACTAGAATATCAAGACTATAGTTACCTGTAGTAGACAATGATTAGCAGAGGCTCTATAACATGCTCTGTAGCTTCTATCAGTAGGTCTTACAGCTAATCTATAGCCCCATTTCTCTCCCATATGGAATCGTTTAGCATGCCATATGTGGGTCTCCAGCCATTTTATTTTACGCTGTCGTCTGTAGTAATCAATTAACAGGTTCTTCGGTCTTCTCCGATGTTTTCTACTCGGTTTCTTGCCACCATTTTGGGGCCGTACTTCGTACTGAAAACACAATTGTATTAAACAAGTATAAGCTTACTATGGATCATGAACCAAGCATAACATTAGCCTACTCTCTTTTTGATTTGAAACTGTCGGAGGATCTTTGATGGGCTGCCAATGTTATGCATGAAATTTCATCATAGCGCTGAGTATTCCAGCTAATCCAGGATACACTCATCTTCAATAGAAGTCTTGATCTTGCTTTATCTACGTACATCTTAACAAGGCCTTCATCTAATACCCCGCATATTTAGGCACTAATTTCAATTGGGTATCAGATCACCCAGCTTCGGAGCCTATCAGATTCCTCGATCATCGCGAATACCAAGTCTCTCGCTTTCAAGAAAGACTGGACGCTACTGTTCACGTGTCTGCAGATAACGTAGCTATAAGTTCGGGAATTGTAACGTAATCTAGCAACGTCCAGATGTTGTGAAACTCTCAGTCGTGCTCTTTACAATTAAAATTAAAGAAATCAAAGACTGATATTTACCTCTATTTTAGCAGGCTCCTGGACTCTTCTAGGTAGACGTTTAATATTGTGACTCATAGCACGTCTACGTAAATGTCTGGGTAATTTTTGGAAAACAACTCGACAACTACCAATATGTTCCACATTCTTGGTTAGCGCAGTAATCTCCGCAGCACGACTTTCTGCAAACTTGCAAGCTTTCAATTCTGGATAATAAATTAAAACAAGTTTTGTAAATGATACATATTGATTTTAGAAAAGTCAATCAAATATTTTGTCTTATCGTTCTTTGGTTGTCCTAACAACATCAGTAAACTACTATGACATTTCATTGTGTATCATAAGAGGTGTCAGAAGTAGATTTCATCATCTGTTTAAAGGCCCAATATTCCTCACATAATCGGTAAATACAGATATGCCAACTTACAGAGCACATTTAAGATCTGTTGTGTGGCGTGGTTTCGATTCCCAGCTTAAACGTCACAAGGGAGAGAGAGAGAGAAATGGGGTTTAACGTCCACTCGACACAAACTAGGTCATTTCAGGACTAACATACGGTTTAATTTTATTTCAATAATTCGTTTGCGCGTAGGGGTCTTTCGCAGTGGGAGGAAACCGGAGGACCCGGAGAAAAAAAAGTCACAAGGAGTGTGGCTGTCCGTCTAATCTCGTGGATTTCAATATATTTTGTGGTGGATGAAATGGATAATTGAGACTTTGTTTATTATTGTAACAAATGCTTTAAACGGGTATTATGGAAGATTAGATAAAGAGCTGGCAATTCTCACTATAATACATGCAGTTAAAACGACTAAATCAGGAAATTCTGTTGGCTTATTCAATAATCGTTCAATGTTTGCTAGCATCCGTAAACTACTATGACATTTCATTATAAATCATAAGAGGTGTCAGAAGTAGATTTCATTATCTGTTTTAATTAGTGCTCCTACGACTAGTCGGATAGTCGTAAACGGTTAGAACTGGAAGGTTAAACGGTTCGAATTCAACGGTATGGTTATTCGGGGATGTCCCCCATTACACAGAGTTGTGTCTGATTATATTCCTCTTTATAACAAAACTTGCCCGTTGTCATTTTGTATTTGATGTTTGAAAATCTTAGAATGTAACAGTCGTCCTACGATGTCGACTGCTAAAAAATAATACTTTTAATAGCACTCGTCGTAGTCATACGGCCAAGTCAACGGACCTTGTTCTGACTTTAGCTATTGTTAATCCAATCTAAATAATTCTCGGCATTTCTAACTATATTCTACCTTGTTTATTATTTACTTCAAAACGTAACCACCATTCAAAATATAATCATAAAGGCTAGAAAATGACATTATACTAGATTCGTTACGACATTCAACACATTTCATATCTCGTAATTTCTCGCAAGAATTCTACTTTGGTTTTTAGTTAAATTAACCAATCATAAAAATTCTACTTGCAAACGAGGAATTATTTCTTTATTGTCCAATCAATAGACGCTTTCCAATTTACTTTATTCTATTCTTAGTAACATTGTGTAATCGTAATATTATCGGCATCTGTCACGTACGAAGGGAAACAGAGTATTGTTTTGTTTATTATCGTTATATTGAATTAAAAAATGTTTCAAATGAACCAAGTTAACCAGGTAAATAAATAACTACGGCCTAAGGTAGTTTAAATTCTCATTAAAGAATTGTACATGTCTGAAAAAATTCCTGAAATTTTTGCGCGTGCAATGCCTTTTAGCTAGGCGAGTATAGCGTGCGCACGAGTAATGACTCGCACCTCCTGACAAGCTCTGTTTTATGTTTAAAATTGATACCATACGGTTAACGGTTACCAACCGGTTAATAGCTACGGCTATTCGAATAACAAAAAGTCCTAACCGTAGGAGCACTAGTTTTAATGTCACATTATTTCCACACAAGCCTGGACACTCAATATCATGGGCACTACAACACTGATATGGAATATATCAGTAAAGGTTAACAAGTGGGACAAGAAATCAGTAAAGGTCAGTTAGTAGAATATGATATCAGTAAAGGTCAGTTAGTGGAATATGATATCAGTAAAGGTGAACAAGTAGAATATGATATCAGTAAAGGTCAGCTAGTGTAATTTGATATTGGTAAAGGTTAACAAGTGGAATATGATATTATTTAAGGCTATTGTGGAATACGATACCAGTGAAGGTCAGCTAGCGGAATATGATATCAGTAACTTTAACAGTTAATAACTTTTTTTTTTTTTAATTCTAATAGTAAAAGCATATCAGAGATTTTAAATTACAATATAATTGTATATTAGATACTCATAAATTCATTGATAAAAATAGGTTGCCAGGACCAAAAACATACACCCACCAGCAGATGAGTCATCCGATATACCCATAATTAACTCATAACAACATCAGTAAACTACTATGACATTTCATTATTTATCATAAGAGGTGTCAGAAGTAGATTTCATCACCTGTTTATCAAGGAGTCCTAAAACTCAAGTACGGGTCATGGTAGTCCAGTGGTCAGTGCACTTTACAAGACATTCCGCCATAACTGGTCAGGGAACTTTACAAGATGTTTAGCTATCTATGTCAGGGGTGGCATCTGCAAGGATGACAAAGACTGCTCAATGGCTCGGGTCAATAATGAAGAAAAGGACACATTTGCCACACTTCTTTCTCACTTGTATCATGATTTCAAAGGTTTTTCTTAGGATCTATTAATTAGCCATATAATGTGCTAGATGTAGATACGCACCTCTAGGTAGACTTGTAGCTAGATTTTTGTTCCATGGTGTATTATTATTAGGTTTAGTTTTCTTCTTGAAACCATGTTGATGCCCCTCTGATGATCTCTTTCTGTTTGTGGATGTTGACCAATTGGCTGCCATTTTAATCGCTTGTTCTCCTAACTATAAAATATAAAAAACATGACTGTCAGATTTACAGACTGAAACATGTACTGCATGGCAGAAAATATTGCAAATGAAATGGGGTTTAACATCCTACTGTTCTGCCCGACTTTGGTTATCAAGATGGGCTATGGGGGGAAATTTTGCCCAAACAGCGACACTATGACTGAATTCAAATTCCAGCACCTCGTTTTTTTTGCCCCATGCAAACACTTATATGTTGTCCCTTGCCAGGCCCTCTGTCCTGCACAACTGACATTGGGGAACCAAACTGGAAAACATGATGAACTTTCTCAGTCAGGTGGGGGAGAGAAATGGGGTTTAACATCCACTCGATACAAACTAGGTCATTTTGGAACTAACATATGGTTCTATGTTATTTCAATAATTCGCTTGCTCGTTGGGGTCTTTAGCAGTAGGAGGAAACGGCAGGACCCAGAGAAATCCATGAGGTTGGACAGGCAACCCTACTCCTTGTCAAGTACAAGCGGGGAATCAAATTAGAACCTTCATTGATGTGTTAAACGGTTATAAAATTGGATAAAAATTGTTACCTCTAGTCTCTAGTGGATCCACAAACTAAAATCAGGGGCCACAATTCAGGAAGTTGCAATCCGATATGCGCAAATATCGAAAGGAACCAAGATCTTTGGGTTATAAAAATACATTTCAAGTTTCATCAAAATCAGATAAAAATTGTTACCTGTAGATGGTCCACACGCTAAAAAAAAGTGATTTTTCGAACAACCAAGGGCCTAGCTACGAGAACGTAGCTAAAAGCGTTGAGATATACTGATGTGTTTGTTTTTAGCTACGATTGGATGCCTTTAGTTCCAAGTGGCAAACTCAATTTCTTTATTAATGCATGTAACATCTTTAAAATAAGATAAGTTTATGCTATTATGATTAATTAAACTTACAGAGGCCAATGTAGTGGCACAACTGTCGCCTAACCCCAAATATTCGCGTTTAAATTAATGAAGCGTTGTTTTTGTCTGACATTTACCGCCATCGAAATCCATTCATAGTTACAAAGCTTTAGATTGCCCTATTGATTGGCTGTTAAAAAAGCCTTATATTTAGCCCCGCCTTCATGATGACAGCGTATCGTTTAAAAAGATGGCGGTCTTAGTAATGGCTTAACGCCTCGATTTTAAAAACGACGATTTGTACCGGTTTCAGGTAGGATTATATGCTTAATTGTAGTTGGGCCTGGCAGAAATATTATAAATAACAATAATCAATCGTTTTTATTAACCAGCGGCTGCCAGGCAGGATACGCCCACATTTTCGAGAGATGGATAGAGAACAAGCTAAGAAGAAAGTGATTTTTCCTACAATCAAGGGCCATAATTCAGGAAATTACAATTCGATATGCGCATATATCGAAAGGAACTGAGATCTTTGTGTTATAAACTTACATTTCAAGTTTCAACAAAATCGGATAAAAATTGTGACCTCTATAGGGGCCACAACCTTGATATACCATATTTTTACGCCATTTTGTCTGTCAATTTTGGGGCGATTTTCACAAAATTCAAACTCAACTGTCCTTAGGGTGGAACGGTAATATAATAATACGTTTTTTTAAATCGGATAAAAATTATGACCTCTAATGGGTCCACAAGCTAAAAACATGATTTTTCGTACAATCAGGGGCCATAATTCAGGAAGTTATGGTCCGATATGGGCAAATATTGAAAGGAACCGAGATCTTTGGGTTATAAACTTATATTTCAAGTTTCAACAAAATCGGATAAAAATTGTGACCTCTATAGGGTCCACAACCTTGATATACCATATTTTTACGCTATTTGAGAATGAACATCGGCCATTTTGTCTGTCAATTTTGGGCCAATTTTGATGAAATTCAAACTCAGTCGTCCTTAGGGTGTAACGGTGATATAATAATACGTTTTTTTAAATCGCATAAAAATTATGACCTCTATAGGGTCCACAAGCTAAAAACGCGATTTTTTGTACAATCAGGGGCCATAATTCAGGAAATTACGGTCCGATATGCGCGAATATCTAAAGGAACCGAGATCTTTGGGTTATAGACTTACATTTCAAGTTTCAACAAAATCTGATAAAAATTGTGACCTCTATAGGGTCCACAACCTTGATATACCATTTTCTTACGCTATTTGAGAACGAACGGCGGCCATTTTGTCTGTCAATTTTGGGCCGATTTTCACGTAATTCGAATTCAGTCGTCCCTAGGGTGTAACAGTGATATAATAATACGGTTTTTTAAATCGGGTAAAAATTATGACTTCTATAGGGTCCACAAGCTAAAAACATGATTTTTCATACAATCAGGGGTCATAATTCAGGAAGTTATGGTCCGATATACACGAATATCGAAAGGAACCGAGATCTTTGGGTTATAAACTTACATTTCAAGTTTCAACAAAATCGGATAAAAATTGTGACCCCTATAGGGTCCACAACCTTGATATACCATATTCTTACGCTATTTGGGAACGAATGGCGGCCATTTTGTCTGTCAATTTTGGGCCGATTTTCACGAATTTCAAACCCAGTCATCCTTAGGGTGTAACGGTGATATAATAGAACGGTTTTTTAAATCGGATAAAAATTATGACTTCTATAGGGTCCACAAGCTAAAAACGTGATTTTTCGTACAATCAGGGGCCATAATTCAGGAAGTTACGGTCCGATATGCACGAATATCGAAAGGAACTGAGATCTTTGGGTTATAAACTTACATTTCAAGTTTCAACAAAATCGGATAAAAATTATGACCCCTATAGGGTCCACAACCTTGATATACCATATTCTTACGCTATTTGGGAACGAACGGCGGCCATTTTGTCTGTCAATTTTGGGTCGATTTTCACGAAATTCTAACTCAGTCATCCTTAGGGTGTAACGGTGATATAATAGAACGGTTTTTTAAATCGGATAAAAATTATGACTTCTATAGGGTCCACAAGCTAAAAACGTGATTTTTCGTACAATCAGGGGCCATAATTCAGGAAGTTACTGTCCGATATGCGCAAATATCCAAAGGAACTGAGATCTTTGAGTTATAAACTTACATTTCAAGTTTCAACCAAATCGGATAAAAATTGTGACCTCTATAGGGTCCACAAGCTAAAAACGTGATTTTTCGTACAAACAGGGGCCATAATCCATGAAGTTTCGATTCGATACATGCCAATATCGAAAGCAGCCGAGATCTTTAGGGGATAAACCTATATTTCAAGTTTCGTCGAAATCGGATAAGAATTGTGACCTGTAGAGAGTCCACAAACAATTGTGGACGGACGGACAGGGGCGACGGCATAATACGTCCACATGAAAATGTGGGCGTATAAAAATATTGTCAATTTTGTTTACAAATGCTGGGTGCGAATCGCTCCCGCATGTGCTACGTTGAAGGTAATGGCCTCATGTCTTATCTCGAAAAACGGAGGGTTGAGAGATTAAGATTTGTTATCTATAAAGGGCCATAATCCATGTAGTTCATGAAACGAAATTTAGGTTAGCCTGGGAGAAAAATCTTTGAAAAGTTGAGAATCTTCAGTGATTTATTGCTTTGCCTAGCTAAATAACAATAATTAACAATCAAATTCTTCAAAAATCCCAATTTTTTCGCCCCAGGCTTACCTAAATTTCGTTTCATCTTATATGGCCGATTTCTTAAATTTGTGCGTTACCCTTTCAATGATGTCCTCCAAGTCGGTTAGAAGACAGAGACGTATTTTTTAACAGCGTGTTGTGTCGCTCATACTGACTCTAGCCAGGTAAGCAAGGTCTTATTTTCTCACTAAGATGTTCATTTATATTGTTCAGGCGTTCACAGGGACTGACACGCGACCGTTTAGCAGTAAAAAGTTGCCCAGTAAAATTGACTGGGAAACAAATCTGGTCGACAAGGATACAATGTCAATAGAAGGGTCCCTGAACGTAGAGGTCGAGTGTAATGAGACCTACGTTCAGAGCTGAACTAATCAACTATAATCCATGAAGCTATGGTCAGATCGAAAGGAAACGAGATCTTTGGGAGATGGACGTATATTTCAAGTTTCGTCAAAATCGGGTAAAAATTGTGACCGGTCGAGTGTCCACAAACAAATGGTGAACAGTTTTGTATTCATTGCAACGAGTGTTGTACCGCGGTTCATCGGATCGGATCTAAATTTAACCTGTTATTTAGGTGTTACTTACTTTAACTATTTTGGTGTTTATTTCTATAAAGATTTCATTACGGCCAACAAAAATTACCGGGCAATGTGTCAAGATATTAGAAACAGCTAAAAGATGTACAGTTTAATCGTGTTCCTTGCTTCGATCTCAATAAACATTTCGTCACCAATTTGGTGAACACGTGCTTCGACCGCCGCTTGTTTTCTGTAGTCTCTATCATACCAGTTTCGTCACCAACTTAACAAGTTGGACTAGATTAGCATAATAATTCTAAAATTGGCACGCCAAAAATGTGCACGCAATACTTGAATTGGTTCTGTAGTTTTTTGGTTCTCAGTTTTCAAATACTTTATAATATGTAACAGGCATGGCCTGAGTAGAGCGAAGCTGATTATTGTCAAATATAAAACCTTCATAATTAATTTTCTCAAGTGATACAAAAAATGTTAAATAATTTAGTTTTCCAAAATTGATTTTTATTTAGATCTAAATTTTATACATTAATTTTGTTTTTAAAAAAGTGTAGCGTCCTCTAACAAGTAGTCTCTACCATCCAGAAAAATATTCTACGAATATTAGTCTGGATGCGTTGTCAACATTTGAGAATAATAGGTCATTGGCTAGATTATCCGGTCTTTTACATTATCATAAACAACGTCTAAGGGGGTAACTCCTCTTAAAACAAGATGTTTACGCCCATGAAATTAATTTAAGAATGTCATTTAAAAAAATCCATTTGATTGCATGCCAGTTAATTTTTTTATTGTAAATTTTCTCTCTTCTTGGGCCATATCTATGCTTTTTAAATTAATCCTAATTCGTCGTCGCGATTCATGTTTGTTTATATTAATACAAGAATTATGGGAAGGGGCGCAACTCTTCCTTGACTTGGCCAAAGATACTGGATAATCAACCACATTAATAACCAAACTCCCGGTTACGCATGGGCAATGGACTTTACGTCAAATATTGACAACGGTCCCAGACCCTTCGTATGTTGAAGACTAGGAGGTTCTGGGTGACCGAGACTATCTAACAAGAGGTCTGCTATCAGTGAAGGTAATTCTGCCACCAGTGACTTCTTCCGGTGAGTCACGGGCCAAGCTCTTCGGACGAGCGGTTAAGAGATTAGCCAAAAGGTAATCTTCCCTTGCTCAAAAACGAACAACAACTTGTAAATTAAATTACCATTTATTCGTAAAGAACTTCTAAACTCAGGAGTATTAGTTACAAACAATGTTGCAGTGTTTTAGATACCTATCAAGCAATAAGTAGCGGACGTTTAGTCCGACCCAGACCGCAGTGATAACGATGGCACTCTAGGCACTAACATAATGTACATGAAACAACTAGTCAAAATCATAATAACAAAACAAACCGGGGGGAACTAAATGACAGTGCGAAAATATATACAATGCCATTAAATTAACATAACAACATACTACGTAAAACGATCAGTATACATATTAAATGGCATATATTCCATAATTTGGTTTGATTTATATTAATATACAAAGCATACATATTAGGATATTGAATTATTATATTAATCAATTATGGTGATAAGGAGCGCAGTTCTCTTGCTGGACACTTCATCACCCACGTCTTCGAACAGGTCGACTCGACATTTAATGAAGTTCGGTCACTTGAATAACCTGGCATCCTCGGTTCATGAAGTCAGGGGACACCTGTACTGCTTTGTCTGCGGTTTTTAGTTCTTCTTTCAGGGCCTTCACAGCGGAAAGACTCTTCGTGAGAGTTAGAAGCTCACTCTCTATAATAAAACGGCCACTCTGGTCATCAAGCATAAAATTATCTCGGGGCAATTCTATAAGTTCGACATCTGGCTCAATGCCAAGATCTGGAATAGGATTTTCACTAATGTGGTGAATAGGTCTAGGAGATCTTATAACATGTATCTCCCTTCTTGGTCCTCTCTTACCACTCGTGTGTATTTCTCTTTATTGGACTTCTGGTTTTCAGCGTAGCGAAACGACTCAAGTTCCAATGCTAAATAAATTGCATCTTCAATGTTAGCGCGATGATTTTGTTGAACTTTCCAAACCATGTCGGAGTCATCTTGCAAGGAATCTAAGAAAGCGTCTCTTGCAAGGACATCCTGTAACTCCTGTAAGTCTTGCTCTGTGTAGTACTACCGGACTTCTTTATTTGTTGTGTTCCTTGTGATCGTAAATAATACTACAGCAACAATGATTTCACAGCTTTATTAGTAAACTGGAAATAACTTTGCAGGTTCCTCGTTCTCAAATATATAATGACTGGTAAGAATTTCTGGGTGAGCTCTAATCTAGCTCTCCTCTACACCCTAATTTATATCCCCTACTTTCCCAGGTCTTCAATAACCTTGACGTGAATTTCCACGCCATATAAGGAATAAAACTCTATATTTCCCACAAACAAGACAGGCAACATTACCTATTTTTGGTCAACCGACCATAGGTCAATAAACAGCTAGAATTTTGATGACTATTTTGACAATGATTATAATTTAACTAAAACATCACTATTTTTTACGAACAACTATAACCACGTTCATTTAGTACTTATGATTTGACTTTATAGACCAAATTGAAGAGACAATTTTATAAAGAGCCAAAATTGTCTCAAGGGCCATAGTGCTACATCTGCCGTCGGGTAAGAAAACGTTACTAGTCGTTTAATACTTTGACCAAGTTCAGTCAGCTTTTCCCCGGGTTTCCTTCGCCGCGACTTTAACTCACTCCTGTACATCTGGGTTTGATTTCTGGGTTGAAATCTACCCTCCACCAACTGGAAGAGAGCTAAGGACCTGCTGTGCACTACCCTTGAGTGACCCTGCCAAATAATAACCTTTCTCCTGTGTAGATCACCCATTTATTACGATGCAAGTCTCAAAGTGTACTTTATAATCAATAAGAGAGCTTGTACCATCAAACGCCATTGGCTGTAGTATTGGTTTTTGGAACCTACAACCTTGTATCCGAAGATCTCTATTTACTCCTCTTGTATCTGGCTGTACTGGTCTAACTGTATCATGGGTATTGTAAGAAAAGGGATTATATTCTGTAGAAGCACTCTGGTTCAAACGGGTATCAGTAGGTAGCGTAACATGCTCTATAGGCGCATTCTGATTTGCCATGATATCAGCGGGAGCAGTGACATTCTCCATAGGAGGTCTCTGATTTACCCTGTTCGTCCATGGATCAATCAGTTGTCTTGCCACGAGGGGTCTCAAAGATTCTCTGGGTCTGGTTCCGGTACTGAGATCTACTTGCTTGTTAGGTAATTGCGGTTGCATTGGTATTTTTAAGCTTGCGCTTAAATCTTGTAACTGCTTCCCTAACTCATCAACCTTTGTCTTTTGAAAAGACTTATCAGCAAAGCTAATGTCTCTTTCAGTCGACGAAGGAGGAGTCTCTTGAAATGCAGCCATTACAGATCTAAAGCGTAATCAGCCTTCTAACACCAAGCTAAGAGGATCCCACCTCTGCCACCAAACTCTGTAGCGTCCTCTAACAAGAGGTCTGCTATCAGTGAAGGTAATTCTGCCACCAGTGACTTCTTCCGGTGAGTCACGGACCAAGCTCTTCGGACGAGCGGTTAAGAGATTAGCCAAAAGGTAATCTTCCCTTGCTCAAAAACGAACAACAACTTGTAAATTAAATTACCAATTATTCGTAAAGAACTTCTAACCTCAGGAGTATTAGTTACAAACAATGTTGCAGTGTTTTAGATACCTATCAAGCAATAAGTAGCAGACGTTTAGTCCGACCCAGACCGCAGTGATAACGGTGGCACTCAAGGCACTAACATAATGTACATGAAACAACTAGTCAAAATCGCAATAACAAAACAAACCGGGAGGAACTAAATGACAGTGCGAAAATATATACAATGGCATTAAATTAACATAACAACATACTACGTAAAACGATCAGTATACATATTAAATGGCATATATTCCATAATTTGGTTTGATTTATATTAATATACAAAGCATACATATTAGGATATTGCATTATTATATTAATCAATTATGGTGATAAGGAGCGCAGTTCTCTTGCTGGACACTTCAAAAGGTACAAAAAAGTCAATCTCCCAAACAGAGCGATTGTTGTCAGTTATAGAACATTTGTCAAGTTTATGAACTTTGTCAAGTGATTTCAGATCAGAACATGTGAAATTCAAAATTTTGAACACCATGTCAAAAAGGAACCAAGTAATTTAGAATGGAAGCATTCAGATCCTTGACTTCTGATTTGGAATTTGTCAATAATATAGGCATTATCTGGCCTTGTTGTACATTGCCCCGGCTACTTTTGACTTCCAAACGATTTCACAAGATTCTAACCCTAACCCTAACCCTAACAAGATTCTAGTTAACACTAACCCTTACCCTAACCCTAACAAGATTCTAGTTAACACTAACCCTTACCCTAACCCTAACAAGATTCTAGTTAAAACTAACCCTTACCCTAACAAGATTCTAGTTAACACTAACCCTAACCACGGCGAATTCCAGAGTAGCCGGATCAACGTACTGCGCCCATTATCTTTAGCCTTTAATATAGATGGTACATGTATCTATAAACAGTCTTACTTTGTTAAAGAATAATCCTATTAATCCTATAATTCACTATTGCCAGTTGAGAAATTGGCAAAAATATCATTTTTAACTTCAAATTCAAACATGTATTTCCGGTGTGAATAATTTTTAAGTGTGAGAATGATACCTATGATTGTATATTATAGTGAGTTGACAACCTATTGAGTAAAAGACATAGAAATAATTATGTTTTGTCTTTCTTAGAAAATAATAAATTCTCGCTTTAAATACTGAGTTAATTTGTGGAAAACTTGCAAAATATGTATGGCAAAAGTGATGGTCAAGGTCTCGTTATTCCAATTATCTCCCATGATCCTCCAGTAGGCCTACTAAGAAATATATGATTAACCGGTAGTGCTGGTAGTAGATATTACTATCAGAAATCAATCCATTTATGTAAAATAATGGGCTATTATTTTCATACACGTGAATAAATCAGGCAATGTGACTATTAAATTTATTTGCCCAAGGTTTGTAGTTCAATAATAATTTCGTTTTCACTAATTGATTTGATATCTGACAGCATCGGACAATCACTGAACAACTGAAGTATTTATAATAATATTGTGCAGGTGAGTTACTTTAAACATTTCTGGTCTTTATGAATTGAAATTTCACTTGAGAAAAGCAACATGAAACGTTCCTTAATCCACAAAATAAAACCTATATTTTTGCATCAACTTAATTAATGCCATTCCAAGATATGTATTAACTGTACGTTACATGTAATTCAGTACTTTTAATTATATACGGTAACATTATTTCATGTCATCTAACTGTCTTTTAAAGGAACTAAGTCTCTAACTCAATATCATCCAAAATCTTCAACATTTAAAACACGAATTATTTGTCAATTTAAAACAACATTGATGCTGTGATCTTACCGGAAAAGGGTGGGCTTCTGATATCCAATATTTAAGACAAAATAAATATTTTACCATTGGTACACGAATCGTGTACCATAATGCGTTTCAGCCCCAGTTCTAGCAAGAGACTAGAGGAACGAGGCTAGACATTGCACCAAACCAAACGGCTTATGTAGACTGGAATAACCAGACGCTAGGAATTTGCACTCGATTGAGACTGCTGGCTTATTTCACGGAACATAACTGATTTGAAATTAGAGTAAAAACGGAAACGATTGAATGTAAATCAGTTTATATACATTCATATTACGGTATTATATGAGTTGCGACCCACTTGTGTCAATTTCTAGGTCCCAAATATTAGCGATTTAGCTCCTTTAAGATGCATTCTCCAATTGTCTTATTGATCTGTGTTGATAATACTACACGTTGTTATTGTAATTAGCTGCAGTCACCTGAAATAATGATACATCGTTTTGATTTATTGTCAATATACAGATGAGAATAACAGAAAAAAGAACATGTTGGCATGGTTTGATTACGGTACATGTATGTATATTATAATTGATTAATGTGTTGGCACATGCATGTAAATGTACTGAGATGTATGCATGATTTTTCTATGTAGTAGAAAGAAACCATCCTATTAATTATTATTATCAATATAAGGGCAGATGCCATAAAAGGAAATTATTTAAAAAGGAATATTTAAGTACATATTATGCACAGTGCATTCACTTCTCTAAATAGCCAATATCGGGGGTCAAAATAACGCTTGTCTACTTATCGAATCCAAGTACGGTAACATTTTCAAATATCAAGTAGAAATAAAATCTACTTGTCACCGGCGTCAACTAGAATAATGTCTATAAAAATTCTAATCGTGATACATCCTTGATTAACCATTACCTTGAAATTTAAATGTCAATCACAACTAGCACCGTGTGGCGAACCAGCATCATTTCATGAAAAGAATTCAGCAGATATACATTCAAGAACAATATTTTTGACAGTGATTAAATGAAAGTGAGAATCTTAAACCATAAGCTGTACAATACATTTATTTCATGAAAGACGTGCATGCCTTTAAGCCGCAGAGGACAAACAGAAGACAAAAAAAATCCACATTTATATCACGAAAGACGTGCATGCCTTTAAGCCGCATAGGTCAAATAACAGACAAAAAATAATATTTATATCACGAAAGACGTGCATGCCTTTAAGCCGCAGAGGACAAACAGAAGACAAAAAAAATCCACATTTATATCACGAAAGACGTGCATGTCTTAAAGCCGCAGAGGTCAAATAACAGACAAAAAAAAATTAATATTTATATCACGAAAGACGTGCATGCCTTTAAGCCGCAGAGGTAAAACAACAGACAAAAATCCACATTTATTTCACGAAAGACGTGCATGCCTTTAAGCCGCAGAGGTCAAACAACAGACAAAAAAAAATCAACATTTATATGACGAAAGACGTGCATGCCTTTAAGCCGCAGAGGTCAAACAACAGACCAAAAAAAATCAATATTTATATCACGAAAGACGTGCATGCCTTTAAGCCGCAGAGGTCAAACAACAGACAAAAAAAAAATCAACATTTATTTCACGAAAGACGTGCATGCCTTTAAGCCACAGAGGTCAAACAGACAAAAAAAATCAACATTTATATCACGAAAGACGTGCATGCCTTTAAGCCGCAGAGATCGAACAATAGAGAAAAACAAAGCCTCAATATTTATTTGACGAAATATGCTCAGTCTGAGGTGCATTACTTATAAAAGATACATTATGTAAGATTTAGATAAAGAACTGACCATTCTTGCTATAATAGCCCAAAAATAAATAATGAAAATTTCATTCAAATTAATTCTTTCTGAGCTTAGTTATCACTGTTTGTAGTTTTGACAAGATGTGCGCATTGTGGTAACCAGGACACTGGTGTAATCGAGACTTAGCTTCATTTCCCTATTTTAGATTAAATTTTTAAATGGCGAACCGTTCTAGTCTCATTAAAATCTTCATGCTTCGAATTATAATCTTTTTAGGGCACTGCCAGTTTGGCTTCAGGTATTTGGCCAAATATTGATGCGTTGATATTGTAGAACTTTCTGAGCACATTTACTCGAAAACGGGGACGTGTATACTGCGATGTGAACGGGGGGAGAAAACGATATGTAATTGGCCAGATCCGTGGCTCAGGTAGACTTTTTATTTACTGGATCATGAAGGGGCACCCCTGCTAAGATGTCAGTGGCAGTGGACAAAGTGAAGATTTTGAGTATCCGATGCCATCGAGAGTTGATTATGGTCTTGTTTTGTTAACAAATGTCTTATTAATATTTTATATAACATCTCAGGCCTAAAGAAAGACCTCCAATAGGCAGATTTAGCTCTTGCATAATGTATGTTTCTAAACCAACATTTGATCTAATCATTTTTCAACATCAAAATTTCATAGTAGTAGGATCATTTATTGAATCCACAATGTTGTTTTTCTTTTATTGTAGTAGTTTGTTTTTTAAAAATTAAGAGTGGAAGAAAGCATACGGTTTTAAGAAGAAATCAGCAATGTCTGCTCGACATCAAGCATCAATATGTGACTCAATAAGGTGTCCGGTAATAAGTGGCATTGGTAAGTTGAAATGGAAGTTTGTATTATTAAATTAGAGATTCTCAATAGTTAAAGAGAGGTAAAATATACACCTTCAAACGGTATAGTGAGTGTTTTTCGATAATTATATATTTATCAATAATGGATGTGATAGATTTTTTGATTTAATGTTTGTGCGTGATCACCAGGACCATTTTGATGTGAAATATATGTATTGCTTTTGTATTTTGACCTATCTGTCATGGAAAATGTTTACATTGTGTCGATCAGCTGTCAACTGTCAAAAATTCAAAATGGCCGCCCCGATGGGCCTGCCGTTAGCAACCTTTATTGACAAATAGTTTGATCTCTGCAACTTTTATTGTAAACGCCATAGTGGTTGACTGTGCCTTGTTGTGCTCTGTGTTTTTCGTGCCTGTGATTTATTGTGGATTAATGTGGATTTCGACATACAAATATATATTATTAATGCGCAGGCGTGGTAAAGCCGTTACTTTCAAATAATTGTATAACAGTTTTTGATAAGTTATAATTTGTTGATAAATTTGCGACAGATTTCAGTTCTATTGTCGTGCATGTGGAAAATTTTTATGCGAAGTAGTGTTTGCTGTTTAAATGTAACTATTGCGAAGAAACATTTATTTATCGCCTTTTCATTAAAATTTAGGCCTAATTTTAGGAAGCCTAGATTTAAAACATTATGTAGGCGCCTAGGAGGCAGCTGTGTATTTGTCCTGCGTGTGTTTTTGTTTAAAATAGTAACTCTGAATGCAGTATTTTATCAAAATGTTTCATAATAATTTGTATCTGTTGTGGCTAGTGAGCTATCTGAATCAACTCACCTACTATCAATCACAACTGAACTCTTACAACAATAACATTCAAGCCAAATCTCATTGTTTTAGTAATAATAATAATAATATTAATAATAATAGAGGCGTGAGGAGTGGAAAGCAGTGGGTTAAAAAGATTGATGTTTTAAATCCAACTACTACTATTAGAAATGATACAGTAAAAAGACACAGAACAGTAAACAGGGGCAATCTTGTTACTATTCCAATAATTTCTGAACAAATCGATCAACGCCCAGACAATACACAATTGTGTCTTAATGCATGGCCCGTCGAAAATAAAACAGTCGCTTTGAATGATTATATATACGACAACAATGAAGTAATTGGGAGAAATCAAAGACATTTAAAAAAGTTATCACCACCAACAGACCATATCAACTTCTAAATACTAATCCACTGAATATTAACATTAATCATAGCAATCTCATCCAGCTTACCTCAAACTCTATCAAAAATCACAAACAGATCAAAAACTTTAGAACAAAACAGAAGATAAACAACAATCTTATACAAATTAGAAAGGCGGTCGAAAATGAAGCGTCAGTATTAACAACTTCGTTTGGATTAATTAAAGCCAGATCAGTAAGAAATAAAACAACAATTTTATCTGATTATATTTTTGAAAATTCTATTGATATTTGTGGAATAACTGAAACGTGGCTGAATAATGACTGTTCGGACTCATCGACAATCGCAGCTTTAGTACCTGATGGATATTCTATACAACATTGCCCTCGCGGTTCACGTGGAGGAGGCGTAGCACTTATATTTAAGTCATCTATTAAGTGTAAGAAAATCCGTCATGACCGTTTTGATTCTTTTGAAATTTTGGATTGTTCTCTACAGTTTTCTTTCAAGGAAACTAGGATTATTACAATTTACCGCCCGCCCAATAGCAAATTGTGTCAAAAATTTATGGAAGAATTTGGATTATTTCTGGACCAGTTGATGATGACTAAGTGTTGCACTATTATTTGGGGAGATTTTAATTTTCATGTTGATGATTCCAACGACTCTACCGCGGTTGATTTTTGTGATATGCTGAATTATAGATCTCTCACACAACATGTTTCTTCTTCTACTCATAACGGTGGACATATTCTCGATCTGGTGATAACTAATCCACGTGATATTAAACTGGATAATCTCTCTGTCTCGGACAAATAAATATCTGATCATTTCCCGGCAACTTTTAATCTTATGATCCAGAAACCACAACTAACAAGAAAGACTTTAACATATCGAAGGTTTAAATCATTTGACATAAATAAATTTAAAGCGGAAATAGTGAACTCGAATTTCAATGGCATTCAACGTATTCAAGATATACAAGAGAAGGCAATCCAATATCACTCAAAGCTTGCTGAAATTTTGGACTCGCTTGTTCCTCTTCAAACGAAAACATTTACTATTCGTCCCAATACGCAGTGGTTTAATGATTCTATTTTAGAAGCCAAAAGGGACCGTAATAAGGCTGAACATCTGTGGCGGAAAACAAATCTACACGTCCATAAACAGATTTATAAATCTTTAAAAAACAATGTGAATAAATTAATTGAAGATACTAAAATTAAATTTTACTCTGATAAAATAGAAAATGGCGAAAACAGACAAAAAGACCTGTATAAAGTTGTGAATTCCCTTTTGGACCATAATGCTGAGCGTACTATCCTCCCGGACAATGATAATGACACTGAACTTGCAAATTTATTCTCTGATTTCTTTCAAATAAAAATACAGAAAATACGAACTGAACTTGATGATTTAAATAAAACTATTGACTTTAACGCTCATGATTTTGATAAGTTAGAAAATTCTGTTTATTTAGAAAATTTTAACTTGGTTAGTGAATCTTTTGTTTTAAAGCTAATTAAATCGTCTGCTCCTAAATCTTGTTCATTAGATCCTGTTCCGACTTCTGTTCTTAAGGACTGTCTAGACGAAGTTATTCCAGTTTTTACCAATATTATTAATTCTTGTATATCATCCGCTACTATTCCCAACGTTTTCAAACGAGCTTATGTTACCCCTTTAATTAAAAAGTCTACACTAGATCCTAATGTTTTTAAAAATTACAGGCCAGTCTCTAACTTAAGTTTTATTTCTAAAATATTGGAGAAATGTATTGCTTCTCAGATAAAGGCCCATCTAGATGATAACTGTTTGTATGAACCATTTCAAGTGCTTATAAACAATTTCACAGTACCGAAACAGCTTTAACCCGGGTTTCAAATGATATTTTAATGGAAATTGATAATAGAAAATGTACATTTTTAATTTTATTAGATTTATCTGCTGCTTTCGACACGGTGGACCCTTCCATTCTTCTACGTAGCCTTCAATTTAAATTCGGTATTTGTGGCTCTACATTAAATCTTTTAGAGAGCTATCTTGTGGGTAGAAAACAGTGTATTTTAGTTAATTGCAAATCGTCGTCTGAATCTGTTTTGTCATCTGGGGTTCCCCAAGGTTCTGTTCTTGGTCCGATTTTATTTACCCTCTATACGTCACCATTAGGAGATATTGTCAGAAAATATGGTCTCAGCTTTCATTTGTATGCCGATGATACTCAATTATATATTTCATTTACACCTAATTGTCCATCTTCTTTCAATTTATCAAAATTGCAACTTGAGAACTGTATTAGTGAAATTAGAAAATGGATGTCAAAGAACTTTCTAAAATTGAATGATGATAAAACCGAATATTTGTTATTAGGCTCAAGGCATCAATTAAGTAAATCTGCACAAGATAACCCCCCTGTTGTAATTGGTAATTGTGATATATTTTCATCTTATTCTGCTCGTAATATTGGCGCTATCTTTGGTAGTTTTATGTTTATGGGAGCTCAAGTAAATAATATTTGTAAATTGTGCTATTTTAATATTAGAAATACAGGTAAAATACGTAAATGTGTAACTAAGTCACTTGTTAATTCTCTGGTCACTTCTCGATTAGATAACTTTAATTCACTTTTAGTTGGTTTACCTTTAAAGCTTATAGATAAATTACAAAAAGTACAGAATACTGCGGCTAGACTTGTTACTTTAACAAAGAAATGTGACCACATAACTCCTGTTTTATATAATTTACACTGGTTACCTGTTAAATATCGAATTGATTTTAAGATTTTATTACTTACTTTTAAATGTTTAAATAATTTAGCTCCTGTTTACCTCTCAGATCTTTTAGAACTTTATACACCTGGCCGTTTATTACGTACATCAGATAAACTACTTTTAAAGCCCAAAACTGTTCAACTAGTCTCCTATGTTCAGCGCTCTTTTAGTTATCAAGCACCTGTTTTATGGAATAATCTACCATTTAGTTTAAGATGTTGTACATCTCTGTATTCTTTTAAAAAACAACTTAAAACACATTTATTTAATCAGGCTTTAAACTGACTCTGTATACAATCGTTAACATGCCAATAATCTTGTTGTTTATGTGTGATTTACATTGTCACTTTGTAAAGTGCCCCTGAACATGTTATATGAAAGGGTGCACTATAAATATGCTGTAATAATAATAATAATAATAATATTAAATATATTGATTCAAGGGAGAGAACTGGAAATGACGGATAAAAGAAGATTTACATGTATCATTGGCAAATAGAGATGAAAGTAAAAAGCAATGTAAGGGGCGACTAAGAAATCAATAAGAGGCATGAGGAACAGCTATTCTTCAGGAGAAACAGGGATATCACTAACACAGTTTATGAAAGACATTTCCTCTTGCAAGTGCTTGAACCTTAGACCAGTCTTTTGAACTATTGCATATATACGGTTGATTTCCCTTGTTCGTGCAACTGTAGTTGGAGTAATAACTTTATGACAAACCCTGTCTTCATTTGAGAGAACTGATGGATGCCATGCAAAATCAGGATATTGATTGGCTCTGCCTGAAGATTTAGCTCGAGATAGGGCAACAAAGAGTGCTCCTGGATTTCCAGATTCAAACTGTTTTGATCCTGGATGAATCACAATAAATCTATTCTCCTCGCCTTCACCTATAGTCATCCCTTGGCACTTGTGAATGGTAGTTGCCCAACTAAGACGAAGAGGAATTTGCTTTCGCTTGCAGTTGTAACATCCACAATCAAAATTACGCAAAACACGTACAATAGGAACTATTTTATTATTTTCTTTCTTAAATGCTGGGCCAGTATATGATTTAAATTCAACCATGACTACCTCTGGCAGTGAGGTGGCAGGATGGCACCCTTCTGCATAGATGATGTGTTTTATTTTGCCAATTGCACCATTAAATAATCCATATCTCACACAAAGATTGACAGAAAGCATAACTTTGGAATCATTTGCAATAAATAACGTATGCAGCAAGCCACTCGCTGCATCCATAGTGTTAGAGTGAGGGCCTCTATTAATGGAGTTACATCTCGCTACTGGACACTGGTGATTTAGACTAATCAGTTGTGATTTGTTGTGCTGCCACTCTTGTTCATATGTTGGGAATACATAAAGTCCATACCTATTTATACTTGTCAATAGCTGTTCATTGTATATTTCTTTCAAATTATTCCATTGAAAATTTTGTAACCAATTTGCCTGTGCTTGAGTTGTTGAATAGTCTCTTAAAGACAATAGTACTTCTCGAAAGATCTGCTCTCTATTATTTAGGCGCACAATGGTTTTTAAATTAACTGCTGTGTCAAATTCATTCCAAACTAAAACACCATACATTGCAGCAGTTGTCTTACTCTTACAATTATACACAGGAGAATCTAAAACAGGTGGTAACTGTACATCGTCTCCAAAAAATACTACTACTGGTAATCCTCCCCATGATTCATCTGACTTTGTACCTTGATACATTCCATGCTTGCACATGAACTCCATCCAACCTAAAGTTGTTGCTCCAATTAGAGATCTTTCATCTATTAGTAAGACATTTACTCCAAGACAGTTGACCTGCAATGCTTTACCCTTATCTCCATCAGGATGTTTCATTTCCTTACCTTTATTTGTAGGTATCTTCAGAAAACTATGTAATGTTACACCCGATATTATGTTGGCACTATTTCCAGTTGGACAGAGAACTTGAACAGATTTGTTGGTTTTAAACAGAGATCGTATACCATAAACTAAACATTTTATGAGATAAGACTTACCTGAACCAGCTGTACCAGAAACGATCATTCTAAGTGGTTTGTATAATTTTTTATCCATGAAATTCATTACTGTTTCAATCACAATGTTAAAAAGAAAAATTTGATCGGAATTCATTTTTTTAAGGTCTACAATTGAAATTTGGGCCACCATCATCAAATTGAAAGTCAGAATTGAGTTCTTCAAATCTGGCATTTGGTCTTATGGCTTCCATCCACTCTAGTTGCTCTACAGCTTCGATGTCCATTTCACTTTCCTCCCCATCTTCATCTTCATCATCATTGTTTTTTGATTTGTTCTTTCTTACACACTCAACATCTGCCTTAACAAAATTAGGGCAAACATCTGTCTTCAAAAATAGTTCAAATGTTTCAATCCAGGATGTTTCATAATTTTTTATGTCATTCAGTTTTCTCCAATTAGGGAAGTGAAGAAGAAGCATCGTTCTACAATATTTATCATCTAATGGCCAAACTGCCTGACTGCAATTACCAGAAATAACTGGTACCTTACCGGTTGCACAAATAAAATTGTATAAGGAATTGGTATCCTGCAAATGTCGTGATATATATATTTATCAACAATTGATTTTCTGGTAAGTGCTGATTTACTATGTTCCAAATCAAGAACTATGTTCCCTGACAGACTTACATACTGAAAATTATGGCTGCAGCGATAGAGGGGAAGACCCGCAATTTCATATGAAGCTTCTACAGCTGATATGTCTCGCTTTACAGTTTTCATTAAAAGCTGTGTACAGACAGACTTAGCTGTAGATCCAGAATTCCATTCGACATGTTTTATTCATAGAATTTTTTGACGATTTCAAGCAGAATCCATCAGAACACCTGTGCAAATTAAAACGATTAGTAAGAAGTATATAGTCCTCTAATAAAGACTCCTGAGAGACACTGACATCCATGAGTAATTTTTGTAATGGGTTGTTTTCATCTGGTGGTTGTGGTGCTGAGCCCTCAGGAGGCGGCCAAAGATCCTTGTTGGAACTTCCATCTGCATTTCTAGCTGGATGCAACGCAGTCATGCCAAATTCGTATGATGCCCAATCAGCTAAGTTCTTAGCACATGCATCATCACCTAGACCAGCTTCAATGGCTTCATGAAGCAACTTATGAGGATGTTTGTCAGATCTCCAACACAAACCGTGCCAATGCACCATTCCCCTTGATTTAGCGAATTCCTGTCGATACCAAAAAGTTTCAACACCAAACACAGGTTTCATGACATCTTTAAAATATGATTTTGTTCTTAGATCAAAGTACTGACTAACAATGTGTGTATTTTCTTGCAATGTTTTGAAGAGAATGTTACGATTACTAAGATCAATAGTATTTCCTGTAGTGTCTTTGCCATACAAATAAAGAAGCCTTTTAATTGAGGGACAATGGTATTCTGCACAACTTCCAGTGGTGAAAAATGATGGTAAGTCACTTCCTTCATTTATTTTAAATTTAATTAGAGATCTCAACTCCCTGCCCCTCTCAGCCCAATACTGGGTTGTACCCCGCAGTGATGCCCCAAAATACATAACCTTTTTTGCAGTAGAAGTGTCTCCATTTTTTATTAATTCTTTTAAGGCGTCTAATGTAAATTCGCCATCGCCAAGCTGCTGTTTATAAATGTAATTACCACGTTCAATTGCACGCTTTCTTTGGATCATATTGTGCACTACAAATTTAAAATACTGATGACGTGCAAAGCAACCATCCTCATGCCACAGCAAATGCTCTGCCCAGTCAGCCAATGAGTTGCAAGTACGTGGACGGTTTATGAAAAAATCACCTTTACCATAAGGAAAAAGTGATGGAAAAGCTAGAGTAAAAAAGTATTGAGTTGTAAATTCGGACAAGGGAATATTTCCTCTAGTTGGCCATGGAATAACTGTTCTTTTACTTTTTTCAGATGTTTCATTTATTATATTATCTAGAAGACTTTTTACCTGCTGGGTGATGTCTACAGATTCATCTGGAAGCAGAACACTAGAAAAAGTTTGTCCTTCGACTTCATCTCCAGGATTCGTCTGCTGCTCTGCGGGACCCTTGTCTTCAGTAGAAACTAAGTTTGCATTAGTTCCAATTGTATGAATTTCCTTTAATTCACCATTAACTGGCAAAGACTCTAATCTAGTTATTGAAATTGTTATATTTAACTTGAGCCATTCTAAAGCATGCTGTACTGTGTATCTTCGTACAATGAAATCTTTGGAAGAATCATTTTGACCTTGCTTTTTTACCTTTATTATTTTTATTTCATGAGGGAGTCGGGGGAATATTTTTGCTGGCTCATTTACCTCTTGTGGAAAAGTCACACAGTGTCCAGAAGAGGCAATCCCCCCATGTTTAAGCATATGAACATTGATACATGGAGATGTTCTACAAATTAGCTGTTGTTCAATAATTGTTAAATTCAAAAGCTCCTTTGGTTGCTTACCTGGATCCATGTTGTTTTCTGATGAAAACATTTTGATTGCAGATTTATCATTAAAACACTTCTTACATACTTCCTTTTCCTTAGACATTTTCATATCAATCCGTCTCTCATGACAGGTATTACAATGCTTTATTTGATATGTCATTTGATTTATCTCAAAACTTCTGATTGCATCCATGGCTGTGTCAAATTTGGCATTTCCACTTAGGGGTTGAGCACTAGGAATTGACGTATTACATGATTTGATTTTTTTATTTTGCTTATGTTTATTATAATTATTACGATTTAAATGACTTTTCTGTTCATGCACTGTTTCATTATGTAGATTTGATGTTATATCACTTACCTGACTTTCCGGTAGATCTACCTGTTTCATAATGTCTCTTTCTTTTTAAAATATGTTTTTGGTCAGAAAATGTGTATGTATGATCATGTAAAGTATGTAATGGAAATGCATCAACAGTAGTAACTTGTTCTTTCCTAAAATATGTGTGATCAACAGTAATAACATCTTGTATAGTAGAATTATCTAATGTATCAACAATAACACCATCATCTTTCCTAAAATATGTGTGATCAACAGTAATAACATCTTGTATAGTAGAATTATCTAATGTATCAACAATAACACTGTCATCTTTCCTAAAATATGTGTGATCCAAGGATGAAGGATTTGTTTTATTTAAATGATTTTGATGTACCTCGTTATCCTGACCTTGTGTAGTATTTTTATTACCAGTATTGTCAATAAGCAATTGAAAATGGTTGTTGTGTAATAAAAGTTGAACTACATTGTTTTTTTCCAGGTGTTCTACAATGCCAACATGTTCCTTACTGTTTGGGTTTTCATTTGATGAAAAAGAAGTCAGATTGAAAACTGACTGCCTTGTCCCAGATTTCATCACTTCCCCTTGCAGCCATACATCGATTTTGATATTTAGAACATGGGCTGCAGCTTTTATTTCGGAAAATGTGGCCCATCCCTTACCAGAAACCATTACATTCCAATATTTTTTATCTGACATTTCATACCCATGGCCTAAGGTTACTGTATTTTTCCAGCTGTCCCAGTTTCTACCGACAAATTGACAAATTTTGGCTCTCATGGCATCAGAACTATAAGTTCCAAAACCCTGAGACATACTAAGACAGTGGAAAAAACAGTTTCCATCACCAGGAACATCCTGAATGATAAATGTTTTACCATTTATAATTATTTACCATTTATAATAATTTCACACATTTTTTAAAAAATCAAATTAAACTTTTGGGAAATCTTTAAAGGCTCAATACCACTGAATAATATGTCCCAATCTTTTTTCTGGTCAACAAATTGTACTATTTTAGAATATTTCAATTAATTGATGATACAAATTTCATCTTAACACACCTTATTTAAAAAATTTGAAAAATTCAAAATAATGGTTTGAAACGTCTAACGTAAACCTTTTCAAATGAAACTTCGATTTAAAAATATTTTCGAACCCTCTGGACAAGTAAAATAGGATGTAATGGATAATTTACACAACAGGTAGGACACTTAAACATCTAGTACTTAGATAGAGATATTATTTATTTTCGCGTTTGATTACCTGTCACCTTTTGTTAACCTTTGATTAATTCAAGTAGGCTTACTTGTCACCTTCTGTTTACATAATCGTAGCAGACGACAGACCGTGAAAATATTAGCCAATGAGAAGTCCGCAACGTCTGTAAATATAGATCAATGAAATTACTCCGATGGTTGTCATTAATTTGGCTAATTTCTATTTAGAGATTTATTTCGTGAAAGACAGCATATGTTTTTAATTTAAATTGTATTTGTGAGTGTTAGATTTAAAAAAAATAAGTGTAGAATTATTTTTGTTAGTTACGTGATCTCGTTTGGTCGAGATTTGGTAAGTTGACATGCGCATTGGCTGTTTTCCCCAGTGTATCCGGTTCAGGTCTGAATTTTTTCTTAATCAACAGTCTGTGGGTGACATTTTCAATTACGCTCCTGTGTTACCGGAAAAGAGCTTTGCTCAAGCTTCGCGCGGCGCTTTAGAGCTTCGCTCTATAATAGCATAGAACTGAATGATTATCCTAGTGTCGTGTCATTTTTTAAAAAAAAATTCCAAGGCACTTCTCAAAAACTCTATTCTCTTCAAAAGCACTTTAAACAAAAAAAAACCACCCTTTATTACTTTTCAAAAACTTTTATAAAACGCCTGGGGGATCACGTGGCTAAGTGGTTAAGACGCTGGCTCGCTAGTCTGGAGGTCGGGTGTTCGATCCCTGCATTGGCCAAGAAAGTTTATCACGATTTTCCGGCGTGGTTTCCCCTTGTCAGTGATGCAGGACGGAGGACCTGACAAGTACAGCTGTCTAGTCCTTCGGATGAGACGAAAAACCGAGGTCCCGTGTATATATTGGAATGCACGTAAAAGATCCCCTGGCAGTTGGAATTCGATATTAGAGTAGGCCATAGTGCCGCTGCCCTGGAAAAATTTCCCTCATAGCACACTGTATGGCGTATGCCCGTCTTCATTAGCCCAGTATAGGAGCAGAACAGTAGGACGTTAAACCCCATTTCATTTCATTTCTAAAACGCCTTTTAAAGATGCATTATGTAAGAGCTAAATCTGCCTAATACAGAGCATTCGTTTGGCATCAAATGTTAAATAAACCACTAAAGATACATTATGCAAGAGCTACGTGTAAATCTGTCTATTTCTAGGTCTTAAAATGTTATATAAATTATTAATTAGACATTTATTCATGGGATCTCAAATATAGTAAACCAACGTCCTACTCATTGAGCCACCGTGGCTTTGAGCTTGTCATGTTAATAATGTTTAAATAAATAAGTTTATTGTTAACATTTGAAACAAGAAAGATCTACGTACAATAGGTAGAGCTTACATAAATAGATCAGCAGCCCAGAGCGTCTTGGTCAAACGAACAAGGTACCAATATCTGAGTACGTATTGGAACGTTTACTGTGTAACCTAAAATATTCAGATAAAGTTGTCTGTCGGTGTCCAGTTGCGGCTTGACCCCTGAAGCTCCAAATGAACAGGTACATCTCATTGAGTACAAAACAGACTCTGTCAGATAAATTTTCCTCTGTATAAGCCCCCCCCCCCACCACCACCACCACAAAAGGGTCCCAAATTTTGGACTATTTAGTAGATGGCTATTTCAGGTTCAGAGTCATCAGTCCAAGCATTTTTCGGATTAGAACCGGACCTATCATACCAGATAATTTTTTCCAGTAAGACAGCGCAGATGTTGGCTAAATCTATTTGTTAAGGCCAGCTCAATTTTTGTCGAGATCGCTGAACTGTAAATAAGGTTAGGGCACGTGATTGTTGGCGAGATTGTAGGTTAGGGTTAGGGTAAGCATTGGGGCTAGGGTTAGGGTTAGCGCTAGCCCTGTTTACATCTCGTGACCTATGACGACAAATTGAGCTGGCCTTATCATTTAGCACTAACCCTAGATGTTCGTATGCTGCTGGATGATTTTAATCTGTAAAATGATTGGATTGAGGACTCGGAACCTATAATAGAAATCTAGCTGTCTGATTAGAGGAATATTCAGAAATTTAAAAAAAACCCCGATAACCCTTGGGGTTGGGGTCAGCAAATTTCAACCATACTTGGTCTTTAGGGACTCCAGGCGACAGAAGTCACACGATGACGTGAACAATTTTTGAACGACCAGCTTCAGATATAACTGGAAATTGTTGTTTTGGGGCAACATTGGACATATTTCTACCAATTTATTTTTACCCTACATTCAAAACGCTCCTACCTGAATGGTGTGTCTCTAATTTTGTATATTGGCCAGGAATGATAGGCCTAGTAGTGTACCACAGCAAAACCTAGTAACTCAATAGTCAAATCAATGGATGAGCTGGGGTTTAATATTCATTCATTACGTTTTCCTTTGTTTTCTCAAAATAAGAAGAAATTGAGTTACTAGGTTTTTCCTTTTGACGGGAGACATACAGACCATAAATGTTTAATCCTAGTGATGTTTGAGGTGGTACTCCATGCAAAAAGTCTAAAAGTAGTCCCTTGAAAAATATGGAGGGTTCTTTACATGTCTTCACAGGACGCGAACTTATTAGTCGCGGCTACTTATCTTTCTCTTCTCCCTAGTTGCAGGACTAAGATTAGTAATTATTTTCCCCTATTTTATGATGGATGAATGTAGTGCGAGTTATAAATAGACGATTTTCCCATAATATTTCACCCCCTTTTCCTGCATTTTTTGGTTGAATTTTTGGTCTAGAATTGGAGAAAAGGGATCAAATTTGCAATTTCATAGCAGTTTGGAGTAATACTGATGATATTACGGCGGAGGGATAAAGTGTAAAATGTCTTTCTGCAGTCAACATCAAATTCTCGTAACATAATTATGATGTGTCTTTAAAATACAGATGTGATGTCATCCTTTGATGTTGGCGTTTCAATGTACCAAGCGTATATTTTTTATACTAATTTAAATATTGGACCCGCGTAACGTATTTCATTGAAATACACGTGCTGGATAGTGTCTGTATTTTAGGTTGCTTGTTGGTCTCGTGCAAGATATTGCGTAATATATAGATATTGCACGAGTGCTACTTAAAGTTTCGCACTCGACCATTAAACTAAACATAACGATTGGAACTAACGGAATTTTCAGCAAAATACTACAGCCTGTGATGTTACAGCCATTCAACATTGAATTTTGACATATTCTCGGTTTGATATGAATGAAATTACGGATACTTCACGCGTATCAAAATGTGATAATAAACGGTGGAGATTATGTAGTAATGACATCATAGAAGACTCAACATTTTCCTTGTGAAATAAACGAGTATTTAGTGTTAAACAAAACATGAACTGCAAAACTTAGCATGTTGTTTACTTGTTACTTTGCTCGGGATGCGGTGAATACTATATTGGCAAAAGCGACCGACAATTAAACCTTCGAATGAATCTACACAGGTACCAGATAGTCCACCCAGAAAACAGAACAAGTCCACTAAGTAGCCATCTGGACATGAATGTTTATGTTGTTAAAAGGGCAAAATGTAAGAAAGGCCCCGGGCCTAATTTTCTATTTTTTTTAAATAAAGTGATTATTATTATTAAACCAATGCGCAAATAATTGCTAGTCTGAGACCAGACTAATTTAACCAAGACTATATAATACTAGTTCAACTCTGAACGTAGGTCTCATTACACTCGGCCTCTACGTTCAGGGACTCTTCTATTGAAACCTTGTCGACAAGATTTTGTTTCCCAGTCAATTTTATTGGGCAACTTTTTACTGCTAAACGGTCGCGTGTCAGTCCCTGTGAATGCCTGAACAATATAAATGAACATCTTAGTGAGAAAATAAGACCTTGCTTACCTCGCTAGAGTCAGTATGACAGACACAACACGCTGTTAAAAAATACGTCTCCGTCTTCTCACCGACTTGGCGGACATCATTGAAAGGGTAACGCACAAATTTGAGACCTGGACTAAGACGGACACAGATCACTAAAGATTTCCCCATTGACTCCAATGTTAATTCTCGTATCTTAGACCGGCTCTAACTTTTTCCCAAATTTTCGTTGGGTAGAACGCTTTCTACCACAGATGGAGCAACATGTGGCAACCACTTGCCCAAAAGCACGTATGAGGTTCTTCATGAAAAACTTGAGATACACAAGCTGGAAGTAGAGACAAGTAAACATGCAATTTCAGGCCCTACATTTCAACGTAACCAACCTC